CATTTTAAAATAATTATCTAATTTTGAAGTATTTTTAATATACTATTACCTTTGCTTTGAAAAAATAATTCATATTGATTTTTCAGATTTATACTATTTTTAATTATAATTTTTAAAACTCATTATAAGCTATTTTTTTTAGAAATACAAGAGTATTAAACATAACAAAATTTTGCAATTCACAAAAAAAAAAAAAAATCCCGTGGCAGCAGAGTCACCAAATCACATAAAACACCATGGTAGGGGGTACTCAGAGTCTACTATCTCAGCTCCATAAACTGCCCATTCTCCCATGTCTCCTACAGTTCCTCCACACGTGTGACGGTCTCTACAACCACACAAACAATTTATGCTCTTATGATTTGGGTGCCGAATTCTTTGTTCCATGGATTCATATATTAAAAACTCTTATGAACGCATGGATTCGGTACCATATTCGACCCAAAAAAAAATTATTGTGATACTTTTTGTATTTTTTTTTAATAAGTCTATAAAGACGAGACGTTCAAGTATAACTATTGTTGTTGTAACTACATCAAGTGCAAAAATATGCTCTTGTGTAATTAACCGGTTTCACCATAGATTTTTGATAAGATCTTGTCTCCCTTTGGATTTTTTTTTACTTCACTGAGGGGCTTTAATTTCCCTGCATGTCATCTTCCTCAGTTTTGTCCTCATTTCCCTACACAATAACGACGAAGCAAACCCTGTCGCATCATTTCTTTATGTTCATTTACTTCCTGGTCTCCTTTTTATCCCCCCTTTACTACCGTGCATTACATATTAAATTTTATGTCACATCTTGGATACAAAAGGCCCTAAATTAACTTGCAATAAATAATTAAAAAAATAAAATAAAAAATCCCATTCCATAATGTATAAATTGTATACTATATATACTGCTTTCATTTCATCGGATCAATCAGTTGTCTAGTTACCTATAAATATAGATTCTAGAGGTACTGGTATAGTTATGAATGATTTTAACCCACAACTTTTGAGCATGTACACCATAGTACTTGTACGACCGAGTGGAAACAAAAGGAACCAACCAAGTTGATGAAATATCATCAGGCTGGGAAACACAAAATTGATTGCAATCTCTGCCATTTTTTTTCCTCATTGGGAATCTTTCGCAACATAACCAACCAAAACTCCCTACATCTTTATATATATCTATATTTTTTTTAATGTATTTTTTCACTGCATTTGATCTAATTTGTGCACAAATAATGGACCAGAAGTGAACAAATCGTACTGGGTACGTCCGTGCGTCGGTGCACAGGAAATTGATGAGAAAACCAAATTGATGTTGTACTAGTAACCAGCTAAAATTATTGTGCAAATTGAAACTGAATGTTGGGTCTGATACTTGATAGTGATTCACCGTGTAACAATTTTAGTTACATGCCTTATTCATCGATATTTTTAGATTCACTGAATAAATCTGTCACTTTTATACAATGGAATTTAATTAGATGTCTTATTCATCGAAATGTCTATACTTAGGGATTGAATTTGTCACTATCACATGACGGTGGATACAGTACATCTAAAAGAAAAATGAGTACTATTCCTTCCGTCCCATAATTATTAGTATCTTGTTTGGGTTTTCATTTCTGGTTCAAATTATACTAAAAGTGAAATTTCTCAGGCTGGATAATAATTTTAAGACAAAGGGAGCACTATAATTTAAAACGCATTAAAGTGCGTGTTTTTCTTTCAGCTGAATAGGCGTGTAAATATTTTATATTGATTCATCTTGAGAATGAACTGAGAAAGAAGTTTGAGAATGGTTCGCTGAAATCCATGGTTGAATTTGCGAAATTATATGCAGAGTGGGATGTTTTCCAGATTGATTCATGTTAGACACTTGGCAAGCATGCATTAAACAAATCGTGCAAACATCTTTTTGATGATCTTACCTCGTGACCAAGATTTGTTTACCTGTCACTTAATTTGATTGATCCATTAATCCCGGTTAATAATATCTTACACTTAGTCTATAGCAAAGTACTGTCACCTGGTTAAGGAACACATGTAAAATCTGAAGATATCACACTTTAAACTCCGTTTGATAATGATAATACATTAATAATCATCTTTTCGTCACTGAAATGGAATCGCTAATGAATTTTTTAATTACAGTTGAGTCATACTCACGAGTCATACACATTATCATCAAATTAAGGATAAATCTAATAATACTAGGTAGCCCAGATTTTGATGTTCCAAGTTTTCAACAACATTATTAGATTCATAGACTTGGAGAGACTGAAATAAGCTCGTGCGGATATAAATAATAATAAATTTATGGCGCTAAATATTATTGTATTCGATTATCTGACAGATGTACAATCCCGTTCATCAACAGCTGGCCTGTAAATTATTCAGAGAAAGACGTGGAAAGCACCCTTTAAACCTAGGAGCTAACTAGATTATTAGTTCATCACTTAAGTTATATTTGTTAATCAAAAGGTCAATGATGCAGCGCATTAATTACAATTATGGAAAACAGGAAAGATTCACGCACTGGATTCTGTAGACTCTGTAAGAGCATGCAGCTGGATGATGATGAATTGCCAGTAAAACCAAAAGAAAGAGGAAGGTGAATGCAGACGAAATTTCTGAAGGAGGACAAAAAAAAAAAAAAAAAAAGGAACATTCGGTCATCTCAAAGTCTCTCAAAGCCATTGATCTCTTTATAATGTACATCATACAAAAACAATTGTTGCTATATTGACAGTTATAGCAATGGTGTTTAAACAATGAAAAAATTATGGGTTTCTGATTCGGGCTGTCGCTCGACTTGGCAAATCACAACCCAGAAGAGCTCTCTTTCCTGCAATCAATAAAAACCTGACAATGAATTCGGACTTTGGAGGATGATTCTAAGCCCATGCTGGTACTACATTTGAAGTAGGACTCGGTATACTGGTTGGAACTATGAAACGACAAAGAGCCATCATTTTACCCATAAACATGCTAGGGTACAAAAATGAAAGTGAAATTTGAATGCATTGTTTCACCCCCAAAAAAAAATAATAATAATAATAAAAAAAATTTTGAATGCATTTGTTGAGTAAGTTTTTCTTAAAAAATGAGTTGTCTCTGATCCAATTGCGATGTTTGCATATGAAATTTATTTGGCCCATTTTGTGAAACGCATAGCAATGGGGCTATCTGCTCCAATCTTTTCTTAATGGGAGCTTGTCTCTGATAAAGCTTCAAAGAAACCGATAAAGCTCGATAATGTATGTGACCTAGGCCTGCTAACTCAGAAGACTTTCTCGTGATACAAAATGTTCATAAGCCTTTTTGAGCTCAATGGGCTCATGTATGTGCCCACTAAATTTATCTTATGGGGCTGAAGGGCGTAAATTTGGATCATGACAACGCAATCCGGCGAGTATCTTCGTTTTCTAACCAATGGTTACGGTGGAGTGAAAGGGACTACTCCACCCTTTACCATAGGTCGAGGGTTCGAACTTCGCCATGAATATGAAACAATCTTAAATCCTTTGGCCACTCTCCTATCCATCGAGATGCCTATAATGAACGAGAGGAATTAGTCACTGTTGTCAACAGTGGACACCTTACAGTATATAAAAAAAAACTTCGTTTTCTTCTTTCTTTTGATAAATTATCTTTTTTTTTCCTTTTTTTTTACCGATAAATGATCTTTGGACTTTGATCATGCTAGTGTTTTTCTTTTCAAGTTGTACCAGAAGGGTTTTTTGGGGGAAGAAATTTTTGTTTGTCCAACTCTCATTTGCCTTTTGGTCTCATTTTACTTTTTAAAACACCTTTCAAACACAAAACGCAATATTATCTAAACTACTTTTTAATTTACCTTTTACAATTTATTACAAAAATTATTTTTACACAAATTTTATCCACAACGACTAGACCATCTCCGCTGCCTGGCGACCGACTGACCGGCCGGATCCCGGCAAGATTCCGACGCCGGAATTCTATCGAGATCCGGCTGGCGGCAGTGGGCGATATGGCAGCGGCGCTGGTGGTGGAGTTGGTTTAGTGATGATGTAAAAATATTATTATTTTATTTAAAATATTATCAAAATAACTTTTTAAATTTCTTATCAAAACATATTTTAAATCACATCTCAAACGAAAAACTAAACTAAAAACTAAACAATTCATTGTCCATACAAGCTCTTAACATTTCATCAAAGAGTTGTCAGAAATGATAAAGAATTGACAAAATTAGTAAAATCACTCCATACATACTCAGTGACACCCAAAAAATTAAATTAGTAATAAAATGAACAAAAGATCGAACAATAACATTGTTTACTCTACTAATTTTAGACAAACTAGCGATTGGTAACAAGACACAGGAAAAAACATGTATCACTCCCTTAGACAAAATGAAGAGGGCTTGAAAAGATGAGAGTTAGCATATTTCTTCCTTTAGACAAATTTTGCATACAGATCGGTCGTTTATAAGAAATTATAATCCTCCATATATATATAGATACTAAAATTAAACAAAAATTTCAAGTTATATGAAGTGAGCTATTAAAATCTGGCGACTCACCTGTGCAGATGAGATAAGTTGAGCAGCATTAGTAATTTTGTTAGCATTCATTATCCGGTGTTATAGGTTATGTATGCTGTAGTTCAAAAAGCAAATGGCCTAACTGCAGAAGAAGAAGTATACAAAGAATCAGAATCATGATTTTCTTATTTTTGGAGATTTAGGAGGGAAAATTAATTAAAAATTTAAACGCAAAAACCGGGGTATCAGAAAAAGGATTAATTGTAAAACGGCGGGAGGTTAGAATTTTCAGAGGGGCGGGGCAATGCCCGCCCAAACTGAAAAGAATAGCCATTAATCCCATTTTTAACAGAAAAGCCTTTTACCGAAACTACCCCCACACAAATTACACACACACTCCGCCTTCAGTCGCACACCTTTCCTCACTTCTCTCTCTCTCTCCTCATCCCTTCCGTCGCCTCTCTCTCCTCTTTCTCTCATGGAGAACCAGCAGAGCCAGAAACGCCATGAACTACTGCCGTCCAGCTCGGCGGCGAGGAGAAGCTTGAAAAGGAAGCTTGACGAAGATTTCGATGACGATCGCAAGATCGATGCTGCTTTATCCCCGCGTTACGATCAGCAAGATCTCGCGCGTGATATTCGCACTCAAGTCGAAATTCTTCAGTCTTCTTTCTCCTCGGCGGAGGCGGATCGAGCAGCTGCTAAGCGCGCTATTCAGATGCTCTCTGACCTTGCCAAGAACGGTGCGGCCTGCGGATTTTTTTTTCTTTCTTTTCTTTTTTATTTTTGAATTTTCGTTTCGTTTATTGTCTTTTTGAATCTGATTTCGACTTGTCTGCTTGATGCGTTGGGTTGAGCGTCAATTTAGTTTACATTTAAGTTAATTTCGTTTTGATCTTGAGGTCTGTGTGGTTACAGAGGAGATGGTAAATATAATTGTGGAATGTGGAGCTGTTCCGCCGTTGGTGCGGCATCTTCAGTCGCCGGAGCCGGTGAGTGAAGGATACTGTACGCCCAAGCCATACGAGCACGAGGTTGAAAAAGGAAGTGCGTTCACCCTCGGACTTCTTGCCATTAAAGTAGGTTCAGACTGCTTCTTCTTTATATTTCTATGCTTGATTCTCCATTTCGAATGTATCTTAGTTTGTGTCCGAGCTTACTCTGAGAGCTACATATATTTTGGTTAAAAATTACTTACTGTCCAGTTTGAATTAGGAAGTCTATGTAGTATCATATTGAGACTGGTTTCCATTTCATGTGCCCCTTAAACATGTGTCCACAGTCTTTGGATTAGCTCAACTTATTTTAATTTAGCTTATGAAGTTGCGGACACCTTTTCATCATGTTATCTTGTAGTTTTCGAAGTTTTCTGGCCACTGCAGTTTTATAAACTGCTTGCTTTTTTGGCAACTTTTGGACTTTGGAAAGATAATATGAATCCGACTTATAGTAGGAGAAAAGCTTCATTGTAGGTTTAACTGCAATCAGCCTGTGAAAGTCAATTCGAAAGTCAAATGTAGTCTGTTTTCTGATATTTATGATGGGCAATTCATGAAGTTTTTGGAATATATACTTGCTTCTAAAGTTTGGGATCCTTTGATAAATGGAAACTCTGGAGAAATATCTAATGCTAGGAATTCTAATTGTTGACGGATGGGCTTGTCTTCATTTTCATCTGCATAATTTTCTTGCGCATAGTTTTTTTTTCGTGCTTCTTTCGTAACTTGCTTAATTGAGAATCGAATTTACTGAGAAATGGAATTTAAGTGCTGTTATGTGATATTGTAGACTTATTTTATGGAAAATTGTGATTAATCATATCATGTTGGATTTGACTGCTGATACAAAGTTCCACTGGGTTTCCTGTATACAGCCAGAGCACCAACAGCTCATTGTTGATGCGGGAGCTTTGCCACATCTTGTGGAACTCCTGAAGAGACACAGAAATGGTCAAAACTCTAGGGCAGTTAATGGTGTTATAAGGAGGGCAGCAGATGCTATCACTAATCTTGCTCATGAGAACAGCAGCATAAAAACACGTGTTAGGTATTATTTTTGGAATTTCGTTATTGAGATCTACTGGACCACGGTCCATTACATACACTCACTTTGCAATTTTTTTTTTATTTATTTTTTTCCTTTTCTACTATCAGGATTGAAGGTGGAATCCCCCCTCTTGTTGAATTGCTTGAGTTCATCGATACAAAGGTACAGAGAGCAGCTGCAGGGGCACTGAGAACTCTTGCATTTAAAAATGATGAGAACAAGAATCAGGTAAGTAAATTTCATAAATCTTTGAGTCGCAATGAGGCAATATTTGATGTTATTTTAATTCAAAAGGGTGGCTGTAACTGATTGCAGATTGTGGAATGCAATGCTTTGCCCACACTTATCTTAATGCTTCGGTCTGAGGATTCTGCCATCCATTATGAAGCGGTTAGATATTTTCTATATCTGGTTCCAGTTGTCAAATGATTAGGTATCTGGATGAGAATCCATGCTGCAGTGTGTTTCTGTTATGCTAATTATTGGTTTCATTGTCAGGTTGGTGTTATTGGAAACTTGGTACACTCCTCACCTAACATCAAGAAAGAAGTTCTTGCTGCTGGAGCGTTGCAACCTGTTATTGGATTACTTAGGTTTTTGTTCTTTCAACTCTATTCTTTTTTGATGGAATTGAAACTTGTTTTGCTGTCATTCATTGGGAACTTTTAATCCTTTCAATCATTCTACTGTTGAACGTATCTTCTCACTTTTTTGCTTTTATGATAGTTCCTGCTGCTCCGAGAGTCAAAGAGAGGCTGCTTTGCTGCTTGGGCAATTTGCTGCGACAGATTCTGACTGTAAGGTTGAATGCAACAACATTTTTTTTTTATGCTTTGTAGTTCTATAAAATTCCTTTCTACCACTGGCGAGTTTCTTATCTTCTGAATCTCTTTGTGGGTGTGCAGGTGCACATTGTCCAAAGGGGTGCTGTTAGGCCCTTAATAGACATGCTCCAGTCCCAGGATCCTCAATTAAAAGAAATGTCAGCCTTTGCATTGGGGAGGTTGGCGCAGGTAGTTTTTTCTAAAGTTTCTTATGTCATGCTTCTTTAGTATCTGTATTGTACCTTTGATCTCAAGATTTTTTTTTTCTTTTTGACAAGTTTAGATTTGAGTGAAGTTACCCTTGGATGCTTCAGTTAACTGTTATGATTATGTTTTGTTCGTAATTCTATGGATTCTGGCTTCTTTTTAGAAAATGTTTGTAGTGCTTTTATGACTAGAGACCTGAAATTCTGTTCATGGATTTCAGGACATGCACAATCAGGCTGGTATTGCGCATAGTGGTGGCATAATGCCTCTACTTAAACTCCTTGATTCGAAGAATGGATCTCTACAACATAATGCTGCATTTGCACTTTATGGGCTTGCAGATAATGAGGTTTGCGCCTTTTTCTTTTGAAATTCAGCTCATGCATCTTTACTTCCACTAGTTTTATCGTTACCTATATACTTGTGCTACTTGTAGGATAATGTTGCGGATCTTGTCAAGGTTGGAGGTGTCCAGAAACTGCAAGAGGGAGAATTCATTGTCCAAGTATGCTTTTGACTTTTGAAGGAATTTAGTTGCACAGTTTGTCCTCTTCTATTCAGATTTTGTTTTCTTTGGTAACAGTTGTATGTTTGTTTTGCGTTATATCTTATTCTTTTTACCCTCTTCTGATGTGAATTATTGCTACGCAGCCGACTAGAGATTGTGTCGCTAAAACTTTGAAACGGCTGGAGGAGAAGATCCACGGGCGAGTAAGTTAATCTCTCTACACTTTAGGTGGGGATTGCAATCTCGCATCGTTGTTTTCAACGATGTATTGAACTGGCTCCATTCATAATCATTATAGAATACCAACTCTTTTCTACTAAGTACCATATTGGGCCTAAGTTCATAGAAACATAGTGCAGAAGATCTGAAGCTGTTTGGGATTTACTGATAGCATCATCCTTGTTCAAAAAGACTTGAAAAAATTGGACATAAGAAGGATTTTTTGAAATGATATCTTTGTTGCTGTATCGTGACACATCAGTTTGTATACTATTTTTCAGGTATTGAGCCATTTATTGTACTTGATGCGAGGAGAGAAGGCTATACAAAGACGGGTTGCTTTGGCCCTTGCTCATCTTTGTTCCCCAGATGACCTGAGAACAATTTTTATTGATCATAGTGGTACTTTCGGTGCATCATAGATTTGAGTTTTTAGTTATTTTGGCATTTGAAAGCTTATTAAATTTGTTGCTGCAGCACTTGACTTACTCCTGGAGCTCCTTGAATCTACAAACCCTAAGTACCAAGAAGATGCCTCAGTTGCTCTGTGCAAATTGTCCACCAAAGCCAGCGTACTTTCCCCTGTTGATGCAGCTCCACCATCTCCCATCCCTCAGGTGGGGCCTAAATTTTTAGTAAATTGGCGTAGTAGAATTCTATCACGACTGCCTGAAAAAGTGCTGTTGACTTTATTACTGATGGGTTGTGTCTTAGTTGGTATCCCTTGTTTGCTAAAGGGGTTTAATAGCGGACGTAACTGTTTCATTGAGAAGGATTCTACGTGTTGCAATTTGACAAAGTGCTTTCTACATCTTGTCCAATTATGCTTTAGAGTATGTTTGATGAGAGCTATTGACATCTCCTATAAATGTGTGCTGAGTGGAAGATACTGCAAAAGTGTTTCCATTACTTACTCAGTGGATTTGTTGATGTTTTTCTTTTCAACACTGTGATCATAACCTTCTAAAGTCAAACTTGTTTATTTTACCAGTGTGACACCTAGTCACGTGGTTGGTTTGAAAAATCACCCAATTTATGGTTGTATTAATTTCACAGGTGTACTTGGGTGAGCAGTATGTTAATAATTCTACACTGTCTGATGTCACATTCTTAATTGAAGGTGAGCCATATCTTCTCATGAGCTTTCAAGAATGTCCATTGTAATTTACGTTTGTCTTCTTACACAAATTTTTATTTGCTTGTCAGGCAAGCGGTTCTATGCTCACAGAATCTGTCTACTTGCTTCTTCTGACGCTTTTAGAGCAATGTTTGATGGTGGATACAGGGTGAGCATACTATTACAGCAAGAGTTTCTAGTTACATGATGCTGAAGCCTTTTCTTTTCCTTTGTAACGTAGTTCAGAAAGCCCTCTTTCTCCTCCAACTATCTTTCTATGCTGCCTTCTGTTTGAGCATCGTCAAAGTCCATGGTATTGAACCCTGCAGAACTGTCAAACTCCAGTTGGATTTGATTAGTACTTAACAAGGAATGGAAACTTCTTTTCTGAAAATTTTTAAGTTGGACCATGGTTTTCGGACACCCCTGGGAAACCATTAGGAAAATACCAATACATCCTGCATCGAGAATTTCCTTCTTCGAAGTTAAAAGGTTAATTGATGACCGCAAAATTGCAAAATATTCCATCCTATCCAACCAGTTTTTGAAGAAACCAGTCTTTAACTGTGTTCATTTTGCCGGTTTTTTTTTTTTTTTTGAAGAAACATTTTGCGGGTTAATATGAAATATGTTTTCACTATTCTTACTTTAATATGCTGCAGGAGAGAGATGCAAAAGACATAGAGATTCCTAATATTACATGGGAAGTATTTGAGTTGATGATGAGGTACAATTTCTTCTTATGTCCTTCCACTTCCATTTTTTGGGGATCAAAAGAATTGAATCTCCTTTGTATTTGCAATGATTGTTATTCCTTGTACCTTGCAGATACATATATACTGGATCTGTTACTGTCAACTTGAATGTGGCACAAGACCTTTTGAGAGCTGCAGATCAGTATCTACTGGAGGGCCTTAAACGACTCTGCGAGTATGCCATTGCTCAAGTGAGTAGAACAAAATAAATAAGTTCCTTTTGCATCCCATAGATATCTGAAATCATTTCTGATGTTTTGTGTTTGTCTGTGAAGGATATCTCGGTGGAAAATGTCTCTATGATGTTTGAGTTGTCAGAGGCATTCAACGCAACATCATTGAGACATGCTTGTATCTTGTTTATCTTGGAGAACTTTGAGAAATTGAGTTCGAAGTCCTGGTATGCTACATTGACTGTCCTTCCATATTACGTCTTTTTAAATAAAATGACTGCATATTATGAATGAAGTCATTAGTTGATTTGAACTTGTAACCATGGTTGAAAGTGTTAATCCCAATTATTTCTTGCTGCCGGTACTGTGGCTTTTGCCAGAACAATAATGAATGCACCCTGTAGATTGAACTTTCTTGTTTGGACTTGTCTCAAAGTTAACTGCTCTTAAACTCAAAAAAGCTGCTACCCATGGATTTTTTTTCTTGTGAAATGCAGGTATTCGCATTTGATTCAGAGGGTTTTACCAGAGACACGGCAGTATTTCGTTAAGGCACTCAGTAGACCTACGCAAGCTGAGTCGAGGAGATAGGTTGGCGGGCCAATTTTTTGTTGTTTGACTTAGTGGTGTTTGACAGAGCTAAGATTGTACAGATTGGAGTAGTAGATGAGCAAAGCAACCATTTGTTGTCCTGATCTGGAATCGGAAGCATCCGCAAGAGCTGAATGCAACCCTCTAGATTATGACTGATTAATTTCTTCTGATGCTACTGGTTGGTATCAATGAGAATTCTCCGAGCAAGAATGAAGGCACAAGACATTGTGGCGAAAGGGGAGTATCGTCCAGATAGTGTGATCTCGGCTATATGATGTGCAGCTGTAACACAAAACCTTGTACCCAGAATAGGGTAGAAGCTTTAATTGTTTGTTGACCTCGTGAGTGCTCTTGATAAAATTGGGGGACTTAGTTCCTTGTTATAGAGATACAGCCGTTTCTTTTCTAATATGATTGTTTCTCATCTTCGCCTCAGAAATATTGTTTCAAGATGGAATTGCCAGCATAACTTGAATTGAAAGATCGGCTTTTACGAGCCAAAATGAGAACGCACCTGAACTGATGCAAGCCCGATGACCCTGAATCAGACTTTCTTTGCTAAACTTACAATGATTTATGTTCAGTTAAATATTAACCTATTTCCAATGGGAACAAAATGGGAGGGGCAGCTTACTCCACTTTGTAATGGTTGAACAAGGAGTTAAAATTTGGAAATTGTAGTACCATTTGCAAGGTCGAACTGAAGTCCAAACGAAGAAACCAATGGAGCTCTTCCTGACAAAATGATTACAAGGATACATTACGTTACAAATGTATGAACAAAACATCACCCAAAACAGTAAACACTACTGTCTTTCCTTGTCCAATATTTTTCCAAAGTACACCACTACAGTCTTTCTCATTTTCACAACATTTCACTCGTGGGACGTAATTTGTGTACACTTCTTTTTGTACTGAAAAGAAACTGTCACCACTCCGAGCTTTCTGAAACGCGCAAGCTAGCCATTCTTTTAGCACAAGATGAATCTTCTTTGCTAGACCAGTTGCCTTTTACTATCCCACATGCCTGGATTGGACGTTCGATCTGGAACCCGCTGTTCGTGCTTTCTTTTTCCAGAAGCATGCAGTACTTCCCAAATGTATCTTTGCTTACATAAAGTCGAAAATCCAAACCAAACAAAAACTTCATTTCCAATCTGTTCAACTCTGACGTGCTTACGCCTCCAACTCTAGCATAATACGCATTATTGAAGAACCTGAAGAATTAAATATGATCAGATCAATCCCAACTGAAATCATCAAAAATGTCTAAAGATTAACTGACTTGCATGTTACTGTCCCTCAAAAGAATTAACCAAATGTTTTCATCTAATCTGATTAGTACTTCTCTAATCTGCTACATCCTAATAGCAACTGTGAGATAATGAATTAAAAGGCAGGGTTGACTTACGCGTCATCAACAAATTTTGCTGCCACCATAATGCTGGTGATTAAGAGCCGATGAACATTGAGGGAAGTTACAAGAGCACTGGTGAGCTGAATAAATCTCTCCACATATATATGTGCAACCACAAAGCAGGAAGGGCTGCAGTATGAATACTTAAAGATCCGATCTATGTACTGTCCAATGCTTAAAGGGGGTGCTTTTGTACCATGAAAGATGGTCATAATGTCTTTCGTCTGTGTAGTTTCAAGATACCTTTCATTTTTTTGAATAGATCTTTCAAGAAATAGCGATATGTATGATAGAACTCGAGGTATTTCTGAAGTTTCTTTCCTGGATTCTCTGAGCCCAAGTCTTAAGTAAGTCTCTGAGCATGCATTCTCAGTTTCAATACCTAAACTCCCCATGATCCTACATTGCCACAATATGACACCAATCAGATGATCACGAAATAATCACTGGAAAACCTAGAACATTACAAACAGGTTTCATATAAAGTCCTACGTAAAACACTTGAAACTCGGTGAGAAAATGGAAAATAAATAGCAGAAAAGGCAAAAATTACACAAAATGCACTTCATAAATACGAGTACCATTTTAACCCATTATCTAACGCTTATGAAGCTAAGATCAGCTCAATGGTACAATAAACCTTTCAAACCTATCTTTCCATAACTTAATCGATGGCAAGATACTTACCAGCCCTTATTCGTAGCAATGGAGTACATGATCAGGGCATGGACCTCACGACTAACAATCAGACTAAACAGGAAAAAGAAGTTCCTAACTATGCAAAAATAATTCAAACTCATACAGTACTTTTGCAAAGAAATTAACAGAACCCATGATGCCACAAAGGTTAAAGCAGGTATGAGCCACAACTTCAGCTGCCCTATGAAATCAGAGAAAGGGAGAGATAACTAACGCTTTAAGGCTGTTGCAATAGGCTAGGTTATAAGCTTCAATTGCAAGAGGTGGCAGGCAATGTGATCAAAAGGTTACCAGACTTGAAAGGGTAGTTATTCTCTAAAGCTTACTTAAAAAGAAAAGAAAGCCTTAAAATGCTTAGATCCAGTGACAGGATTTTTTCCCAGTGGAACTCTAGTTTCATGCTTGACATCTTGAAAGGAACTTTAACAGTACACATGCAATTTCCCAGGTTCAGACTCAATGTAAGTGCATCAAATGATGGATCAACACTAAGACTCATTGTTAATGACAAATTTGGCCCTTTAGATCAGTCTTAGTTGCTCTTTGGTTGCAGAAGTAGGATTACCATCAAAATGGATGAGAGATTGACTTTGTTCCTCACAAATGGTATTGAAGTTTCCAATTATTTCATTATTAAGACTCGATTAGGCTTTCAACAGGCCTATGGGAGAACCGGACACAAGTTGCAATTCTAATTCCCTGCAAACTGCGGTCTGAAATTCGCCAAGAAAATCCAAAATTGATGTATAAAGTGCATTTAAAGACCCAAAAAGGACAAATTATTAATACCAACAACACCTCCTTCTGGTAGTCTTCAACTTAAATTAATGGTATCAATCTCAATTACATGTTGTGATATTATCTGTACAATGTAAGTTAAGAAACAAAAGAAGATACTGAGCTTTCCGTCTTCCTTGCCTTTCAAGTTCGCTTCTATGCTCGTTCCCAAACATAGTGTAGAAATGAAATGAACAAAAAGCAAATTCCAAGAAAATGATAAGAAAAAGCCGAAAGAGTCTTTTGACTCTGCATTACAATTCACAATTCAGTCTTGCGATGTCTTGGTGATTAAGAAAATATGACTACCCAAAAGGTACCGAAACACACAAGAAATGACCAAAATAGAAGAACCCATAAAAAAAAAATTAAAAAAAGAAAAGAAATACATGAAGTTGAGAATATCTGACACTGAAACAAGCCAAATTAACGAGACCCAGTTCATCAACTTAACAAGAGAAAATCAAGAAAACCAAAATAACTTGTAATGTGAAGTAGATTGAGAAGTGGGCTCACATAGAATTGTTGAGGGAGAGATCTGAAATAAATCCCAAAACTTCACTTCAACTTCAATGAGCACCAACCAACTACAGCATTGGAAGAAATATGCATATTCTCAATCTCAGAAGGAAGAAGGTTCAGCAGCAGCAGCATCAAGAACAATTCTTTTCTCTCCTTTGTCTCACAAAGACTGCAATAATGAAGCGAATATCCCTCTGTTTTTTACTTTTTTTTAAGGGAAGAGAGAGAGACCCGAAATGGGATTATTCAATGAAACAAGTAAGAAATATTTGATCCTTCTTCTTCTTTTTTTTATTAATGCTTCTTCTTTTGCTTTTCTTTTTTCTGCTTTACCTTCCAAGTTGCTGTAGTTGGAGTTTAGGTCGCTTCACATGGAAATCTGGGGAACTCTTTCTCCTTTTCTTTTTTCAACTCAAGTTCCTCGCGGGTCAACCCATTGTACCAACTCATCGGATCCGGGTTTGCCTTCGGTAATCGATATACTTTGCTCCGTTTTAACCGTTTACGTCCCTAGGTTCACGGAACAGATGTCGGTGGCTTATTTTATTCTCATTTATCCGGCGGTGATTGGGTTAGCCCCACCAAATATTCATCGTATTCATTGTAAGTTTTCTTTTTTTTAAAAAAAAAATAAAAATAATATACTTGTTACAATGTTTAATTAACAGGAAAAACTTTTTAAAAAATCTTATAAATCAACGTTAAAAATGGTTTTTCACTCCATCGTCTTCGTCCCAAATTGTTTTTTTAAAAAGATCAATTTATTGTGGTAACTCAGTGTGAGATCGGTGACGTGTAGAAAATTAGCAATATTTACTTTTAAATTCCACATGACAGCATAATTGTTCGAATTAAGATAATTGAATAGGAAAACTGACTCGGAATGCAGTGATTATCTCTTCAGATTTGGAGGGAACCACTCCCGCGTTTATTAAGCCTCTGTTTGTTTGATTTTTTTTTTATAGTTTTTTTAGTTTATTTTATTAATAACTGTTCCATTTCATCATATTTTTTTACATTTTCAATATATTTTTTTATATTTCCAATACTAAAAACACCTAAAAACACATATAAAAAAACGAAACAAACATACCCTAAAATACTTTAATTCACAAAAAAAAAGATAGAAGAACAAAAAAGCCATCTGGCAAGGAATAGTGACTGAAGTGTGGAGTTTTGTTTGTATTTATTTATTTTTTGTTTAATGATAATATTAATTGGAGGTCAGAGCTGGAATCCATCATGTAACAATATGTGACTGTCTGTGACAAACACAGTAACATAGTTAATGTGCCTCTCAATATTTTAGTCGGATCCAAGTCAAACCTTGTCAGTTTCATTTGTTTCAGTTGCGGTGCAGCATCAACATGTCACGTTTCAGTCAACAAACAAATTAGTATGGAATGAACATTGAATATAGATATACTAATCAAACTAATAACACAATTGGGACATTTTTGATTTGGACAACTTTTATTGTTCAGTTGTCGGTGTTCTTTCACCCACTGTAAAATATAAAAATATAATCTCTTCGTTCTAAATGTATTGTCCAATTTGGATTTTGTTTTAGTGCAAGTCCAAACTGCACAATAATTTTGAGACTAAGACTGAAAATTCAAATTGAACAATAATTTTGGGATGAAGAAAATATTTTTTTCATTATAAAATAATTACGTGGATGGAAAATGTTGTAGTTTGAGTTTTGTTAAAAACTAACGTCTTTCGTTGTCAAGGGAAAAAAATAATTATTCCAAGTATTTCCATTTTGCAAATCGTTTTTGTATTGGTAAGTTTCGAATGTTAGCTTGCTCCGGGCTAACCAAGTTCTATACTAACTATCTTACCATCTCGAATATTTCGGATACTTGGGAATCCTAATTTGGTCTTGCTTGTGCTTATTTGTATAGTGACTTTAGTCACCTATAAATGTAAAAAGCGTAACTTGCTGAATTTAGGGCCATTGTAAATAGAGTATCTGGTTCTCCTTAAATCTTTTATGTTGTTGCGTCCATGATGTTTCAATTTCGTGTTGTTCATGTCACTGCTTTTCTTAAATTTTCTTTTCCATTATGGCATTATCCCTCAGCTGATCACCTTTTCTTTTTTTTTTTGTTCCCTTTTTATCTCCTGACTCCTTCATAGTTGTACCTTTTATATTTCAACACTTTCCCCACCTTCTAAATAAATCTATAAATGATACTTTCGAAGTTCCTCATTAGAAAAAAAAAGAAAAAAAAGTAGTTTAAGATACATGCTTTATGTACAGATTATCGAGACTATGTTTTTTTCCTTTCCTTTTTCTTATTTTTAACATCGTAGTTTTGTTATTACGCATTATATTTTATCTCACAAAATTATTATACTTTAACAGAATAGATTATTTTTATGATACCAAAGAAGTACTAATTACTCCCTTAATTTATGTTAAAAATATAATTTAAAGTGGATATTCGTTCCATAACGAAATAAATAAGGTTATTCTGCTGCCTGCTTGGTGTTGAGGTGTATTGATAATGATGGTGTTCCGACTTCCAATTGTATTGACAATAACCATCTCACAATGATTATTGCATCAGTATCCATAATAAAACTTCAATTATGTTTTTTGTTTGCTAGATGTTGATTTTATTTATTTATTTATTTTATTTTCTATCTTACTCCTCTTTCTTTCTTTTTTTTTTTTTTTTGTACAAGGAAAAGGAGGCAAAAAAATGCCTTGCTAAGTTATAACATTCCGGGGATAAAGTACCCTTTGTACATCATGGCGTAGTCACTTGGTGACTAACGCGGGGGGATGTGCTAGTTTCCTCACTCCCCAATCTGTTTGTTCCTTCAGGCCGGCAAGGCAATCTGCAACAAAGTTGGGCTCCCTGTGAATGCAGGACACAGATACACTCCAATCTCTGGCCAACAACTCCTTTATGCCATTGATAATACCTCCATGAACTCCTGTATGGCCAGATGTGACCATCACCAGCTTCATAGCTTCTTCACTATCCAATTCCGCTATGATTCGCCGCTCCCCTGCTTCTCACGCCATCAATAACCCGTGCCACAATCCCCCAGCTCTGCTCCCGTAATGGTAGTGGCGCCAATTTTAACAGTAAAACCCAAAATCCATTCCCCTGACTCCCCTCCGAGCAGCCCCCCGGCTCTAGCTTCCCTTGTATTCTGATCGTAGGCCTGGAAAACATGCTATGAAAACCAAGTAAGACAGAAAACCAAGGCCTGGAACCCTCACCAAATCAGCATGGCAGGTCGTTTAACCCTTTGTCAATCTATCCTTGCTGCTTTTCATGTTTATTTAATGCAATTGCACGTGATCCCAAAAGAAGTGAGTGATGAAATTGATAAATTACGAAGAAACTTTCTTTGGGGCGCGAAGCTTGGTGAACGGAGAATGAACATGGTAAGTTGGGACAACGTCTGTCAGCCGAAAAAGCACGGCGGCCTTGGGCTAAGGAAACTCAGAGAAGTTAATACTTCACTCTTGCTGAAATTAGCCTGGGAGCTAATATCAAGAAGGGAGTCAATGTGGACTACCGTTTTCAAAGCGAAATATGCTTCTGTTACATCTCTCAACCCCAGACATCAATATGGGGCAAAGTCTCAGCTAGGTAAAGAGCTTTCAAAGATATGGTCTGTTGCATTAAACGGCATCAAATGGGTTGTTGGTAACGGTGGAAAGATATCCTTTCGGGAGGACTTATGGCTGGATACAGAACAACCTCTAATTCATTCATCAACGGCCCAAATACCAGTAAACCTCCGGAATCTCAAGCTCAAGGACTATATTGATCACCGAGGGAATTGGAACTGGGATTTAATCAGACAATGGACCAGTTAAGACACACAAAAGATGATCATGGCAGTTCCTCCTCCACACGCACTCCTTGGACCTGATAGACCCACCTGGAAATGGTCGAATACTGAAAATTTCACGACATCCACAGCATTCAAAACTCTCAAGTTCAACTCCTGGCAACCACAAGATATGAAATGGATGGCAGCTTGGAATTGGGAAGGACCAAAAAAAATTAAGCTTTCTTATGGTCACTTTTAAAAGAATCCCTCCTCACTAACGCTGAAAGATGGCATAGACATATGGCAGAACAGCCGCCTGCCCCTTCTGCTCCCAAACAGAAACTCTTTTCCACCTTTTTAGGGACTGCCTCAAATCCAAACTAACCTGGATGAACATCAATGGCAGTCTTGACTTGAATTTATGGGTCGAAACTAATTGGAACAAATGGATTCTTTCTAACTTAACTTCTTCTGCTTTGCAGGAAACTCACCATTGGGAGACATTATTTGCAGTAACTTGTTGAAAACTGTGGAATGCAAGGAACAAAGAAATCTTCGCTGAAAGATCCATTAACTCCAGAAGCCTTGCGTTCTCAATTGTAGCTGCAGCAAATGAAATAAAAAGAAACCATACCCCCCAAGATACCAAAAGCTACTTAGGGTTTAATGTCTAACAATGAACCAATCCGGCGACCTCCACCAAGCCTGTGGACTTGTATCAACACAGATGCTGTTGTCAACAATGCCACAAAATCAGCAGCGGCCGGAGGAGTTTTGAGAAATCACGAAGGATGTTGGATATCAGGTTTTGCAGCAAGGATTGGTACCTGTTCTGTTTTGGAAGCGGAGCTATGGGGAGCATATATTGGCCTCAAAATAGCTTGGCAACTAGGACTTCGGAAAATACAACTAGAAATAGATAGTTCGAATGCTGTCAAATACATAACTGAAGAAGAAGCATCTTTTGTCCAGAGCAATATTTTGCGTAGAATCAAACTTTTGATCAACCTACAATGGCAGGTGGAAACTTCTTTTATCAAGCGAGAGGAGAACGAAGTAGCAGACTCCTTAGCAAAGTTAGGACTTGATTGTAGATTGGGGTTGCAGATTTTGTCGACGCCCCGAATATAGTTTTAGATAAGCTATCTTTTGACCTCCTATCCCCCCTTCAAGGGTGGCATTGTAGCTCTAAGCATTTTGCTTCCTCTATATACATAAAAAAATACTTGTTTTTGTCTAATGCTTAATTTATAATATGTTCAGGGATGCCCTGGCAATATTCGGATTTTGCATATTTTGTTGACGCTCCGTACTTTAGAAGTGTTTAAACTTACTTCATCCCAAGCCCACAAGGATATTTTGTAAATCTTAAATCTCAAGGTTTCCTTTGTATTATAAAAATAAAAAATTATAATCTCTTTTAGAAAATTAATTTACTGCGATAGTATTTTTTTTAATCTTACTTATAAGATGTAAATTTAATTTTACCGGTAGTTTGTATTTTATAATTAGTATCGAAAACTATATCATTTTATTGAATCAGAAGAGGAAAGCCATTTTATATGAGTCAGTTACATGCATATTGTTTCATGGAAAGATGACAAGAATTTCACTTTTTGACTGTGATACAAAGTTTAATTGGCATTTAATAGATACTATATTTTATTTACATAATTCACATAGTGTTTTATTAAATTGTTCGATTTTAGTTTTATCTTTTAATAGAAAAAGATGGAAGAATTCCTTAATTCATGAACTAGTGAGATTTGAATATATATATACATATATACACACACACACACACACACACATATATGGCTTCCCGCCGGGTGAGGTTCAATGGTCCAAATCCAACAGACATCTCGCAGTTCATTTTCCTTACATTTAGCCTGTTAAATAGTTTTTGACCACACCATCCTTGGTAATTTTGGATCCTAGAAAACAGGAAAACTTCAGAAGAATCTAATCAACCACCCATCATCTTCATTCTTGCAAATCTCGGAGATGTGGCGTCTCATCGCTCCACCCCCCAATCATCGCCACCACCACAAGTATTAGCCGGAGCTTCCGCCGGTGAATTCCACACAAATCAGCCAACATACCCCAAAAATCCCAAGTCAAACATAAAAAAAAAAAAAAGAAGAAGTTACTATTACACATTAAGGCCTTAAAAACATCGAGCTGGAAGTTTCAAGAACAAATTAAGTATATTTCTCATTTCCTCCGTTCTCTCTTGAAGCACAAATTACTAATTTGTTGTTGTTCTCTTTACGTGGTGTGTATAAGTAGAATACATCGAGGACGCTGGTCCTGGATTGCGTGGATGGCGGTGGCGGACGTCACCATCAAACAAATGCTACCGAAACCAATACAATTGGCGGACCTGGTGACGAAATCGGCCGACGATGCCATCACTTTCCGACAAGAATGTTTAGAAATCAAAGCCAAGACGGAGGAACTCGCCAACTTGCTCCGTCAGGCGGATCACGCCAGTATTAACGCTTTTTACGATCGTCCAACCCGGCGGATCATCTACGGGACGGAACAAGTTTTGGACGAAACTCTAATCCTGATTCTCAGATGCAAGGCCAGAGGCCTGAAACGCGTATTCAACATTCATAACTACTCTCAACCTAGAAGACTCTCCCGACAGCTTCAGGATTCCATAGGTGACGTGTCGCGGCTCCTCCGGTTACCGGTTCCGGCCCACGGCCCTGGCAATGCGTTCTTCATCGGGCTGCCTCCGATCATCATAAAAGAACCAACCCTCTGCCTGGTTTGGGAACAAATTGCCATCATCAACTCAGGTTCGGTTGAGGAACGAGCCGAAGCTGTCGGTTTGTTGGTTTCCATAGCGCGAGAAAACGACTGGTTCGGGAATCTGATCAGGAAGGAAGGTGGGATCCCGCCGTTGTTGAAGGCGGCCGAGGAAGGAAGCTTGGAAGGTCAGGAAAATGCTGCGAGGGCGATTGGTTACTTAGGAAGGGACCCTGAAATCGCGAAACAGATGTTGGAAGCCGGGGTTTCTTTGGTGTTTGCGAAAATCCTGAAAGAAAGTCGCATGGAAGTTCAGGTTATGGTGGCCTGGGCCATCTCGGAATTGGCTGCTAATTATCCTGATTGTCAAGATCATTTTGCCCAGAGTAACATTATTTCTTTGCTGGTGAGTCATCTCACTTTTGAGACAATTCAGGAGCACGGCGAAATGTCGGTCCGCGCCAATCGTCACATCAGATTCCAGCAGCGATGATAATAACAATGACTGCATCTCAAGCAATAATGCGCAAGTTGATGATCATGAAGTGGATCAAATGTCTCATCCGTTATTAGGAGAAGAAGAAATGCAAAATCAAGTGCACAACGTGGCGACCGACGCCGTAGACCTCAAATCAGGCCCAGAAACAGGTCTGAGCACAGAAGGGAGGGATTTTCAAGATCCGATTATAAAAGCACAGATGAAGGAAATGGCTGCCAAGGCACTTAGGTACCTTTGCAAAGGAAACGTGACAATCTGTCGAAGCATTACGGAATCTAGCGCGCTGTCATGCTTTGTAGTCCTGTTAGAAAAGTCCAATGACAAAATCCAGCACCATTCAGTCAGGGCATTGATGGAAATCACGGCAGTTGCCGAAGACAACCTTGAACTCCGACAATCCGCCTTCAGCACTACTTCCCCGGTGGTCGAGCTGCTATCGAACAGTTCATCCGAATCATCGGGAAGAAGGTCTGACCCTCCTGATTCCCAGCATCAGGTCGATTGGAAACCTGGCGAAGACTTTTCGGGTGACAGAAACACGGATCATCAGGCCGCTGGTTAAACTCCTGGACAACAGGGAACCCGAAATCATTCGCGAAGCGGCCATCGCATTGACCAAATTCGCTTGTGCCGAGTATTTCTTCCGTGTGGGTCACTGCAAGGTAATCATTGATGCCGGCGGGATAGAACACCTGATTTCCCTGATTTACTTTGGGGAACAAATGATGAAGAATCCGTCTTTGATTCTGCTATGTCACGTCGCCAAGCATGTGCCTGATAGCAAGATTTTCACTCAGGAAGATGTGATCATCCCGTTTCAATGGTCGACAAAACAGGAAGCCCTGATGAGTGATCCTTCTGTAAAACAATTAGTAGAGGAAGCCAAACATAGTTTACATTTGTTCAAGTCCCGCTAAGGTTCATTCATGTTATTTTCTGTCAAGTTGTAGCCTTTAGCAATGTTGTTTTTTGGATAGCGTCTCCACTTCGTTTTGGTTAATTAGACTTATAAATGAACAATCCCTGACCAAGTCTCGGTTAGCTTTTATATAAATTAATCGAAACCATAACTCGAAGAATATGTGTAATAATAACGAAAGAAAATGATGAAAGACTGCAAAATCGATCTTGACATTTTAAAAGTGAGTGGCGGAGGAGTTTCATTAATTCAATTAATTTACTTCTGTTTTTTTCTTTGACTGGTCATGGCAAATGTAGATTCAGGTAATGTAGTAGATTCAGGTAATCCTGTTGAATGCATTTTGCAATAATATAGTAGATTCAGGACAATGTACTTGAACATTTTGTGGGTGAAATCTCAGCTATATTTTTTTTCATACTACGTACGGTGTTGTAAGTGTATTGAACTTTCAACGATACATGATTCTTTTCCTAATTGACATCAACTGTAGGAACATATGAATTACGGTATAATGTGCATTAGAGGAAAAACTATGACAAAATAAGAACGCGTGAAATCAATATTAACTCAGATTTTCTTTTCAGTTTTCTCTTCATAATATCATTTCATTAAGTTCAACCCAAAGAAAGAAAAAGCATCTCAATAGTCAGGGTTACAGAAATAGCAACAACAACATAATTAATCATCTTAGTTTCTAAGAACCATCTAATGAGGTATCAAGAATGGTTTAACGGAAAGAAGTTGCTTGGGTTTCTTTGTGGTCGGAGGCACGTGCACAGTGGCCTCAACACACACATTAGAAAAGCCGTCGATGTGGCGTGCTTCAATGACAAGTTCGTCATTGATGCCCGACACAACTTGCCTTTTCGCCTTGACCACTCTCATGAACGCCAAATGCAGATGGCCTTTCTTGTTAACCTCCTCGATGGCGAACTTTGCGTTCGCCACGGCTTCTTGGTCTATTGGGCGTAATTCCTCATATTGGCCTAACCGACCGCCGATACCTAGAGCACATGATGATGAAAGGTAGAATATTGTCAACGCAATTGCAAGGGGAAGAAGATGGCATTTGAAAGCCATTTGGGATTGGAGATTTGGTTTTGATCTTTGTTCTTTCTTAGACTTTGTTTTTCTTCACTGGTTAATTTTGTGCGTGATTTTTTTCCTGATGAAGAAGGGAGGGTTTATATAGAGATAGGATAAGTGGCTCATTGGTGAATTTACTGCGATGTTGTCTGTTTTGGGGAAGTTGAACGGTACACATATTTACTTCACTCGTTGAACGTTTTTTTGACTTTTGGTTTGCTTATTCATTTCCAAAAGTTGGGAGCAGAAAGTAAGGAACATTTTGGGAGCTAAGTATAGGGGTTCAACGAATCGAGTAATTCGCGAGCAGCTTGCGAGTAACTTGGTCAAAGCTTGGCTTGAATTTGGTTTTAACCGAACTTGAGGCGAATTCGAACAGCTCGATTAGATAAACAAGTCGAACACGAGTATCAAAATACTTGATTCGAGAGCTCGTCGAGCCTATTCGAGCTTATTATAAATTATTTTATTTTTATTATGAAATAATATTTAAATAACAAAAAATTTTCTTTTTATTCCTTAAAAATTATTGTCCATTTGAAGATGTAATAATGGGATATACATATTTTGTATGATTTGTCAAAAAATTTTACTCATAGAACACATAGATTGTACTTATTAAATTGAAAATGACAAATATTAAAATTTATTCGAGCTCAATATATCGAGCATTCAAGCTCAATTTTTACCGGACACAAAAACTCGAGTCAATCGAGCCAAGCGTGAATTATTCATTTTTATTTCGAGACAAACTCAAACTTCAATTTAGTTATTCGACCAAGTTCGAACTCGAATACGAGCTCCAAAGTTTTTTATCGAACTCGAGCTCGAGCATCTAACTATTTAGACTTGACTCGGTTCATTGACAACCCTAACTAAATAGAGCAAGCTTAGGAGAGAAGGAAGTTACTTTTAGTATTACAGATTTACGATAAATAAAAAATTGTTAAAGCAGTTCTCAAAAAAATATATAATGTCTTTCTATTCAAAAAAAGGTGAGGCTAAATTCACTATAATCAAACGATTGACGATGATTGATTTATGATATACTCCATCCATTTCAAAATGTAGGTCGTTTTAGGTTTGAAAAAATATTTTAAAATGTAGGTTCTCAACTTTGTCCTTAATAAATGATGCTAACCACTTTTATCTAGTTTTGGTTATAGTTTTAAAATAATTAATAAAGGGAAAAATAAATATCGAACACACAAATTAATCATTAAATGATTATAATTGTCTCCTTAGTAGAGACTAAAAAGACTTACATTTTGAAATAGATGGAGTAATAAGTTTATAATAACCGGAATAGTAATGTTTAAAATAGTTAAGTAGCAAAAAACCAATAACTACCGTTTCTATTGATATTTACTTAGCTTGTATGTCCATGCCACAAGGACAACGACGATCTAATTAAACTCAAGCTACAAGCGCAAGAAATATACATCGAGAGATGTTCATCGTATCATTGTCCCTCTTGTATGTAATCCATCTTAATTTAAGAACTATCAAGTGGTAAGAGTCCCAATCGAAGTATGCATTTTTTTAAAAACGGTTTTCATATCATGCCGTAAATATAAACAATTAACAAACATGGTTGTTATAATAGCGTGTACAAGTTAATAATTGCTTTGTAGGGATAGTTTTTTATATTAGCTCGACTAATTCAGTCGATCGTAATGTGAAATGGTTGTTTTTGAATAATATCAATTAGTTAAACTCACGGTTGAACTATTAACGTAATTTATATTAGAGACTGTCTAATCATGTACAGCTGGCATTAATTTATTATTGAACTTTCATTATTTAGTTGACGTAAGCATGATTCGCCAAAAAAGACCAAAAAATGAGATTTATGGAGCATTAACTGCGGTCGCCCGTGGTTGGGTTAAGGAGTTCAAAGAGGCAAAAAGTAGATTTAATTAATTACTAGTTTTAAATAAACTGGTGACACTTAAACAAGTAGAGAAGAAAACTCGAGAGACAAAAATGTTTATACACCAATATACAAGGACCAGTATAATAATTTACTCAAAGAAACAGATTATATTGGGCATTGCGGAATTTGTACGCGCAGTTGGCTCCCACTAAACCCCCCACTCAGATTTTTCAAGTTGGAGTAATGGCGGATTGATTTCCCTCCAAACTCCCAAAATCCCTCTTCCTGTGAAACTACCCGACTTTCTTCTCCCTCTTGCGCAGGACTTCTGCCGTCCGCTCCGCCAACCTCCACCACAATCCTTCGGACTCGAGGTACTAAAAAGTATTCATCCACCGCTTTTGCTTTACTTTTACTCTCCTTTTTTTTGTTTGAATTTTGAATTCTTGTTATCTAGGGCTTTGTTTGTTTGTTTGTTTTTTTTCTTTCCCTTGCTCAATTTCTTGAGACTTTTGCATCGAAATTCGTACGGTATTAACCGGTAATGAACGATTCTAAACTTAGTCGTTATTTTACTCTTTACTTATTTTTCTATCGTTTTTGAAGCGGATCTGCTTGAAGTTGTTTCAATCTACTTCGGAGTGTGGTTGATGCCTGCATCTTTGTTTTTGTTTTTTTTTTCCCCCCTTGTTTGTTTCTAATTGTGTTAGTATTTAGTAGTAGATGTGCTGTTAAGGTGGCTGTTAAATTGTCTTTTTGTTTGATAATTCTACAAAAAAACATTAGTACTTTATTAGTCTGGATTCATAGTTTTGTGGAAATATGCTGTTAATGTTTGATTACTCCGGTACTAAATCGGTATAAATGGTCTTAAACTGCTTTTTGTCATAGATAAATTCAACTATTCAAGATTATACTGTGAATTTTACTTAAAATGTTATTGGCCTCCCTTGAGAAATCTCAAAGCATCATCTTAAGGATTTTTATTATCCATTCCAAGCTTTGCTTGGATTGTGATGACAATGTGGGTTAGGCTTTGGAGTCTACCTGTTGGTTTGTTTTCTCTCTGTTTCTATTATTGGTTTTAATGGTTGGGTCTCGGCCACTCTGGGCATCCTGTGTTAGTTACAATTGCTTGAAAAGTTGCAATATTTCATTTCCAATGATGATGAAGCTCTTGCCTGTACCTTTTACTGATTATATTTGAATTAAATGGCAGAAACTTATCTTTGGCTTATAGTACTTCGCATGGATTTAAAATATTATATGGAAACTTTGTTGTTCTTGCATACACATGTTACAGGCATGATTACTGATAACCTGGTTCTTAGTCTCCTTCTAAATGTTCTGAATCCTGTTTATGTGTTATGGTATTTTAGGCGCGTGCCCGTACTTTGGGCTGTATATGAGAGGTGCTGCATCAATTATAATTAACTCACTTATACCTTCTGGAAAGTGGAAACAATGGTTATGCTTTACACAGACTTGTCTTTCCTATCTCCTCAGTGTTCTTGCTGTCAGTAAAGATAAGCCAGTGAATTATATTTTCTGAATATGTGTACCTTGATTTTAAGGACTACCCTTGGACATGGAGGTTCTTAGTTTGGAGTTTTCACTTATGAGAGTTTACTTTCTTAGATGATCATAGCCATCATGGACTCATTTATCAGGCAAAGCCTTTGATTATTGATGCTTTGTGGTCAACGCTGTTACTTTTTACTGGATATGATGACATGATTTTTTTTACACTGCTATACATGCTGGTGAAACTTGTTAAGTTTGATGATTATGATGATCTAAAATAGTTGAGATCCCCTGGCGATGTATAGGTTACACTATGTTGGGGCATGTATGTATCTGTTACACAATTCTTTTGTTGTATGATGATCTTGTTTTACTTCTGTGTCTACATATATTTCTGTCAATTCTTCCTCAGGTATGTCTGCTTCTTTTAATTTGCTTACATACTGACTCACCTTTTCAATGAATCTTTGCAGGTTGGATCTAAATGGATTCCAGAACATTTTCCGTGAAATTGTGGCCGCCTAGCCAAAGCACCAGACTAATGCTTGTGGAGAGAATGAGTAAGAATCTTACTACCCCATCCATTTTGTCCAGAAAGTATGGTCTTTTAAGTAAAGAGGAAGCTGAAAAGGATGCTAAGCAGATAGAGGCTCTTGCTTTTGCTTCTGCAAGTCAACTTTTTGAGAAGGAGCCAGATGGAGATGGAAGTTCTGCTGTGCAGCTTTATGCTAAAGAATCTAGCAAGCTTATGATGGACGTTGTCAGAAGAGGACCTAGAACAAAGGGGGACGATGATGCTATGATATCAGAAAAAGCAAAAGTATCAAAAGAAACTGTATTTGATATCTCTGGAGGTCGCCGTGCTTTTATTGATGCAAATGAAGCTGAGGAGTTACTGAAACCTCTAATGCAGCCTAACAACAAATTTACCAAGATATGTTTCAGTAACAGAAGTTTTGGCCTAGATGCAGCCCATGTTGCTGGGCCTATATTGTTATCTCTCAGAAATCAACTGACAGAAGTTGATCTGTCAGATTTCATAGCTGGAAGGTCAGAAACAGAAGCTTTAGAAGTGATGTCCATATTTTCATCTGCTCTGGAAGGCAGTGAACTAAGGTACCTCAATCTTTCTAACAATGCATTGGGTGAAAAAGGGGTCAGGGCATTTTCTGGGCTTCTTAAGTCACAACATAACTTGGAGGAGCTCTATCTGATGAATGATGGTATCTCAGAGGAAGCTGCACGTGCTGTGTGTGAGCTGATTCCTTCTACTAAAAATCTTAAGGTTCTACAATTTCATAATAACATGACAGGTGATGAAGGTGCAATGGCTATTTCTGAACTTGTAAAGAATTCTCCTTCGCTGGAGGACTTTCGTTGTTCATCTACAAGGATCGATTCTGAAGGAGGGGTTGCCCTGGCCCAGGCCCTTGGATCATGCAACTGTTTGAAAAAGCTTGATTTACGGGACAATATGTTTGGGGTTGAAGCTGGAATTGCATTGAGCAAGGTTCTCTCTGGATTTTCTGATCTCACTGAAATTTATATTAGCTATTTGAATTTGGAAGATGAAGGATCCATGGCTCTGGCAAATGCTCTGAAGGAATCTGTTCCATCGCTTGAAGTTTTGGAAATGGCCGGAAATGACATTAGTTCCAAAGCTGCTCCTGCTTTGGCTGCCTGCGTGTCTGTTAAACAATTTCTCACCAAACTAAATTTGGCAGAGAATGACTTGAAGGATGAGGGTGCTGTAATGATTGCCAAGGCATTGGAGGAGGGTCATGGACAATTGATTGAAGTTGATATGAGTGCTAATTCAATAAGACGGGTTGGTGCCAGGTGCTTAGCTCAGGCTGTTGTAAGCAAACCTGGATTCAAATTGCTAAACATAAATGGAAATTTCATATCTGAAGAAGGTGTGGATGAGGTCAATGATGTATTTAAGAATTCTCCTTTACTTTTGGGACCTCTGGATGAGAATGATCCGGAAGGAGAAGACTATGATGAAGAGGCTGAAGAGGAAGGTACTGACAATGAGGACGAATTGCATTCCAAGCTCAAGGGCCTTGAAATTAAGCAGGATGAATAGGCACATTGCAACCTGATATGAGTGGCCTTTTAAATCAGACAGGGCGGTGTAGGGATTGATTTACCTTTTGAACTTATAGGTGGCTGCACTAATATGTGAATCGGCGAGATTTCTTTTAATTTCTGTTGGCCAGACTCACAACTCATGAGCTGTTTTTGTTGTTCACTGACCAATTCCCTACCATTTGAGTTTGCTTTGGTGGATACTGTTGTGCAATGTTGTATTCTTTTCATGTATCAAGCTTTTTTGCTTATTACTTTTAAGATCTTTTTGCTATCACCCCCGTGCTCTCATTTTTGTTCTTTTTCCTCCCCTTATTGCATTCAATTGTTAAAAAATGTCATGTGATGATGCGTCGCAGCATCTGCTGAAGGAATAATGTTCTAGTATTTTTCAAATGCTTGAGGTTTTTTCAACTGTGTAGTTTGATGCAAGAAGTTTTGCAACCAATGGAAATTTCTTTTACAAAATCCAGATGCATCCTGGTGGGCATCAGGAGGAAAAAATTGGCATCAACTTCATGAATTGCAGTGCTCTGAACTATTTTCCCTTGATTGTAAATCACAAGTGTCATCAGCTCTTAGATTGAAGCTAGTTTGCTGCCAATAGCGACTGCTTAAAAACAAGAATGAAGGCATGGATCAATGGACATGCTTTAGCTAGTATGTATCATATTATCAATTTATCATGACCCATAATTTCATCTTGCTTATGCTGCAACAGGCACTTTCAGTGATTCCAGAATTTTATCATCTAACTCGAACTTTATCTCTTTCTTATCTCTGCCAATTTTCACATACTCCTCGTATCGCTCCTTCAGGTCTTCTGGAAGATTTGTTGTAGCCTTCCACCCTAGAATCTCCTGCGCAGCTCTTGGCTCCGCGTAAAAATGCTGCAAAGGTTAGATTTAGCAGAGATCATCTACGTCACATATTTGTAAAAACAATGTATATATGATTGCTTTGAGCATCTACTTCATCAATATATGATTGCTTAACTGACTACTCCATTAAGTGCCAAGTGTTAGTGTGCATAAACCCTTACCATGTTCCGGAAAGGAAAAGCTTTCTTGGCATCGACACCAACAGCTTTAGGATCATAATGCACTATCTCCACAGGAAGGCCTGCAGCTTTTGCGCATAGCTTTGCCATTCCATCCAGTGTAACAGCGCGATCGCTGACACAGTTGAAGATGTTACCATTTGCAGCATCCGCATTTTCAATGGCAAGAGCAAGCATGGATGACAAGTCCCGAACATGCGCAATGTTTGTCAGTTGATATCCAGAACCAGGAATTAGGACTGGTCTCCCGCGAACAATGCCTGCCAGATGTGAAAAGATATCCACCAAAACAAATTTCAGAGAAGAAACTGTTTGAAACATCCATCAGAACAAGATCAACATTACTTAAGGAGGTTCGTTTCATTCTCAATACCATCAATATTCCTTCGGTTTTACAAACATCTAGACCAGACATGTAAAACACCTCAAGTTTGGATCAACTTACGATCGAAAAACCACTCTTCACAATCTTTGTTATTCCCGGAGCCAATCATGTACTGTGGTCGGAAAGATGCCCAGCTCCCAAAAGTTTCTGAAATATACTTCTCCACTCCAACGTGACCAGCATCAGCTTTAACAACATCCTGCTAACATCCAGCATTCATTAAAGCTTATTCTGATACTAGTAATGAAATTTAGAGTGTCAAAAAAATACATCATACCCCTTCCACATGAGGGGGCTCGTCCGTTGGCTTATATATCCCGGCACTGCTGATGAACAGAAATTGCTTTACGCCAGAGCTCTTTGCCCAATCTGCCACTGGCCTATTCATAAACAAAGAAATTACTCAAAACTTAAGAGAATCAAATGGTTTGCGGTGTTTTCCCAGTTATAGCCCAGTTTCTGAGGATTCAATCCTTGTTTAGGCCTTCAGCCATTCCAAAATGTAAACTTGAACAAATGCAAACCTGACTGCATCTATATCCTTGCCATTGTTATCCAACACAGTATCAAATGCCACTCCGTCCAAAACCTTCCCGATATCGGCGGGATCACCCCAAACAGTCTTTCCACCGGCGTTCACAATTTCCTGCTCAATGCAAAAAGTAATGAAATATGATTACCCACATAAGGAGCAGAGTACAAGAAGAAGGGGATAAAATTAGTAATAAATAAGAGACTGACTGAGAATCGGTTGAACGGAGGCTTCTTCATCTTGTCGGAGGTCTCTTCGCCGACGGTGAAAATAGTGACCTGGTGGCCGGAACCCAGAAGCTCTTTAGCCAAGTAGAATCCAATGACAGCATGGCCACCACTGTTGGTGTTGACTATCAACACCTTTTTCTTCTCTGACTTCACGGTGAAGGCTGAGATTGAGACCCGCCTTGAAGTTGAAGCATTAACGGAGTGATTGAGAGGTGAAATTGAAGAAATGGATGAACGGGAAGAAAGAGTGGCGGAGACAGAGGAGGACGGTGGCGATGAAAGGCGGTGGAGAGGGAGGAGATAATGTGGAGAAGGAGAGGAAGAATTGGGAGATGCAGATGATGACGCGAATCGGAGGGAGGAAGACGAAGCAATAGTAGCCGTTGCCATTGCCATCGCCACTGTCTGAAATTTCTTCTTTGTGATCAAATTGGGGAGTTTGATGAGAACCAGGGATTCTTGATAGTCAAGGATAATGAACGGTGGGCCTTTTTCTATTAACTGCTTTTTAAGTTTTAACGAACGGAACTATCTCCATTCTCCAGTGTAAAAACCCCGGAATTACTTTTACTTTCTAGATATACAAATTTCAAAACTCAATGTGAATTATTTTTCAGGAAAAAAAGAGAATCAGACCCGTACCGGTACCGCTATATGTGAATAAATGTTGTTCACTCCGTTCCAAAAATTATTGTCTAGTTTGAAAATTTAGTTTTAGTTTAAATTGTATTAAAAGTGAAAATTTAAAGTGGACAATAATTTTGGGCTGGAAAGAGTAAATCATATATTTTTATGCACAATAATTGTTTTATTTAAATTTGCACTATTACTCGTATAAAATTATATTCTTTCGGTTCCACTAAAGAAAACTACTCCCTCCGTCCCAAAATTATTGTCCACGTTGTCAGAAAAAAATTGTCCCAAAATTATTGTCCGATTTGACTTTTTATGACTTAAGTTACACATATACCCTTTAGGGAAAATCGATGATTTAACTGAAACATTTTTCTCCCATATTCCCATTGCTTTTCACACTGCGAAAGCAAACTACGCAAAAAACGAAGGCTAAACTCTGACTGTCGAAGTGATGGTGAGAGCTGGCCTAGTTATCGGAAAATATACAAAGAAATTTCGGCAAACTCGGACGAAAATGCAATAAATCAATTCAAAGAATATCCAACGAAATAGAATAATCAAATAGATGAGCATCAAATTGAATCTCACAGTATAAATTTCCTCGAATTCTAATGGATTCATCTGAAAATTTAGTTTTATTATCACAATTGATGGCCTCATCGGTGGTGAAGCTGCTCTGCCGCCTTCCGCCACCGCCGCCACCTGTGCTACCGTCAGTGTCTCGCCGCTCAACTTCACCGCCGGCTTCCGGTACTTATTCACCATTCTCTATTTCTCTTCACCTCCTGTAAATGGATCCCCTTCACCGACTCCGCCGCTGTGTTCTAATTGAACGAATCGTCGTCGTTTTGGTGGTGCATAGTACATAATCCATTTCCATTCCCTTTCACTATCTATTTTTATTTATGATAATTTTCTCCATCTTTTCGTACGAAATAGAAAAACAAACAAAGGGAAAATGGAATGGGAATTGGGTTTTAAATTAAGGGACAAAGAAATTTAAAAAGAAGGCAAAATTGGAGAAGTGGAGAAAGAAGGAAGGAAAGAAGAGTTACAGCTCTATTCGATCTTTGCTAGCGAGAAACTTTCCGATGATTGGGGAGCCACAACGGAGTAAAGAAAATTCTCTCCGTTCGTCTGTGAAACCAATTATGTATCCGGGGTATATTTGGAAGTTCTTGCCGATATTTGGTTTAGTTTGACCAAAAATAAAATCTTAAATTTTTGCAAAATTGGACAATAATTTTAGGACGGAAGGAGTAATATTTATTTAGTCAGAAGTAGCATTACTAAAAACAAAAAAAATAAACCGTATAATAATGATTTCAGAACAAAATGAGACGTGTATACTGATTATCTGATATTGAGAATTTTTGTTCGAAAATCAAAATATAAATGCCACGGCAAAATGATAAAAGTATTGCGCCTCAACTTTGCGGTTTTGCGCAGGTTTTTTTATTTTCCATCATCATCTGGAAATGTAATCATAGGGACACGTTCCAACCAACAACTACAAAATTCGGATACTCTTGCCACTATGCAGTTTTCTTCTGCAATTTTGTTGAAAGCACGACCAATCACGGCCCGCCACGTCCAAGCACGTTCCTCTGAATTTTGGCTTTATAGCCCGGGACTCCGGAGATCAGGCCACTTAAGCTAAATTCCTCACAATTCCGGTCACATTACTCACTTCCCAAATTAATTAATTCCGATGCTGGGTGGTCTCGTCTCCTCCGCCCGCACAAATGTACGCGTCGTTATCGTCGGCGATCGCGGCACCGGCAAATCCAGTCTCATCGCCGCCGCTTCGGCTGAAAGGTTCATCCACCAAGTCCCGCCGGTTCTCCCTCCCACTCGCCTCCCCGCCGACTTCTATCCCGATAACGTCCCCATCACTCTCATCGACACCTCATCCAGGTTCGTTTCTCCGTCCGAATTGCAGGAGCACTACTCACTCATTTCGAGCTTTAAATTTTTTTTTTTTTTTACCCGAACAATTTTAACTCAGTTGTGAATTCTTTCATTCTCTTGAAGTAATTTTAATGTTTGTTGTTTGGTTAGTTTAGTTTAGAGAATAGAGGCAAGCTTGCTGAAGAATTGAAGCGAGCTGATTCAGTTGTATTGACTTACGCATGTGATCAGCCTTCCTCACTGAAGCGACTCTCCACGTTTTGGCTCCACGAACTTCGACGTTTAGAGGTAATTTATGCTTTTCCTTCTTCTGGAATTCTCTGTTGATTCTTGTATTTGGTGTCGATAACCTTTTGAACGGTAGAAGATCCAATCAATTTGTCATCCTGCCACAGTTCAATTGTGTAGTTTATCTGAAATCCACTTCATATCTTGGTTTCATACATAATACTTATTTATGTTGGGAATGCTTTAAATCCAATATCTCAGATTAAGGTTCCGGTGATAGTGGTGGGATGCAAGCTGGATAAGCGGGACGCCGATGATCCTACCAATTTAGAGCATGTGATGGCCCCAATCATGCACCAGTTTCGGGAGATTGAGACTTGTATTGAATGTTCAGCTGCAAATCTGGTTCAGGTTTGCCTCCTTTGTTTTCATGCTCTTTTTTTATCTTTTTATTTTTCCACAAGGAGTAGCTGTTATCTTATGCCAGTTTGCCTGCAGGTTCCTGAGGTGTTTTATTATGCCCAAAAGTCAGTTATTCATCCTCTAGCACCATTGTTTGATCAAGAAATCCATATGCTGAAACCTCGCTGTGTAAGAGCATTAAAACGGATATTTGTTCTCTGTGACCACGACATGGATGGCGCCCTCAATGATGAGGAATTGAATGAGTTTCAGGTTGTTCCCCTTTGTTTATTTTCTCCTAATGCTGTGTTCTTTGTTGATATAACTCATCGTTCCTGTACAAATTTGTACCTGAGGTTTTCATTCACTCCAGTCATGTAATGTAATTTATTTCAATAGGTAAAATGCTTCAGTACCCCACTACAACCTGGTGAAATAGTGGGTGTGAAGAAAGTCGTGCAAGACAAGCTGCCTGATGGAGTCAATGAGCTTGGCCTTACCCTGACAGGATTTCTTTTCCTAAATGCTATTTTCGTAGAGAAAGGTCGAACCGAGACAGCTTGGAGTGTTTTGAGGAAGTTTGGTTACAATGATGAAGTTAAACTCAGGGATGATATTGTATCAAGTGCAAAAAAAAAGGCACCTGACCAGGTGAGCATTCTAATGTTTTGATAGCCACTCTTTTGTTTGCTTATCAACTAGGAATCCCTTTCTGCTGTGTGTAGAACATAGCTTGTCAAAATGTTTAAACGTATTGGTATCTTCTTGCAGAGTATGGAGTTGACTAGTGAGGCCATTGAGTTCTTGAAGGGGGTATTCAGTTCCTTTGATGATGACAAAGTACGAATGCCATCTTGTTACTCTTTAACACCAATTATTTGTGATGCTGAGTATGGATGCTTATATAGCCAATAAAGTTGCAAGTTCTGAGATCATGCACCAGAATATTCCTTTTAAATGGATAGTCCAATTTATGGTTGATATTGGTTTCTTGATGTCATCTTGCAAATGCATCTTTGGTTTTACTGCACGTCAGGGTAATAGACTAATAGCTAGTTCGGTTCTTTTAGTAGTAGGTTGTCTCTGAAGAGTAATATCCATAAAAGATTTAATTTCCATGCCATGAATTTGTGTTGGAAGATAAGGGCGCCGTGTGGCTCAATAATCCGGTAAAGCTGGATAATAGAGGTACACAACTCCATTTTTTTTGGGCAAGTAAAGCAAAAATGGAAGTATACTTGTCTGATGTGCTTTAGTTTGAGTATCTCCTTTGTGGAATCTTTAAAGGCATAAGCTGGTCCCTACCTGCCTAGGTGACAAGTAACCAACAGTCTTTTTCTTGAATATAGCATGTAACGTTGGTGAGTCCAGTTAAACTGCATGAGTTCATATTCACCTTTTGTTACGTCTGCCTGACATGGGGTCATGAAAGAGTTGATGCCCCACTGATAGAAGCAGTAAACATAGTTCATCACCTTGTCCACTTTGAATGTAACATTCAGAAGGTTCTTTCATGATTTGATGTACTTTAAATCTTTTTTTCTCACGCCTGGACTGCTGACGAAATTCTAAAAGGTTTCCCACGTCTTTTCTAAAGAAATGGTTTTATATTTATAAGTGCAATGTAAATGTGATGCAACTTGGAGGTCAGTCTGCACAAATAACTTTGCTTACAAGTCCCCGAATTACTGATTGCTGAGCTTTTTGAACTTGACAGGATGGAGTTCTGCAGAGTTCAGAGCTTGACGATCTATTTTCAACTGCACCAGAATGGTTGGTCCCTGAAGCTCGCTTTTTCGTTTAATTTTTAAACTGCTGGTTCACTCCCTATGCTAGTGATAACTGTGGTATCATTATTTTTAGATGTGTGCAAACGACTTTGTGTAATCAACTGATGTGATATCTGATATCAAATTTCTTAAACCTCATTATTTCTCCACAGTGAATTTAGGGCAATGTGATGGTTAAAATGTTGGTAAAGGATGAAATTCTAAGCTCTTAAGTTGAGACTATCCAGGGTCGGGAAAGTTTAGGATATGGGCTTTGTTATACCGATCAATTTATATGTCCTTAGCTTCTCATTTCATGCTATTGATCTTACAAATAGACCGTTTCATGTTTCTTTGTCATAAAATCATCAAAAGGAGATTTATCTTTGTACTTCAGTTTCTGCTTTTTTTTTTGGTAAACAAGTTACTGCTTTTTTAAGTACCGCATGAGATATTGTATATACAGGGTTTCTTCTCTTTTGCATCAATCTCTTATTTACATATGGTTTATTCTTTAGTCCATGGGATGAATTTCCTTACAAGGATGCAGTTGAGCGAACTCCACTTGGGGGCTTATCTCTCAATGGGTTTCTCTGCGAGGTCCGTATGCTTGAATCTCTTCAATGATTACGTGAAGCTTGCTGTTAATGAACTTAGATTTAATCAATAGTCTGGCAGTTCTGAGTTTTTGTTTTCCTGATTCCTTATCTTAATTTTTGTTTTATTTATCAGTCGTAAAATTTCTTACAACCCTAGAGTTCTTTTGCTTCAGATATCAGACAATAGCGTTACTTGCATCAGGATGTGTTTGCTTCTGCAAATTTTTACACATGTTTTTTGTGTCAATTATGTTCAGGTTGATTGCTTTGTACACTTTACATTATCAATAAACTATGACTAGTTTATGTTGAATAGTTCACTAGAGACGGTTTTGCAGAGAACTTTGTCTTACTGATCTGTAGCTCATTACTGAATGACATACACGGATGTTGCTTTTAATGAGTTTTTTTGGTTGTTGCTGGGCACTTTACCTTTTCAAGTCACTAGTTGTTTGCCGTGTTTTCATATTTTTGAGCTTTCTATTGATGGATGCTTATACAGAGTGTATGATTGCAGTGGGCTCTTATGACATTGTTGAACCCAACTCAGAGTTCAGCTAACTTGATATATATTGGATACAACTGTTATGCTGCATCAGCTCTCAATGTTACCAGGAGAAGAGTGGTAGACCGTAAGAAGCAAAAATCAGAAAGAAATGTGTATCAATGCCTTGTTCTTGGTCCTAAAAATGCTGGAAAGTCAAAGTTGTTGAACTCCTTTCTAGGAAGGTCTATTGTCTGTGCAACTTCTATCAATTATTCAACTGTTTGATAATTTTGTCGCCAGTTTCTTGATTTTTTTTTATCTTATTTTATTTTTTATTTTAAATCTTGGCCTGCTTCCATGTTTACTTAGTTCCATTACAACTTCGGCACAGATTCTGATTCTTTCTTTCTTTTTTTTTTTTGTTTTGCTTTTTCTTTTCTGGTTATTGGTTGAAGACCTTTCTTAGAAAGTTATAGCCCGTCAAAGATGGACAATTACGTGGTGAATGTTGTTGATCGTCCTGGGGTGAGTACCTTGTCTGGATTCTCTTTGTCTCTCCTTTCCGTTACACTTGTCATTGCCTTCAAACACACACAACCATATGCATATAAGCAGTTGGCTTGTGCTTTCTTCTGCATTATGAATTTCTTTTTTTTTTTTCAAAAAAAAATTTATTGGGTACAATCCTTTATTGTGGATTTCGGAACCATTCAAAACACAGATGAATACTGTCATGAACTATGATATACGACGAGGAGGATTTCTTTACCAGTTTTAGATTTTTTAAATAGGAGTAGTACAAGTCAGATGAGAGAGACCATTTACTGTGTAGTACACTCTACGTATCTTGAACATCAGTATTTGTTATTAAAAGTTGTGAAGCATCTCAAAACTAGTTTTAGATATTTTACCATCAAATACTTTGTTACACAACTTTGTCATTTGCACAATATGTGATATGTTAACAATTGAGTCAAAGTGCACTGTCTTTAAATTCCATTTACAACGTTGTACCTCTTGTGTACAGCGTTTCTACAAATCCGTACAAACAGACCGCAGATTAAAATTATTTAAAATTCCATGATAATGGACTTTGGACATAACTCATTATGCAGGGACCTAGAAAGACACTTGTTCTCCATGAGATTCCTGAAATGGGTTTGCAAAAGTTGTTTTCTGATAAGGAGTGTTTGGCTACTTGTGATGTTGCTGTTTTTGTCTATGACAGGTGGATACTACAACTCATCTCACAATTAAATTTTGATTGATTTTTGCTGTAGTTTGCAGTTTCTTAATTACCTTCTCAAGTAGTTTGCTATGCCGGAGACACACCTTTTCTGTGGAAAACTTTTAATTTTTTAATTCTGATGTTTCAACTTTTGTTAGCTCGGATAAATATTCTTTGAAACGAGCATCAGAGCTGTTGGTGGATGTTGCTAGACATGCCGAAGAGATTGGTTGCGAGATGCCTTGTCTATTAATTGCAGCAAAAGATGATTTGGACTCCTTTCCTATGGGAATAAAAGAATCGGAGAAGGTACTCATTACTTAGGAAGTTAGGCCCTGGGCTTTTAAGACACGTTGTAGATATATAATATCCCTTCTAGTGTATGATAGCTGTAACTTTCGCTACTTAAGTTATATTCGCTGCTAAACTGTTGGTAGCACTTCATTGGCTTGAAGAACACACATTGAATCTTGTTCATGACTTCTGAGAAAAAATTCAGCAACTATCTCAAACAATTTTTTCAAAAACATTCTTGCAGACATGTGCACTGATGATTTCAATTTGTCATTTGTCTTAGGTTTGTCAGGACTTGGGAATAGATGCACCTGTCCATGTCAGTGTGAAGGAAAGAGATCTTAACAACGTTTTCCAGAGAATTGTGAATGCTGCTGAGCACCCTCATCTAAATATTCCGGAAACTGAATTTGGCCGGAGTAAGAAACAACATCGCGAACTTGTAAACCGTTCTCTTGTGTTTGTCTCAGGTAAAATAGTATTTGATATGAGCTTCAATCTAAACTTTTGGTGTTTAACTTGTGTAGTTGCGCGCCTGTTTCCTCATATATTCATCTTGTCAAAGAAAGTTTTCCCATTTTGAACCTAGAATAATATCGTCGAGTTTTTATTGTGTTTGAGGTTTGTTTGAGGAGATATAGGCTAAAAGACTACTGCACGTATCAAATAAGGGGTATGAGGGTATTAAAAAGGTTGGCATCATCACTGTGCACTTGTTCTGATTCTTCAACTGATTATTGCAGTGAGTGCTGCCATTGCTGTAGTTGGATTGGCGGCTTACAGAGCCTATGCTTCAAGGAAGAATACCTCCAGTTAAAGTTTGCTCGTCATTAAAACATAGAAAGCTATTCATTGAAATGGTAGGTACAACATGTTCATATCCAAAAAAAAAAAAAAGGTACAACACGTTCATTGGACCAACTCAGTGTACCAATTTTTTTCCTATAGTCCGTTGTGTACATAAAAGTCTCAAGTTGTCTCCACAGTGAAAATGTAGTTTTGGAAAGTAAGTAAGAAATTTTGGTTTAGATGGTTCCTGTGTATATTTTCGGTTGTACTACATATTCTCAAGAAGTCAGGTTCTTCCCAACCTGAAAGGCCTGTTATAATGGATAGTACTGCAATATTTGGAGACTCTTGTTCGCATGTGCATTTGAGAAGTGATCTTTCTTTTGAAGTGGGGTTTGGTGCTTAAAACCTCTCTCTGCTTTCTTTAAGCATCATGAATACACGAAAAAAATATTTTTCCCTTCTTCAGAACTTAATCTGTAGTATGCATGAGAAAACTAAATCTGTAGTTTGCAGGATAGTAGTTTGTTTGAATATCTGTAGTATGTTCTTTTGATGAATATGCAAGGTGAAAGTTCATGATTTACAGTTTCTTGATTCTGTGATTGTATTGGCGTCGATGGAAGGCAGTGTAGTCTATGCTTTTTGGGCTCGTATCAAGTCGACCCATGCAAAACAGCGAGTGACCTAAAAATTCAAGGAAAATATAGATCAATTGCGCTCCTCTTGGAGCTGAGATAGTACTGGCGTTGTGGATACAATGGGAACAAATGGCTGGAAGAAAATACTAATAAAAATGGGCCTCATTCTCAAATTCAGTCGTAACACAGTATGTACGAACAGTACGTATAGTAAAGTTAGTCATTGATGATTAGGTGTTAGAGAAGGATGAACCTGATGAGACGAACGTGCGAAGTATGCAGAGATAGTGGGAAGGGAGATGCGACTTTCCCAGCAAAAGCTTATAATGCCGGCCCCGAATATGAGGATTTTCTAGTTATGTTATTATATTTTATTTCATTTTGTTAACATTTTCTTTAGGCGATTATGGAGAGGGTAGCTCCATATTCAGTCGAGACACAACTAGCTTATTAATGTTCCTTTTCAAGCAAGTCTTAACATGAAAGAATAGTACCAAATATCAAACTTGCTTACATAAGACACAACTACACAACTGTCAGTTTTTGTATTAGTTTTCCCGATGTTCTTATTGTTTGAGGGAGATGGGTTGTGGTATTTTGTTGCAGTTTATGGACTCCAACTAATGTAGTCTTATTAAAATTCTGAATATATATTTAATTATCACACGAGTTAACGTTTGCTCCTTTCTTGAATTAAAGCTAGAACAAGGAGTCGAACATTTCGTTCTCTAAAAATAATTAAAAAAAAAAAATGGAAGAGAAGAGGAGAACATTTGCTACTCAAAGTCAACAAGCACACTGAGAGGACCAAAAAGAGATGGCCAATGGCAGGGCGAAAACTAGCAATAGTACTTTGGGGGTACTTTTACCACTATTGGCTTTTGCTCTTCTTCTTTCTGTCACAGGGTGCCAATTATCTCTGAGGTCATGGGAAACCAATCAAACCTTTTTGGGCCTATTAGATATTATTCTCTCCCGCAGCAACCTTTCCCCAAATAACGTGCGCTCTTTGGCATATCACAAAACGCACGTCCAAATTCATTATTGTGTTGTGGACAAACACTAATTTCATTTCCCTCTCTTGAGTTTCCCCGCACAATACAACAGTTAACCACCGGCAACAGCCACTCCTGGGTCACTAACTCTTGCCGGGATCACTTTTGAAGTGATATTTATGTACCAACTTAATTGATACACATATATATGGTCTAAGATAAGGCTACATTAGTGTGTGTTTTTATCATTGTGATTTCCAACCTTATGCTTTACTAGTCGAAACATATTTGGAAGGTTCATCATGATCATTAATTCCATTTGTTACTCATCAAGCGAAAAGGTTCATATTCCCGTTAGTGCAGTTGGCTGGAAGACCAGACGTAGGGCAACATAGCTTCTTCATATATTAATGTTATGCTAAAAGTATCGATCTCAACTGCAATGTAATCTTATGCCATTACAAGATTCCATAAGGAGTCCACTTATAGGAACCGTTGGTGGAAGGGAATCAAAATTTGGAGGAACTTCAATTAATCCTCTCCGTGCCTAGCTGCGTAGATTTTCAGAAAGACCTAACACCTAACTCTAATTAGGTCTTTACAACCCTTTGGTCGTGGATAATTTGGCTAATTAACCAAGTGGTTTAACTGAAGGTACTTACTTTGAAAGACAGTTCAGATCTTTCTTGCATTTTTGTTTTTAACACCCTTATGTTTCACGTACATGATTCAAAAGTTTTCCCCTCTTCTTTGTTTACTTCATTTTGAAAGCTTCTAGTCCCTACAAGTTTACCCTTAAGGCAGACCCTTTTTGGCGTGATAGAATGCACGTTTTAGTTATAATTCACCCAATCAAAAGTAGTAAACCAATATATCCCAACCAAACGATCCAACACACAACGGAAGGAAGCAAATTAAGGGCAAAAAAGTCGAATTGGAATTGATCATGCATGCATGCAGCATGCGTTTGTTAATCATTAATATTTAGTTATTGGATCGAGTAGAATGTTGAGGATCGGCATATTTGTTTGATAATTATCGAAATGGTTTTATTATAATACTTGCATTTATAAACCAACTAGATATTTCTTTGGGTTCTCTTCTTTCTTTTTATTCTAACAGCAGGTAAAAATTTCAAGTTCTCGATCTCTGTGATAAGGATGTTGCAGGTCTTAATTTCTATCATTTGTTCGCACCAGGTAAGCTGATTTCTGCATATATTCATGGCCATGCATGTCAGATTGTGGCGAAAAATTGATCCATTATCATCATCATGATTTTATTCACAGTAAAATGATCATATGAAGAATGAAGAAGCTAGCTAGTGCGAGTCATACATTATATTCAAAAATTGTGTCAATCTGTGAATTCAAAGTAGAGCGAGACAAAAGAAAGCAGAGAAAATTAGAAATGGCCAATGGGAGATCGAAAACGAGCGCTAATGACTGTTGCCTTTTACGGGAATAATATCCAACAAATCTGCGGGGGGAAAGAAAAAGTACTGTCTCTCGAGATATATTTCCTTGTTTTGCCAAAATAGGATTATCATGGTGCATTATGTAAAATCGATCATTTGTACAACATAGTACTTTATGCAAAATTTCTCTTTTCCTTTTAATGAATTCAAAAGTCTCAATTATATTGGTTACTACTCGATATGGAAAAAGCCAAAAACACTATTTTTGGTAGCATGATTTGTGAAAGCCATAAACGTAAGTGGTTGTTCTCTGCGGGGTCGAATCATTTGAATTGTGATTGTGAAAGGACTAAAAGCAACCGAAATTAGCATGTATTCACATTCTTACTTCTGCTAGTATTCCTCAGTTTTGCTAGACTTAGAGTGTAAGCTATCAATAAAGTAAATGAGTTGTTTGATTCAATGGAAGAGACTCGTTCATTCTTAATTAATCTCTGGTGGTTCGAATTCCATTCTGAGGGCAGAGTAATTTTAAATTTTCAAGTCAACCATTTCTTCTGTCAAAGTGTTTATAATTCTTACAGTTCGCCAAGAGAAATTATTCATTTGTTATCAATCGTGAATATCCTATAATATAAGCGAGCAATATGTATCAAGACACAAAATAAAGCACAACATAAAACTACCAACGTCTGATTCTAGGTTTAGAGTTGATTACTAGAAGCTAATTTTGATATGCGAAATCGAAACAAATAGTTGTCAGTTACTAACTTAATTGAATCCTAACCATGCATCTACGTCATTAACCCGCATTGCCATCGGTTGTGTGTGCAGGCTTTAAGTTTAAGGACCATTAATGGCATTTACCCTTCACAAAGTGATGACTTGGTACGTATATATTCTGGCTACAAAACTCAACTGTAATTTTGTTATGGCAGAGAATGATTGCGGGTTCTCAATCTTCTGTCGATTCTTTGTTCGAAGGATTTTCTTTTTCATTTTTATTTTTCTTGAAGTTGTATAGTGAATACAAATTTTTTTTTTTCTTTCTTCCCTTTTTTGTGGGACCACAAGTCTCCATTTCTTTAAACTCAATGATAGCCATGACTATATGTTTCATAGTCAATAAATACTACATTTATTCCAATATTAACAAGGAAAAAAATTCTTTATTTTAAGCATGTTATGTAAATGATCATACGAAATGGTAGATCTATTTTTACTGCCGTATTAATATAGTAAAAAATTCTTAAATTAATCATCCATTAATTAATAAATTTTATTAAATAATTTTTTTTTCAGTCACCAACTCCGTACCGGTACAAAAAATGAAAAAACTCGATTAATTTATAAAATAATAATATTTTAATACTCTAAAATATAAATGTAGGTCTCCACAATTTTATAAATTAATAAATACTTAAAATAATAAACTAGATTTAAAAGTTAACCTAGATTTTAACTTAACTATTTTTTATGTTTGCAAATTATTATATTTTTGTTCCATTAAGAAAATTATAATATTACGGCTAGGGCTGAAATGGACTTTTGATGTAAAAATAATAAATTTTTGTATTTTCTTACTTATATGATTGAAAATTTTCTTTAAATTAATAAAAAATTAATAAATATTAATAATTATTAATTTACCGATAAATTAATAACTCTATCAATTAATAAATTTTGGTGTCCAAGTATATTAACTTATAGAAGTTTTACTATATATAAAATAAATTACTTTTTTTTTGTATGCACCATATCTCTTTAAATTATTTGGTCAAAAATAAGTGTTTTGTTTTTTTTTTTTTTTTGGTTTTTGGCATAACCAGGGTAAAACTTAGCGGGGATGAAACCCGATTTATTGATTACGAAGAAGATTTACCAGTGCTTAAGACTTGTCAGGATACAAGATTTACAAGATGTTATTACATATAAGATCTTAAATAAGTGTTTTGCTATTCGCATATGCTATATTTTACTCCCTCCGTCCTAAAAAAAATAGTCCACATTGAGTTTTTAAATTTGTACTAAAAATAGTACAAAACTCAAAAATTAAAGTGGACTATTTTTTGGGACGGAGGTAGTAGTATATTATACTGAAAAGCAATTTGTAGTTTGAACTTTTACGAAAGTGTAGTTTCAAATATTATAAATAATTTTGATTTCTAGTATACAAACTGTACAGTTCTAATCTAAAGAAAAAATTGCAAACTGAACAATTATTTTAAAATAGTAGAAGTACAACTTATTAAACATTTTGCTCCAACTCATGAACACTAGGATCCGATTCCTTATCTCTGATCAACATTTCCCATTGATGTATAAAATTCGAAATTTAGAAAACAAAAACAAAGAAAGATAAAGAAAGATAGAAGAAGAATAATGGACCAATTGGGACAAAGAAAAAAGACAAAAAAAAGAAAATAAATGAGGCACTCCGATTGGATCTTCAAAATCCAAATGCAGGGGCTCAGATGCTCCGGTCCCATACATATATATCATGGAAGATCCTGAATCGGGGAATGTAATAATGGGTGTACGTCCGGGCACCAAAAGAAAGCTGAGACCAGATTTTCACCATAATTAGTAAAAAGCCATGGCGACGGAGGGGAGGCCCCTAGGGCTTTAGCTTCTTATTCCCGGCCACTAGTAAACATACACCAGTCTTTCTCCATCATCAGAAAATCTGACCAATATCTTACAGCATTGACAATAGGAGCTCCGCTCCCAAGAAATAAATCTATTTGTTAAACTAAAATAATACACCATACGTCTGAACCTTATAATATTCATAAAAATTAGCTTATGTTAGTGTGTACTATGTGATAATCTTTGCATGAGTTTAGTTGAGCATATTCATTCATGCACGTCAATTAGGGTTTGAAAGCCAATTATTACGAGATGGGCCAAATGTGTTTTGTCCTTGTATTCCTTTTTTTTTTTTTTTAATTTATCATTTACAATTCAATCCCGTGATTATGCAATTCTCAACACAAGTATATATGTTGCCTATCTGTTTTGAGAATCGTGTTGATGCCAATCTTTCATAGTCAGTAACCACTAACCAAAACTCATGGTCAAAGTGATATACAATAGAGTGTGTTTGTTGACCGAACTGATGAAGGGAATCCACATATCAAACGTCGTTATGTTACTCATTAGACCTATTTGGCTATTTTTTGCGGATTATGAAAGGGAAGAAATGGATAGAGATTGATGACAACTCGTTACGGAGAGAAATATATGGATACGATCATCCAATATCCAACGTTTGAGGGGGAAGTGGAACAATAAAAAAAAAAAACCAAAAATAGGGAGAAGTTTAGTGGGAATAAGCTTGGGAGCAATTTTATGAAATACATGTGGATTGAAACGGACTTCAACACGTAAGAAATACAATTCATTCCATCCCATCCCATGAGACATAATACAAATTAAAGTTTGTGCAAAACTTAAACCACAAGAAATTTGGAAGTGTTTTGGTGTCTTTGGCCGGCCCTGCTGACTTGGGATCACTGTCGACTGATGTCTGATGACACGATGAGGCCGACAGCAAAGGAAGGGCCAGTTCTTTCCCTTCGTTTACTGGACTTTTAAGATATATGGAGTCTATACAACATACCCTAGATTTGCGGTCCTTTTAGGTGTGTATATATGGTGGTTGTATTTATGCCGTTTCACACCGGACGTATTTCTTGGATGCATCCATGTATCTATGTATGTGTGTAATAGTCTAGGATACTTATAACAGCATATACTCCATAAGTAATATTTTTTTAAGATAGTAAATAGAGACTACTCTTTTTGTCATTCGTATCGTGATTCTTTTATTATGAAAAATAAAAATAATTAAATGAATAATATAGTAACAATTATCGATTGTGTTTACGCTTCTTTGTCAACATTGTTACTCAACAAAGTCATAGCTATTTTGAATTCTGTCAATTGTTCTTCACTCGATTAGTAAGTATTTGTTCATCGCTCAGTGACAAATAAAATAATTAGTAAGATTTGAAGTATACGTAGAAGAGAGATATATGCATTTTAAAAAAAGAATATTTTTATGAAAACATTAAGTGACACTCATGCATCTATTGAGTATTTGATAGTGACAAATCTTTGTCCTTTATATTTTCCTTTCAAAAAAGTATGTGTAAATTGAGGAGGAATAGTTAGCTAGAATCTGAAAAAAATTGATATGTGGTGAAATTTTGAAGTTGGGAGTGGAATGCGTTATCCACACAAAGACAAGGACAAGCAGCCTCGCTTTGGCATAGGTTAACAATAAGGCTAAGAGGATAGAGACTCATGAGTCATGACTCACTCAACATTGTTGTAATGAGAAAGGAATGAAATGCTAAAAACCCAATAAGAAAAAGGGAAATGCATTGCAATATTTGATTGATCTTGACATCTTGTTCAAATGGGGATACTTAGGTCAAGTTTATTTAACTAGTAGCATTGTTGATTGTATTGCACCCTATTTTTCAACTATAAAACGAGAAAAAAAAAAGATTATTTATGTCCTTGGTTGGGTCGACAGGTCTTGTTGGGGTTTCCTTTGTGCGAAATGAAATAGACACCCTTCTTTTTTCTTTGTTTATTGATTTTTCTAGGTTCCATATCATGACCTTATTGCTTATATTTAGTCCAAACAAAAACAACCTTTCAATTTTAATTAAGTTTTCCCCGACTCAGTCGCTGTTTAATTCAAGTAGCGTGTGGATCTCGCTCGAATAGCAACCACAACCTAAAAAAACTAGAAATAAAAAAAAATCAACTGGTTCACTTGTTTCCTGTATTTGTTGTTATTTGTGTATGGCTATGTAAATAAAATGGTTCTTTAAAATGATATTCTCCCTCGGCTCGAATAATTATTCAATTTGTATTTTCATGTTTGATATAAATATTAAAAATAAAAATTTAAAATAAAAAATAGTATACGATAATGAATGTGGCTCAATATATGCATGCATGTAAACGTGCATGGTGCAGTAACAATGTACTTGATTGGAGAAGAAACACATGGAGGCAATTAGTATGATCACATCATGGTCTTGTCCTAATTACTTAAAATAAATCCCCAAAGGACATTCTTACATCATCGTGGTTATATATATTTATGCGTGAATTACCAATTTAGTTAGAGACATTACCTCGTGTGCTTGCCGTTTTCATCTTTGAGAATATCATCAACCCTAGCTAAGCTAGCTCTTTCATTATTGGGCGCTTAATTTCCATTTTAGTTAACCTGGCCTCTAATATTTTTACCCCACGCCATGCTTTAATTGTTGAAGAACACTCAAATCCCAAAAATCAATACATATAATACCTTAAATTCAATTAAGTGGTACGGAGTTTGTAATATCTTACGTACATATAGATATGATTTGTCAAAAAAATCTTTGTTCTTTTAAAGGTATCCACCTGAAATCTGAAGCTCGAGTGTGATATAAATAACTTTATCACTTCTTCTGTATTTGTATTTTTATTTTTACAAAATTCAAACTAGACTACCCTTTCAGAATGGAGGTAGTATTTAAGGAGAAACTAAAAATCCACAATGAAGATGCTGCGGTATTGAAGCTGATCTTCCTGGCTTCCACAGTTCCAGCCTTGCCATCAGGGTTCGCATGCATCTGACCCTACAGATCTTAGTGACTTTTCATCTCAAATACATATGGTTTGAGGCAATATTTCACATGTAACTGATTAAATACTACTCCCTGCGTCCCATAATTATTGTCTAGTTTGGAATTTCATTTCTAGTTCAAATTGTACTAAAAGTGAATTCTAAAAGTGAACAATAATTTTGAGACAGAGGGAGTACTTTATTTGCTCGTCAAATAGAACTCATCAAACTTGTACTTGGGAAGTTGCTGGTAGAAGTTGGGTATTTCGACCTTTGAAACCACATGCATCCACTATTTCTTCACGGAATTAGGCCATTCCAGCCAGGAAGTGTTATAGAAATTAAGGATAAATAAATAAATAAAGACACAAATTGAAAAAGGTTCATTGCCTCAATGGCATTCATCACTATTCTATCTTAATGTTAATGCATTCAAATTATTGCTTGTGAACCATACGGTCCAGAAATTCCCTTATCATGTTATGTTCACAAGTACTTTTATTAAAACAAATTGTTTTGCTAATACCTTCAAGGATCACCTTTTTATTTATCATGTTACGATTTTTATCGGGATCATGATTCATGACGACATCATCATAAGAGAGTAGTACAAGAATAGCAACAAAGGGGTTGGGGAAAGATTTTTCACATCGATCTCAACATAATGGACCAGGGTTATGTTTAGGAGCACATGATGCTTTAAAGAATATAGACACAACAATGTGGAAATGCATGTTGGCTGCTGAGTACCTAAAAATTTGCATCCAATCACATTGATCACTTCCACAAGGGTACCCTAGTAGTATGTATGTATGGAAGGCCAGAGTCCACGAAGGGATATTGCCCTCCTCTTTTAAGGTAGTAAACCAATTTTTTACATGCTCTTCTGGTCCATAACCTAAACACCTTTTTCAATAAGTTTGAAGAATCTTCCAACCTAGTACTACTCAAGTCATTCCACTTAAATCAGGACCACCTATGATTTAGCTCGTTAGCCCTCCTCAATTGGTCAGAGTTAATGATGAACGTAAACCTTCATTTGCGCTTAAAGATTACATGCAGGGTTTGAAGTAATGAAGAAGATAGAAAGTAATAAGCTAAACCCACGAAATACATAGGTACATTGTCTTTCTGAAATTCAGACTAATTCTTATTCGACCTTCAAAAGATATATTTTCTTTCAAAAACAAAAAACCTTTCTAATTAACTTTTTTTTTCCTATTCATACGAATCAAAATCAAGATCTCTACTTAAGGGACATAAACATCCCATCATTTAGACTAACTAATGTCAGTTAAAACCTAACGAATCTTGAAGTAAGAAAATAAGAAGCACATGGACTTACGGTTCTTCCCATCTGCCGATTGATGTCACTCTCATTTCCAATAGATGTGGTTTATACTTTATATGTAGCTAGTGTGACCTACTCTAGTTAGTTTCTCTCTCTCTCTCTCTCTTTTTTTTTTTTTTGGGGGGGGGGGGTGGGTACTCTGATGATTACGTACACCAATCGTACGTACAACATTCCCAACTTGATGCCTACTTGCATTTAGACATGAGAATGTGATGAAATTAAACAACAAAATGACACCCTGATTGGGTCACGGAAAATCATTGTGACGTACAGATCCATGATTGATTTATTTAGCATGATATAGACATGCACCAATCGATTGTAAATTGCTCTAATATTACCTTAATTTAGGCCGATTCACTGTTTTAATTCCTAATCTTAGGAAACAAAAAAAAAAAGAGAGAAAAAGAAAAATCATTTTATTAAATTTTCAACTTAAAAAATTTGTTTTGAATTGGCGATTGAAGGTTGATTATTTCATTCAGATAACATGAGATCTCTACTCAAACAATCATAAAGAACAAGGTTAACTGTGGGATTTAGAATGATTCCTGATCTTGATCCAAAAGACTCTTGCACATTTTGCATCAAGATCAAGGTAACTTGCTAACAAAACAAAAGAGTACAAATCAAGGTAACTTAGTAGCAAAACAAAAGAATTTTTTGCATGCATAAAATCATAGGTTTAATTAAAGGATACTTGTACATAGAACGTACTAGGCTAGTAAGGTACACCAACTATAATAACTACCGGGCTGGATAAACCGAAAATGATATAGATGATGATGATATAATAGCCTAAAACAACAAACGTGGTAGTACGACTCCATTATTTTTGGAGTTAGTGGAATGAGTAAAAATCTTGAATTGAAGACACGAAGAAAAAAATGACCCAAAGATTGGGACCTTTTTTAGGCTTCGTTTAGGAAATAGCCACCCAAAATGGCTCCCAACTTGGTATCCTTTTGTTCCTATTATTTCCTCCTCCTTCTTTGCATCTTCTGCTGCTGCTGATTGGCCTTGGAAACTCTCCCACCCCACCAACTTCATATCCCACATTGTTCTCATCATTCACTTCCAGTTCATCCTCATTATCAGCATTAATGGCAAGTTGGTCTTCTTCAACTTGTAATTCATGGCCAGATATGACATCATCGTTGAAGTCATCATCATTTCCTTCTTCTTCTTCTTCTTTCCTGAGTAATGAAAGTTTTAGCCTTCCATTGGAGCGTTCTGTTTTGAAATGAGGGCTGCTTGAAGTGACAGAGAAGGCTTTCAGGACTAATCGGCCGCCTTCGCGATGAGGCCTCATTTGAACACCTTCTGACCCGCTGATTGAAGTCAACGGAGGCGGGTAACTTGCAGCACTCCTGTATATCTTCTTCTGTCGCCCCAGAGACCCAAATCTTTCCGGTAATGGGCCGGAAGGCAAATCGTCGATGCTTTCGCCAATGCTGCTGCCGGTTTCACTTCCCAGGCTTTCAGTGCACATTTCCAGGGATTTTGTGCTCAGGGTGGATGAAGAACGCTTCACCAGAGGATGGACATACAATTTGTCTGATTCAGAATGCGCCGGTTTTTTGGAATTTTGACTAGTTATGGAGCTCCAGAATGAACCATTCTCTTTGGTTTTTTGATGCTTGGAATCAAGGAAAGTGTAGTAATTGTTGTTGTCATCATTATCATGTTGTGGTGGAGACACATTTGGCATTTGAGGCCATGGATTGATAGTGGATGAAGAAGGTAAAACCGTTGATATCTGTGGAGATGCCAAATTCTGAATTAGAATCAGTGGTTCAGCGAGTTTAGGTTCAAGACATGATTGCAAACCTTGGCACACAGTTGAGGACATTTTACTGTGTTAATGTCCTCTTGGAAAGAAAAAAAAAAAAAAAAAAACAGAGGAAGGGAAAACAGGGGAAGTAAGAACAGGGGAATGGAGTGAAATCTTGTTGAAAAAATCTACCCTCAAAATGAAGTAATTTGTCCAACAATTACGTCCTTCAGTGAAATGGGACGAAATTCAGGGACAAGATTTTGTTGTTTTCAGATGGGAATTTTGATGGTACAAGATGAAAAGTCGATTTTCTTGAAAGGGGAGGGTATAAATGAAGGCAGAATGCACGAAAAAGAAATGAAAGATGGAGGGGTTAATTTATAGGGTTCCAAAAGGCAAAAGGTTCTCATTGGAATTTGGAAAGGGTAGGAGGCTACAGAAAATTTTTATTGGTCACTTTTTATATAAATTATATAATGAATGAAGCTTTTACTCTACCCACACAATAAAAAGAGAAAAAAAGCTGACCAAAACATAATAACTTTCTCTCATGGAATGGTCGGACTCAGACCATGAGTGTGTAATATGCCTCATCCTCCCTCACAACATTTCAATTTTATTTTCTTATACACTCTTTAAATTCAATAAACATAATTCTTAGTTTCGGAATGATAATTTTTTTGGTTTGTTTTAGAGTTATGTTATTAGTTTCAAACTGAGTGACTACTGAGTTTACATTTTGGTGAGCTTAGCAGTATTGCTTAATAAGTTATTACGAATAATTAATAAAGTTGTATTCAGAATCACAACAGTTCTAAAGGCTGTATTTAGAATGCAACAGTTTTAAAAATAATATTATAAATCGAGAATCACTATCTATGAAATGCGGACCACGCTATAAATAAAAAGGCACCATTCTCTTCCTTCACACAAAACCTCCCTAAATTCTCACCTCTAGCCAAATTATGTCATTTACTGATTTAACCATTAGAGTGGTATTATTATCTTGGGACAAAACCTAGGCGATTTTCTTAAGGAACAAAATACGAACCAACGCTCACTATCTTGAGATTTTGTTCAATCATCAATGACGATGACAGATTAGTGTACATTATCATACCTAAGGAACAAAAGAGATCATTTGGTTAATTGGTAGACAAATGAAGGTAATTAGTGCATGCACACTTTCTTTAAAAAGTTCATACAAATTCCGAGTATCTGTTGGTCTGTCTGCACACTGGACTCTGTATCAGCTGCCTATCTAAGCTACAAGGAAAAAAAAAAAGTACTAGTACAAGAAAACATTATTATTCGGCCTACCTTATTGGTCAATCTTTTTGGCTCAAACGGAATTCAATGCCCCCTTAGCCCTTGCTGACGAATACAAACACTCCGCACTTACTGGAGTAAATATTGGCTCGTTTTAGAATCTCCAAATAATCTTCTTAAGATTATTACTATAGATTTTTTACATGGTGAGAGCGAGATAAGAGAGATTGAAATCAGATTGTGTTTGGTATTTACATGTTAAGAATTTTTTTGTTATGCACGTAACGTCATCAATACATTCTCACAAATAACAGTCGAATCTTTTTCTTTTCAAATTATATTTCGTATCATATCACAAATTATCTCCCCAAGAATGGATACGTCCATAATGGTTGAAACATAGTTGATGTCTGCTCCTAAGAACATGCCTCCATTTCTAGGCAAAAATTAGTCCTTTTCTCGCGGGCTTCGATTCATGCCTCCATTTCATGATCACATTCTGTTAACCTGCGGCAAACATTAGGCAGTGGTAATCACTCACCTCAAACATAATGTTAGATTTTGTTGTTTTCTAAATTAAGCGCTACCGAGAAAAGCTATTCGTACATTCAATGAAAATTGTGAACAATCCAAAAGTTAAACGTACTTGATCTCAGATCTTAGTCCAATTTTGATCGGCATGATTTATTCTCAAATTACGGTAGGTTCTCATGTTCTTAGTATTTAACTAATCATTACAAAATTAAGTTTGTTCGGCGGGTAGGATAAAAAAGAATGGTTGTTAAATTTGTAAAGTGGATTGCTAAACGTAAATTAATTTTACTTTGCGCGGCTTGTGAAATAGGCTAAAATAACCCTGAATCAAAAACCTTCTCAAATTCTTTCATAAGACCATTTCTTTCTATAATTTCACTCATTCTTTCAAAGTACAATCAAAATTCACCGATTGTTGATATTTTAATGTAGGAGAATCGAAAAACATGTGAAAGAGGAAAAAATGAGGTGATTTTTGAATGAATTTTTGACTTTTTTTTTGTGTGATCGGGCAGCTTTGGGGTTATGGGTTTTTTGGTAGATTTTTTTTATTTGTTAGTTTTTTTTTTTTTTGGTGAAATGTTATAGGACAAATTTCGGGTTTTGGTATTATCGTGATCACAAATCTTTTTTTTTTTTTTTAAATGGGTTATTGTTTCTTCTTTTAGTGGATTTTTTTTTCTATCTTTTTTTAAATGTGACCGGCGGCTTTGCTATTATAGAGAACAGAAGATTTAAATTGCTTCTTCTCTAAATATCTAATACAATGATTCATCGGATTTTCGCCTAAGAAATGGATGAATTTTTTTACAGCAAGTGTGATTTCAGTTTTGTTGTTCAGTTTAGAGCAATGAGACAACGAACTTGGGATTTGAATATTGAAGTTTGAAAAAAAGACTATTGCTAAATATAAAATGATTTTATTTCGCACAACTTCATAGGGGTATTTTAGTGTATTTTACAAGTTGCACGAAGTAAAATTAAGCTGCGTTTAACAAAAACCATTTGTAAATTGGGTTCACATACATTTTTTAGGATTGAAGGAGTAAAATAGTAATTCTCGGATTTGATATTTTTAAATGATGAATAGAATCACCAACCCTAATCTAACCCTATAAAGATATTTTAACAATTGAAGCACAAATTCACTCACGAAAGAATTCAAGCATGAACCAATCGCAAGCGCCCTAATTAAAAGACTACTCCGAGCAATATGGAAAGAAATGCAACGAAAGCATCAACAACTTCCACCACTGAGGGATTTTTGCAAATAAACTAATCACATTGATCTTTTGTAAATGACTATAATACAAATGAACTTGATTGGGCTGTGTCTCTTTTCACAGACTCGCACACATTAGAGACAAATTCATGGCTGGAACATAGGTATATACCAGCTAGCTAATTAAGTTTTTTTAGCATGAAGATAAGGTATTTTAGTGATTTTTTCAAGCATCTTTGTGGAGAAGATAAGTAAAATTATGTTGCTTTTAATATTTTTAAACAATTATTACTAGCCAGAAAAGCTGCCAAGGACCACCATTAATGTACTAAGCTTAAACATGGTACCGAAAGTGTAATGTTACTAAAGTTTAAGTTTCCCCTTTGCATCTTATTGTGTTCATTAATTCAAGTCAATGAAGATACCTCATAATGGAGAAGAAACATTCCCTACAAGACCAAGAGTGCAAGATACCGCATACATGTGTCTTCATAGTATTAATCGATCCTCCCTCGTTCTCATTACTCGTTTACTAATGATAAATCTCCACTGTAGTCGATTGGCTGGATATCGCAAACTCTTTTAAATTTTTACAAATCATTTCAAGATGTCTGCAAAAATATAGTCACCCCGGTCATTAACCAAAAGATAACATACTTTAATTTGACCCTCAAGATTCATCAAGCCATTGGAATTTGTTGGTACTAGTACAATTTCCTCCCCCGGCAAAGATTGAAGCAAAACATTTGATTGCAAATGGTTGGACCTTTCGCTTCTTTGTTCGTAGTTTTATTTTCCGAATTACACTTTTTTATAAAAAGAACTAAATGAATAAAATCCTCTGTTGCATTAATCATCATTAACCCAGCTCTCTAAGTCTCTACTCTTAGGCCTTAGCATCGTTTCAATCCAATCTCAAAAGTAAAGTCGGGAAGAAATTAACCCTACTTAATTGTAACGCTTTTAGCAAAATGCAATCTGGTTACCCAAAACCAAAAGCAATTCTAGTGCACTTCCCTCAATCGAATATGTACTCTGGGACTTCTTTAAGTAATGAAAGATCTTTTAAATATTTTCAGCAGTCAGAAAATAGCTACCACAAATTCACGCCTTTTTATCCCCTTCGCTTTTTCTCCAATATTGGCCGACCAAAAACCTACGAATATATTACGCTTACACAGTAACACAGGCTTAAAACGCTACTACTACAATTGTTTATTGTCGCGATCTCTCATCATCTCCTTCCCCACCCCCTAAACTAACCAAAACAACTTTTGATAAATAGCTCATTTTTAGTGTACTTTTCCACTCATCTTCCGTGTGTTTACGTGCGGATGAGTAAAACATTAACGAAGAATTTTTGGACCCTGGAAATGGAAAAGAAAGACAGGACAAAGGAATCCCTTCGTCTTTGTGGCTCGCACCATAGCTTCGTCTGTCGACTATGTTACTTTTTGACCATTTCCATTGCCAACCTTTCCTATTTCATTTCTGGGCTTCATCCCTTTTTGTTTTGTGTACAAATTACAAAAAGCGAGTTTATGTTGAAACTGCAGACGCGCTTGACAATCTTGGATCTACAGACCACAAACTAATCAGTAAAAGATCTGCACCAAAATATTGTTAAGATGATGTCTGACCTTTTATTACTGGAATCTAATCAACTCGGTACATCACTGCTGTCAGCGTCCTTGATGGGAAAGGAGTACGCTTTAGAGCTACATCCGAGCTGAACTCCCATGATATGTATTAACCCCTCAAGGGTTCCAAAACATGGAAATGGGCGCTACGCTCCATCCTTCAGGGGCTTTGTTAGGCAGGCCAAGGGGCGACAGACTTCCTGAGCGCCCATGTAGCCCTGCAAACGCTAACCAACGGGTATAACAAGAAGGAAACAACGTCTATTGGCAAAAATTCGCTCTATTCTGGCAATGATCAGTCGATGCTTTTATTCAGTATTTCATAACTAGACTGCCATAGATGATAACAATACGGTAGACAATTTACAAGGTTACTACTTTACCAAAGGAAACGAGAGCAATTATTGAAGGATACCTACACCCAAGATATGTAAAATATTTACAGAAAAACAGATCTGTCCCCAAAATCTAGTAACCAAAGGAATAAAAACTTATAATAACTATACTTCTGATATTACAGTTACCTCATCTATGTGCAGCATGAAACAACATCAAAGGTGGATATACTCAGTCAAAGTTCCACCATATGGAGATTTTCAAGCTCAATTCGCAATTTTTGAAGTTTGTTCTCAATGTCTGTGAGCTCATCTAAAGTGCCAGAGAGTTTATCCAGCCTTTGCTCTAGAACTTCTTGATACGGCCCGCTCATAAACTTAATGTACTTTTCAAAGTTATTAATTGTCTCAGAGAGATCCCTCTGCATTCCCTCTTCCAGTTCACGGGCTAATGCATCTCCTGCCCTCTTCACTTTGCCAATAACCACCTGCCTACGGGCAGGAAAATTGGAAATTGCTACAAAACTAGCCAAAAGATGGAAAAAAAAGGTTTTGTCAGTATGATAAGTCCCATTATTTACACATGCTAAAAGCTGCTAGAAACAAAGCAGTCATGCACACAAATACTAAAACAAGCCATTCCCCCCACAACCAGACAACTATATTCTGTATGAATTTTGCTGAATAAACCGGAAGATTTAGGGGGTTCCTGGTTCAATGGGTTCTAAAGGTTTGCATATGAGATTTATTACTTGGAATAATAGCAAAGGGTGTCATAACTCAAATTCAACTGTTTGGTTCATGCAAACACATGCATGGGTGTGGAAGCAAAATTTCATTTTTATCCTTACCTCAAATAATTTTTTTCCTACCATTACAGCAAAAAAAGCCTCCAGCTAAATTAACTGTTCGACCAAAAAATCACCAATATATTCGGTAGAGTCATTCATAGAAAGCTGCCGCCAGCTCAAGGCTTTTCAAGGCAAAGTGTACATCAGATCCACCACCTTCGATGACGGTTCTTACCGAGAAACTTTTAAATCCTTGTTTTACAAAATTTCTGGGAGTATTGTAATCCAATTTATTGGGAATTAAAGGAATAGGCCATTGAAGGGATTGACCAAATTAGGATTGGATAAGGCTATTAAAGGCTCAGGTGAAATGGTGGTTCAACGTGAAAAGAACAATGAATTCATTGAAATTTGAGTTAAAGTTGATTAATCAATCCAAAAATAAAGCTCTGAAAGTTAACGACAATGGATTTGCCACCAAAAAAACCCAGGGGGAAAAAAAAAAAACAGACCTGCCAGTAAGCAATGAAATCTACAGTCGGGAAGATGAAGAAGAGCAGTAAGAATGTGAAGGAGAAGAAGAAGACGAAGAGGTCGGTGGAGGGGGCTGGTGATGGGCTGATGGCAAAGGGTGGTGGACCGTGGATGAGAGAAGACAAAGGGTAACAAGAGAAAAGAAGTAATTATGATAGGAGTTCTCCCAAACCCGCCAATTTTACTGGGAATGGATTTTTTGGAATGAATCCATGTGAAATTACTATGCTGGATTGAATCCCAGCCAACCAAGCAACACCATTTCATTTCACTCCCATTCCGTTCATTTCACACCCCCCAACCAGGTGCCCCCTTAATGCTACCGGAAAGAATTAGCATAAGATGATACCTACTTATTGAGAGATGTACAGACAAAATTATTCCACGATACCCCAACAACTTGCATGATTCTATACTGTTGAAGAACACAGGAGAAAGATCCATTACCCGCCAGCAGAACAAATACCCAGAGCAAGGAGATCTTCCAAAGTTGTTGGTAGCACAGATGTCAGGAGGGATGCAGATAAACCAGCTGCTCCTAGTCCACCAAAAGTCCCTAAGAACTGCGAAGAGCATTTGTACATGTCAGCTCTAATCTTCTCAACATCAAGAATCTAAACTGTGTCTCTCTAAAATGGAAGGCACCCGTGCTTTCCATGAGAAACATCTAGAAAAAAGCTCTAAATTGTATGCCAACATAAGAACATACTCATTCTCGAGCAAGCCAAAATTCAAAAAGAACATACTCATTGCAGAATGCAGTTTGAGAGATTGATACGTCACATCCAAAACTTCAGATCAAGTAAGAACAATGACTAACTACATGTGATGATTAAGAAAGGGAAATTATGTTGATCAACTTCAATATACAAAAGAACTTACCACTTCACGAATTTCTTGATCAAACAACTTACAAGCAGCAGCAACACTGAAATTCTCCAACACTTTCTTGCTGTTATCACATCTTGCCTCCAGCAAGTGATTATTTTCAAGTTGAACCTGTTTCGGTGGATCAACAAATGATGCCCATCTATCTGCTAAAACCTCTTTAAAAGATATTCCCTCACGAGCATTGCTTGATTGTAACCATGCCAGATACTCCCCGATTAGATCCTACACCCAAAAAATGCTGACTTCAGTTATATACGAACTATTTTTTCATCAACTCCAATGAGTTCCGAGCTTATTGAAAAAAACATATAAAAAATGGATCCAAGTTCTTGAAAAGCCCACTCCTTCAGGAAAAGAGGGAAAGGAGTGGAGAACACGATGGACTTTGGCAAAAAGAAAAGAATGAGGCTAACCTGCGCTTCAGAAACTGCCGGCCCAATAATGTCATTCCGGACAGTTGAAGTTCCCGGCATCGCAGCAGAATTTTCTCCCTTGAATACGTACGAGGCCACAATATCGATATTTGATAACTGCAGTGTTGATTCTACAACTTTGACAGCCCGTGACTGGGTAGATTTAATCTACAGAGATAAAAGGAGGCAAAAGTTCTGATAAATAACTTCCTATACTCATAAATTTCAAAAGAAATACAAGAAAAAGGAAATAAGGACTCAATATAGGTGTGACAGTGTAACTAAGGCTCATACAATCATACCAGGGACAACATCTGTCTCTCCCTATAAATGCTTTCACTTTTCATCTTCAGTGCATATTCTTTCACACCATCAACTAGTTTATTTAATGATGTCAATTCCTGTTTAGCTTTACGGTTCTCTTCTCTGACAATCTTCTGACAGGATGACAGTAACTGCTCAGCAATAGCAAGAGGGGTTCCAAGCTTAAGCTTAATCCTTTCGATCCCTGTACTTGTTGATCCATCCAGAAAGCTAAACAAGTACTTTTCAAGTTCATTAAAGCTACTTATTCTCCAATTAGAGTTTGTTGTAAGTTGTCCATTGTGCTCTCCAGCATTTGAGCCATGTAAAAGCTTTGCTTCCAGAGCACCACGAGCAGACACAGGATACAATGTAATTGTTTCAACGTTTAACAACTTACGTGCGTTTTGCTCAACAAATCCAATGGCTTCTTCAAGCTGCATCAGCAATCCATTAAGACACAATCTAACATTAAATTAATTATAGACGGTGTAGCTTTTCAGCTAAATCCACCACTAAACAAATCAAGTTCTGCTCCAGTATGAACATCTTGAACCTACCTCAACATTATTCTGATAAATGTCAGCTTTATTGAGAACGAAAACAACTTTCTTCTTCCATTGCTGGGTGTAACGAAGAAAGGTTATCTGTTGATTCCACAGTCATACAAGATGTCATCAAACTGATAAATGAGTATTGTGAAAGGAGAGAGGGGGTGCGAGCATTTTGAAAGCCATCCCAACCACAAAACATCCTGGAACAAGATAACAAGTATACCTCACTTTCGGTCAATGGGCGATCAGCAGACAAGACAAAAAGTATTAAGTCTGCACGCGGCACAAATTCTTCGGTCAACCTTTGTTGCCGTTGAAGAATCACATTAGTTCCAGGAGTATCAACAATTATCATCTGTTTGAAGGGAAAAAAAAAAAAAGAAATAAATAACTATTGATTTATTATTAGAATCATATTAAAATTGCACCCATGGGTAAAATCAATTTAGAGATGATTTCCAAGCAACAGTGCCTAAAGCTGACGTTCTCAACTTCAGAAATTTGTGTGGAGTGTATGCAGCAAAGAGAAAAAAGGAAGCAACTCACATTTTCAAGAATCGGAGCAGGAAGATAGCAAACATATTGACCATCTGGGTGCCTTTCACAGTGCTCTGGCTCAGAAAACTCAGTCCCTAAGTAGCGTAGAAAGGTGATCTCATTGGTGGTTGGAACAACTCCATCTTTCAGGTATCTGTCCCCCAAAAGAGCATTTATTACTGTTGATTTCCCAGAATTGAACTCTCCCTAGTAATGGAAAAAGAAAGAATCATCTCCCCCGCAGCTGAGTTATTAGATTCTTGATCAACCATTTTCACATCCAAAGTTAAAACTTAAGCAAGTTACTTAGAATCCAGTAAGACAACCAGACAGCTATTTCATTAACACATAAATGTGTAGCTTCTTACAGAAATATGAGGTAAGGCAGTGTACATAATGGCCTGAACCTTTCCCGCAACCCACAAATGGAGTAGATCAAGTCATAGTTCACAATATGGCTACATATCCAAGTAGAAATGCAAGTTTTCACCCAATAAGTGGAGTTTAAAGTGTTATGCGGAGCATTCTTTTCCTTGTAAAGGAAACCCCATGAAAAACAGTCAGAATTAAAAAAAAATTATATGATTGGGAAATAAGAGGAATACAAACCCTAGCATGCATCAAAAAATATAGCTGCGATAAACAAAAGTAACTGTTTCTCTTAGGCCTAGACTAGATGAAAAAAAGAAGAAAGGATTAATCAAAATTCAGAGCTAATACCAATTTATAATCCTGGAACCAGAATTTCTTGAAGTTCAGCACTCAATTACCACTATAACCAGCATAAACGGTTCATCAAGTTGAGAAACAGCATCAACGAGAAGAGAAATTTCCTCCATCTGGAAATTGAAAGTTAAATAGAAATCCATATTAGCAAGAGGCAGGGAGTGAAATACATATGCATCTGCATATAAATTTAGCTACCAGTATGCAAAGATTAAAAGATCACCAGAGGAGCAGCTCGCTGCATGACACCAATGGCTTCGAGCAGAATGGATCTTTCAGTTTCCACAAACTTCTTTTCTCGTTCCTCGATCTTGGTAAAACCTGCCACCCCCGACTTCCCAGAGTAACCGTTATTTACATCTATGAGATTCATCCCGTCAACCTTTTCATCCACAGTCCTGCCCGATGCATACACATTACGATACAATTTGCCAGAATCATCACAACCGAAGAACTTCAAATCTTGCAACGACAAAGCTAATCCACTAGCTCCAGATTTCACCAAGTATGATGCCTCATCAAAAGTTTTTTTATCATCTCTAAGTGAATCAAACATGATAAAAATAGGAATTTTCACATTTTGAAACACAGACGACACCAAATCCTCCCTAGGGCTATCTCCCCGAAAAGTGAATATCAGGAAGTCAGCTCCTTCAGACACAGATGCATCTAAAGCAGAATTGGACGTCTGAACGATTCTAGCTACCAGGGGAAGAACTACAGAATCTAACTTCGAATCTATCATCATGTTCCTAGCCACTATTGCGGGAAGACCTGTTCAAAATGAAGAAATTTTAAATCTACAATTTCAATTGAAAAAAAAACAGTAGTACTCTAGGCAGGCAATTAATAAGGAATCAGAGGAGGAACGAATAACTGACCTTGATCAGAGAGTAAAACTCCACTGGCATTGACGGCGGCAGCAATGTCGACACGGTCGTCGACGAGCAAATACGCCCGGTCTCTGATCACCGACTTCAATAAGCAAGCCGCCTCATACAACCGGCCAACGCTTGCTCCAGCGCCACTGAGCACAACAATTCCAACCAAAGAATTAGCCACTGCCTTATCAAGAAGATCAAGACCTTCATTCCTTTCCCCCAAGACTTCCTCGGTACTCACAAAGAGCACCACATTTGGCACTTTAATCTCAGGCCTCTTATAACCGCCGGGAAACAGTGTTCTGGGAGGCTGTTGCGGAGGTGGCTGGCTAAACGAGCTAAGAATCGTAAAATCCCCGCGGCGAGATTTCAAAGCTTGGCCGGAATTGGAACGTCGATGGCGTGGTTGTTTGAAGAAGTATGGCGGATGATAGTGGATTCTCGGGTTAAGGTTATACAGTGAATGCGGACCATGTGGTTGAGTGAAGGTGCGAAGGTGACAAGTTAATAATACCATAGAGATGACGGCGGGCGGTGGTTGGTTTAGAAAGGTCGTCGGCGGGAGAGCGGAGGACGGCGGAGCGTGACGGCGAGGGGTGGTTGGGGGAAGTGGAGGGAAAAAGGCTTATCTGTTTGTATTGGGATGTGTGGGTGGCAACTTTTGAAGGTTCTCTGCGTGTTTTGCGTTTCGCTCTCTTCTCTCTCTGTAAAGTGTCTGAATGCGACATTTGTACATATTTGGGCCTCGATGATCAAATTTGGGCTGGGCTTCAGATTCTAGTTCTTAAGCCTTTAGGCCTTTCTTTTTTCGGTCCCTTTTTTTATGTACGAGTAGCTGATTGCTGGTGACTTTTGAAGACAATACATTATATACATTGACATAGAGTTTATGCGTAAAAACAAGAGATTATGTAGACACGAAAGTACTTCCTCCGTCCCATAATTATTGTCTAGTTTGGATTTTCACTTTTAGTTCAAATTGTACTAAAAGTGAAATCTCAAATTGGACAATAATTTTGGGACAGATGAAATAGTACTGTACATTGTTGTGTGTATGATAAATCTCTTATATATTTCATTAGACTAAAATATCCAAATAGTCCCTTACATTTGGGCCTACTTGAATTTACGTCCCTTACATTAAAATTTCAATATCGTATTTCTAGACATTATGTTTCCACACTTTTTTGTCCCATTTCACTGTTTCCGGCCCTTAACATGCCGAAATCAGGGGTATTTTTGTCTTTTAATTTAATTTAAATTTTTATTAAAATTTAAATCAGTAAAAATATTTTAAAATTCAGATTTCATTATTTAATTGTTAAAATATTATTTATTAATGAAAAATATTATATAAAATTTTAAAATTTACATTATTTTCAAAATTAATTTTTTCGTTTATCATTTATCTTAGGTCAAAGTAAATAATAATTATGTTGCACTTTTAATCTTGGACCCACTGTAACTTAAAAAATTTACCGAGTTACAGTAAATAATTCAAAATTCAATTTCTTTAAAAAAGAAGAAAAAGCCAAACCATTTTTCTCTTACTCTGACCGCTATAGTAAACCCTAAATAGTAATTATGTTACACTTTTAACCTTGGACTCACTATAACTTAAAAATTTTATCGAGTTAGAGTAAATAATTCAAAATTCAAATTTTTTTAAAAAAATAAAAAAAGTAAAATCAAGATTTTTTTTACTTTGACTGCTACAGTTGAATTTTGAATTATTTACTGTAACTAGATAATTTTTTTAAGTTACATTGGGTCCAAGGTTAAAAGTGCAATATGAGGGTTTACTGTAGCGGTCAATTACTTTGTTTTATTTTTTCCTTTTTTAAAAAAAAATTAAATTTTGAATTATTTACTATAACTCGATAAATTTTTTAAGTTATCGTAGGTCTAACGTTTAAAAAGCAACGTAGCGGTCAGAGTAAAAAAAATCTTGGTTTTTCCTTTTTTTTTAGAAAAAAAAATTAAATTTTAAACTATTTACTGTAACTCGGTAAATTTTTTAAGTTACAGTAGGTCCAAGGTTAAAAGTGTAACATAATTACCATTTAAGGTTTATTATAGCAGTCAGAGTAAAAAAAAATCGTGGTTTTGCCTTTCTTTTTTTTAAAAAGAAATTAAATTTTAAATTATTTACTGTAATTTGGTAAATTTTTTAAGTCACAGTGAGTTCAGGGTTAAAAGTGTATTAAAATTACCATTTAGGGTTTACTGTAGCGGTCAAAGTAAAAAAAAATCTTGGTTTTGTTTTTTTTTTATTTAAAAAAATTGAATTATTTACTGTAACTCGGTATATTTTTTAAGTTACAGTGGGTACAAGGTTAAAAGTGTAATAAAATTACCATTTAGGGTTTACTGTAGCAGTCAGAGGTAAAAGAAAATCTTAGTTTTGTTTTTTATTTTTCTTTTTTTAAAAAAAATAATTGAATTTTGAATTATTTACTGTAACTTGGTTAATTTTTTAAGTTACTATGGGCCCAAAGTTAAAAGTGCAACATAATTACTATTTACTGTGTACTTAAAGTAAATAGTAAATAAAAAAAGTAATTTTGAAAATATTGATAAATTTAAAAATTGTAATAATATTTTTAATTAATAAATAATATTTTAACAATTAAATAATGAAATTTGAATTTTAAAATATTTTTAATGATTTAAATTTTAATAAAAATTTAAATTAAATTAAAAGACAAAAATACCCCTGATTCCGGCATGTCGATGGTCAGAAACAGTGAATGGAACCAAAAAAGTGTGAAAACATAATGTTTGGGACAACGATATTGAAATGTGAATGTAAGAGACGTAAATTCAAGTAGACCCAAATGTAAGAGACCATTTGAACATTTTAGTCTATTTCATTATATACGTGCACCTTGAAATCATCGCATCTGAGACGACATCTTCCAAAGTTTCTCGTGAAGCAAATTATCTCATTTCTTTACTTTTAGTTAACATGGTTCGATGTTTTATCCGGTTCTTAACTTTTGTGTGGCTGTTTGAGAATTCTTTTTGCACCCAAAAAGGGAAAAAAAAAAAAAAAAAAAAAAGGTAGCATGACAGTTTATAAAACATTACTATAACCAAAGATGTGACTATTTTTTCAATAAACAGAATCGCGAAAAAGACGGACCTCTCGACTTGATTATAATCACAACATTTATATTCTAAGTTCTGAAAAAATAATTGTGTTGAATTTTGAAACTCAAATTTTGAAAAATAGTTCACTAGTACAAATCTTGAAACTCAATTTAATTTGTTTTTTTTTTTTAAGGAAACAACAAACAATATGTAATTTAATGTCATCAAATTTACCACTTTTATTCATCTACTGTTGCAGGCACTATATGTAATAATAGTCGTAAAGATATCATTTGGTGAAAGTAGACTTCTTATATTTTCTTTGTCTCAAAATTATTGTCCAGTTGGAAATTTAACTTTTAGTACAATTTAAACTAAAAACGAAAATCCAAACTGGACAATAATTATAGGACAGAGGGAATATAAAATTATGCAACCATTAACAAAATGATACACCATTCACTAATAAAAGTTACTAGTATATGCAATCTCATGACAGTAATGTTTGCATTAGTATATTTTGTATTGATAGTAGGACTGTAGGGGTACAAAAATAGAACTATAGTATTTACTTGTGGTTCAAACAAATTTCTTCAAGAATTGATGAGGTTTCAAAATGTTCCTAAAAAGGCTAAAAGAAGTTATCGGGAAGGTGTCAGAGAGAGATACGACGCGGGACGGTCAAATTGGGATTGACACATGACGACTCATTTACTTTACTACCTAACCTGTTCACTTGCTGACTGCTGAGTCCCCTCCTCTCTGCAGTCTTCTCTACAGTCTTTCATCAAAAAGAGTTCAAAAACCTTCTTTTCCCCTGTGATTGCGAAAAACCCTGAATTTTTCCAAGGCAAAAATGGCAAGAACCAAGCGAAAGGCCAAGATTGATCCCCAGGACAATGTGGTATGTCTCGTCTTTACTTTCTGCTGCTGCTTTTATGTTTTGAAGTTTTTTTCACCAAGTATCAAATCATATAATATCCGGAGAACGAAGAATGTTTAATCCTAGAGCAAAAACAGATGAAGTTCAGACCTTTAGCAAACAGTAATCTGTTTGAAAAATTTGTTTATCTTTGTATGTTTTAGTTGTTTTGGTTGTTTAGACTCCGCTTTGTGGTTCTGTGTGCATGCATGTCGGATATCCGCCGTTAATTGATTATCTGATGGCGGTCCGGTGCTTTCCCCTTAACAGGGGTTTTCTAGTTTGTTTGATATGTAGACATTTTTTTTATTTTTTGTTTCTTCTGTGGTCCGGGGTGGGGAGCGTAATGTTGGGTTGATCGACCAAGAATAAGAAGATTTTGGTTAGAAAGTTTGTAACTTTGGTTGGTTTTTTGATTTTGCTCAGAATATGTGGGAAATTGTCTTGGAATGGTACCAAGAACTGAGAACTACCTATAAAGAGCCTAAATTATTGTTTTGGTGATAGAGGTTTTTGACTTTTGTTGGTTTTGATTTTGCTCTGAAAAATGTAGAAAATTGTTTTGGTATGGTACAAAGAACCAAGTACTTAGAACAAACTGTAAAGGGCCTAAACTAGGTTGTGGTTTTGAGGGAGGCCTGTGGTATTTTTGGTGATTTCTTTTTTTCCCCTTATCCTCAAAGTTTTTCCTATGGTGGAGGGGATTAAAGGTTTCATCTTTAAGTTTCTCACAACATTTTACCCTGCTCAAGGATGTTTTAGGGAGATTGATTACAGAACAAGTTAAATGTTCTCATATTATGTTATTGCAAGTTAAATCATAGTATTTGTTAGTGCCCGTTTCAGCATTATATGTCTTACCCTAATTGGGCTGTATGATTTTATTGTTGATTGAGATTTCCAAGCCCCATGAGGAAACAATAGAGAATGTCCAGAAAAGTCCTGCTCTTATACCTTCAAGGAAAAAGGTAATGCAGACAAAACCTCTTAGGCGTTCAGGACGACTGTCAAACTTGCAAACACGAGCGACAAACAAAGAGATGCCATTGGAAGAGATTGAACTTGATGACAATGAAGAAGAAGATGAGCCATTCATTGAACTAATAAGCTCAGAGCCAGCCCATGCAGAAATTGGAGGATCAGAAAGCAAAATCATCATCAATGAAAAAGAAGTGCCACTTGATGAACAGTTCAACTCCGAGCCTACCCCAACAGATTTTGAGAGAATGGAAAGAAAGATTGACTTTCTTGTTCAGTCTGTTAAAGAATTTCAGTCTCAGGTATATAGTTCTACAGACGGCCTATATTCAACTTCATGTTCATCCCTGATCATAACAATTTTGCTTCTGAACTATTGTTTAGGGACTTTTTTCAAGTGAAACTTCAAATGTGGAAGCTCAGTATCGGAACCTCTATTTTAAGTCGCAGAAGAAGGTTTCGTTCATCTCAACTTACAGCTGGTGTTATTTAATTTTAATTACTTGTTGTCTCTTTGTGCATCTATTTTTTATCTATGTTGTTTTCTCCAAAATTATAGATTGAGGAACTGATGAAAGAAAATCAGGAGCTCGCCCACAGTTTGGAGTTGGCCAAACAGAAAAATGAAACGGTATAACTTCATTCCTTTCACTGCTATATTCAGATGTTGTATTTGATTACATAATTCTGTCTGGATCATGGGAGTCTAACCTAGCCTACTGGTTTATTTTGGTAGTTATCTGATTATAGTTTTTTTATTTTTTGGTGTATAGTAGGTGTCTGTTTTGTGCAGAGTTTCCATTCTTGTTAGCACCCATTTTTTCTAAGTGTTTGTGTCTGACCATATTTAACTTTATTTACAATCGGTCTATATTTCACTCACTTCATTCTTCATAAGTGGACTGTACTTCTTACACCCTGAACTGCATTGTGAGGCTTATTCTTCTTCCTGATAGGGTTGGTTGAAGAAGCATTGAGCCTCCTCTTATATTATTAGCCCCTTTATACAAATGTCGATTAAATGGACAAATACTTCTGAAGGTAGTCTGCACCTAGGTTCTTGCTTGTTAATCCAACCTGAGCTTGATTCTCCTGGATTTAATTTTCCATAGTTAACATTGCTCTTATGTATCGTTTAAATCTATGCTGCTTAAATGCTCGGTTGTACATTTGATTCTATTGGCTGATTGGTAAAACTTTCTTTGTTTTTTCATATGTCCTCAGTTTGAGCAAATTAATATTTCTATTTTTAGGTTGTGTCTCACTCTCACCATATGTAGTAACTTTTATGTACTAAGGTGGTATATTTCATTCGCTTCATCCTTCATCAGCTCATCCTTGGCAAAGTCTAATTTGTCATGTGCTGAATTGCAATATGAGAGGCTTATCCTGCTATCTACTGTGATTAAGTAAAGAAGCGTTGGGCCTCCTCTTGTATTAACTATTAGATATAAAAATGAAGATTAAATGGATGAATACTTTATTAAGTTTTGTACCTGGATTCATGCATTTTAAAGCATCCTGCGCTTGATTCTCTTGTATAATTTTGTAAGTTGTTAATTCTGTGCTACTTAAATGCTCCATTTTTTGCATATGGTTCTACAGGTTCTTTGGTAAACTTTTTGTTCGTTTTTAATGTATAAAACTTGTCACTGTTTGTGCAGATCAATGTCACTATGGCTTTAATGAAAGCCAACGAAACAATAGCGAGTTTAGCTTCCCACGTAACAGCAAGTAAGACTAATTTGGTGGATATAACCGCTACTCATGATGCTCCGGGTTCAGTTGATGTTGATGAAAAGAACAATGCAGCCCGTTCATTTAGCAGGAGATATTCTAGGAGGAAGATGTAAATGGAAGTTCCGAGAATATTCCTTTTGATGGAGGGCAACCTTTTGAACTTCTTTTGTTTATTAGGTTGGTAATATTAGTAGGATCAAGTAACAAACTTCTGCAACTGAATATTCAGGATGTATTTTCAGTCAAGGGGAGATTCACAAACTTTTGTAATTGAATGATGCATTTTCACATCAGTTTCGGCTATAATTATACTCCCTCCGTCCCATAATTATTGTCCAATTTGAGTTTTCATTTCTAGTTCAAATTGTACTAAAAGTGAAATATCAAAGTATACAATAATTTTGGGACAGAGGGAGTATATGATTTGCCAATTCTTAACTCAAATTATATTACGGCTCTCTCGCAGTTATTGAACTGATTCTAATTGCCAGGACTCAGGAAATTAAGTAAATATACTTGTTTTTGCACCAAAAAAAAAAAAAACGGAAGTAATATATCTGTATATTCTTTGTTTTGTTATAAAAAAAAATCAGAAATTTAAAAAAAAAAAACGAAATTCACAAGGAGCAGCAAATAGATTGCAATTCCGAATTTCGTTTACATAAAACGTACAACAAAATGTATGTATAATATAATGTTATTTGGACTACTTCATTTATTTTTTTCATTTATTTTGTGCCTTAAGAATTGATCACAGTTCGTCGTAGCATTCATCCAATGATTTAGATAATCCCAGAACCCTTTTTGGGCGTCTTGGATTCTCTGCATAATCATCAACATCTTCACCACAATTTTCCTTGTCTTCTTCTTCCGCTGCTGGAGTTGTTGGAGAAGAGAAATCCAAGCACATTCCGGTTATTAAGTTCTCGTAAGATGCAGAGAGATCTTGCGTTGTAAGCTGATGGTACTCCACCAGTTGGTGCAGACATCGGTTTTCCCTTGTCAAGTTTGCATTTTCATTGGCTAATCTTGATTTTTCCGCTAGAAGTGCCTCTAATTGAAGCCTCACCTGAACACAATTTATCAACCATTTCCTTCATCAGAAGAAGCTATCAAAATCTGGTTTCTTCTATTCCATAATCCTGAATTCCTGATTAAAGTAGCAAAAGAAAAAGGAAAGGGAGAGAAGAAAATACCAGGTCATCTTCTTCCGGTCTAATCCCTTTTGCAATTCCATCACGAAGCCTTCTGTTCTCCTCCTCCAGTAGACTGCAACGCTCTTGCATAAAGCACAAATCTGATTTGATTGATTTTAATTCTCTTGCAAGTGTACCAGCTTTTGTAGCCATTGAAATTGCAATCTGCAAAAGAAATGAAAAGCGCAAAGTTATGCTACCCCATCATTTTTTTTTTCTTTTTTGGGTACCAAAAAGATGAAATCTGATGATGATACCAACATTTTTGGCTTTATTAAGCTTTCCTAATTCTTTTGAACTTTTGGTGTTCTTCTTGAGTAAATCTTCTTCGGTTTGATCCTCATCACAACACTCTTCAGCATCAAGCTTCCTCTTTTGTCCCCTCTTTCCTTCTTCATGATTCTCTTCCTCTGTTGCCTCATCTTCATTTCCCTTATTTGGCTTTCGCTCATCTTTTCTGGCTCCCTCCAATTTGCATTGAAGAATTTCAGTCAGCGTGGGAGCATTAGCCAGCTGTGTAGCCCCCTGTCAACAAGATTTTACCACATTCAACTCACATCACTGAAAACCACCTCAATTTGATACCAACATATCTCAATTATCTCTCTGGAAAAAGGGTACATATTACTTACACTATTACCCCCAATTTGCTTGTCTCAGTCCAACGTTCATTATTGGAGAAACTAAACAGTGCAGATTAGTGCCAAAGATTTGATCTTTACCTCTCAGATTGACAATTACGGTCACTTCCTATTGTAATTTTTAAAAGAACAGCAATCAATTTACAAAGAAATCAAAAGTTTCAACAAAATAACCTGAAGGGCATTTTCAAGATTGTTGGAAAGCTGAGACAGAGTGTGAGCAACAGAATCGAACCCTCTAAGCAGAAGCATCGAATCCTCCTTCAATCTCTTAACCCCTTCATTAGCTCCTTCCTTCTGCAAAATACGTTGTTCACTCAAGCTCAACAACCCTTTTTGCTAACAGATACAGTATGAATCAGCAATGAAAAAAAGAATCTCAGTAAGAATTCAGAAGATTCTCACTACCTGTACATTAGGAAACGGAGTTGGCTTCCGGTTTTCCAAAAGGGAATCGACCCGGCTGCGTAGATTGCTCCAGAAACGCTTATCAGAAGACGGACTAAATTGAGAAGGAGAACCCATTAAAGTTTCTGATTCCTGTAATTCATAGCAAGCAAACAATTAAGGCTGAAGCACTCGAAAATTAATTAATGAATTAACCATAGTAGTATCATTTATGCCATTAATTAATTGAGTAAACACCACGAAATTAAAAACAGACCTTGCCCAGGGAGACAGCTAGTGGGGAGGATGATGATTCTACTGAGGTTGCCATCGGATCCACCTTCTGGATCTGGAAAGAGAAAAAAGAAGTGATAAATTGAAGGAGCGGGAGAGAGAGGAAAGTTGAGTTCTCAACGGCTAGTAAAATGGAACTCCAGTTACAACTGAAGAAGTGGAAATCTTTATTATAAATATCAGATATCAAAAGGTGGGGCCATCGTTAACGTTCTGAATCTTTTTGAATCTTCTGATTTTTTTTTATTGTAAAAGCCGCTTGATAAAGTCAATGTATTTTTCATATTTCTTCTTTATTTTTTCGAACCATTTCTTCTTCTTACTATAAAATCACTAGTAGTATTATTATTACGAAAGCATTCTTACAAAATAGCCAACTTGAATTTAGATTGATAATAAAGATAATATTTTCGGCCATCCGGTATAGTGTACAAATATACAAAGAAAAGTAAATTTTAAAAAGTATTACCTCATTTTCACTAAAAATTGAGGAGGCAATTTACATGATCCACATTTGTATGATAGATCCACAACTCCACATTACATGACCGCATGTGTTCGTGAAAAAATCAAAGAAAAATACAGCAGAATCTTCACGTGACTCATGAAAATCTAGGAATAAAGGAGCATCAAACTGTAACCTCATCAAATCTTTACTACTTTCTCCAAAAAAAAAAAAAAAAAAGTTCACGTTTAGTTTTGAAATTTGTAATGTGTGAAAAATCAATGTAATTTTTTTTAAAAAAAGACGGGAGGAGTACATACCATGATCTTTATGTTTAAAAATTTATATGAATTAGTCTTTATTTTCTTTTTTGAAATTGGTATATGAATGAGTCTTTTTACTTAATCATAATTTTTTTTATTTTTATTTTTTGTCTTCTCCTTTTTATTTTGGTTAGAATCCTGAGATAATTTCGAGCGAACATCTACAGTAATTCTTTTTAAGAGGTCGTCTTAGCATACCACACACGTATTTTGAAGCGAAACAGCAAAAAAGGATGTGAAGCACGAAAGAATAATGAAGGGAAAAGAAAGAGTTTAATTAAAACACACACACACAAACACAGAGGTCGTACGACTAAGTTTTTCCTGCTACGATTGAAATCCTAATTAGCAGCTTCATTAATAAACAATGTAAATTTTCGTAGACGTAAATTAATACTCTATCAAATCACAACAATTAGCTAGTACTCCCTTGTCCACTTTGCCAAAAAATTTTGTCCCAAAATTATTGTCCAATTTGACTTTTTATGGATCAAGTTACACATTTGTCCTTAGTAAAAAACATTATCCATAAAATCTTAGTGGTTGAACAATTACTTATGTAGGGGTATATCTGGTTGTTTAAGGTAAAATGTAGTTAAGTTTGACCAACTATAAAATCTTTCATTTTAGTAAAACTGGACAATAATTATGGGACGGAGGGAGTATCAATTGATTGGTAAAAATCCCAACCCATGCAAATTAAACTAGCTTCTCCACCATGCCTTTCAAAACTCTACGATATCTGGAATGAACAGTCTATTAATTATAATGATGATGACCCCCATGTTGTTGCTTTAATGGTATTCGATCCTGGCACGTTATTAATTATAGTTCATTTGAGTTGAAACAAAAACCCTCGATGTAGAACTTCGACTTGGGTTCCAGAACAAAAAAGCTCGTGCATTATGTATATATCGTCCTTGAAGTTTATATACTTTATTACTAATATAGTACTAAAGGCGCGAATGATCCTGTCTAGGCCACACATCACGGGATATGAAGAAGAAGCGACTTGGAGGAGGATTTTCTTTAGTGCTGTCTTCAAGAACTCTCATTTTCTTCATCTATGTTTTCATCTTCAACAATCCCAGAGGTAATTATATCTACGATAGTCTTGGTTCTTTGTCAAGATCAAATCATGATGATTTTGGCCGGACGATGGCCACGACGACGACTCTCAAGCACCTACTAGCATCCAATAAAATGTACCATTTCCGGCGGGACATCATTGAATCATGGTGGAGGCCTAACCAATTAAAAGGCTACCTTTATCTCGATATACCTCCCCAAGGAAGTCTTCTCCCTTGGTCCCAGAAATCTCCTCCTTACAGGCTCAACGACAACATTAGCAGCATATTAGACCAAGTCAAGCACAAGAGCCCTGTTTTTGTACGAATAGTTCATGGGATTTTGGAGCTGTTTCGCCAAGTGGAACATGATCGAGACCTAATAAGGTGGATAATCATGGGTGACGACAACACGGTATTTTTCATGGATAATTTGGTTGAAGTTCTTTCAAAGTACGATCACACCAAGTATTATTACCTTGGGAATCCATCCGAATTCGTTCTGTCGAATTATTGGTTCAGTTTTAATCAAGCCTTTGGTGGAGGCGGGGTTGTTTTGGTGATCATATATTCACGGTCAAAATCAACTGATTTAGACATTTATTCTCGAAAACTTGTAGCTTCATTTTCTTCTTTTAGTAGCTGACCATAAAGCCGAAGAGGTTTTGGTCTTTAGGTTGCCGCAAGAAGTGTATATTACCATGTGTATGGAAAATGAAAAGTTGCTAATAATGAATTGCAGTCACTTTTGGTCTTTAGGTATCCAATAATACTTGTTGCTAACTGTTTTTTTTTTTTTGGAATTGCAATCTTTCTTACTGTTTTGTTTCATATAAGCATATATAACATCTCTACCACCAACCAAAAATTGATTATTCTTCATTTTTAACTTAGATTTCATTATAACCAAGACCTGCACTAACTCAATAACGTAATGTCTACGTACATCTTACCATCACATTGCCTGCCAACTATATTAAGAGTTATGCTTGCGTTTAGTGAAGTCTTGGTGGCTCAAGACAGTTGGGTGGATGGGATGAGAAAAGGAGCCGTATTATCAAACTGTTCCCAAAAGTTTCCTCCAAAAAAGTTTCAATTGCTTTTCTTTGAACCGGAAATACCGATGTTGTATTGGCAAGTGATAACCAGAAATATGATGTGCAGAGTATTGAGAATCCCAGTCCCACATCGGTGTTGAGAGAGACAGATATCAATATATAAGTATATGTGTTACTCCCCTCATTACCAATTGGTTTTGAGGTAAAACCCCATGAATTTCTGTATAGTATCAAAGCCAGTCCAGAAAACATCCATTGGAAAATAATTGAGACACTTACATTGAAATCACCAAGAAAAATTTATCCGTTGCGAGCAATCCCAATACCCTACATGGTTCATTGAGCGATGACATTTACTCTCTCCATTAGAAAAAAAATCAAATATTTTAAAATAAAGTCGTTCTCACAAATCGATGCATGTTTTGCCAATTTTTTTAATACTATCCTTAAAACTAATGTTTAATGTATAATGATATTAGAACTAAATGTTATTGTGACTACAATTATATTATATTTTAATAAAATAATTATTGTCTCTTTAAATTTTGTGAAATTTTTCTAGCGACATCTATTTGTGAACGGAGGAGTATTTATTTTTTTTTTAAAAAAAAGGTATCAATCGGTAACATCATCGGGCACCGGAATAGGGCGGAGAATCCCTAAATTAGAAAGAGTACACTGGCGGAAACCTATCGAGGAGCCTTCTGATTTGAGTATAATCCATAATCGGCTTGAGGGTTTCATCAAATTTGTCAAATCAAAGAATTTAGAGGCCGATGAAAAATTTCAGGCGGAGGTGACCGTTGTCGGACGGTTGGATCGCCAGAGAGGAGCTTCTTAAACGTCTGATTGGTCGTCAAAGTTTCTTAGTAATACAATGGGAAAAAGAAATTGTTTTTAAAAAAAGATAAAGCCTACGTGGAGTACACAAGCTGGCTTGGCAGCTCATTCGAGTTGCAATTCGCGTCGAGAATTTCGCGCGGAGTATCATTACTCTTTCTTTATTTATTTATTTTCTTTTTTTTTGGTTTTTTTTTTCCAAGTATTCAAACTGAGAGACAACAAAGAATTCCAAGTATTCAGAATTCCAGCCTTGCAAATCTGTTTCTGCCTTTCCCCAGCACATTCTTTATTTTTTTTTTCGATACACGCTTCAAATGAGTTCCCATGTCCCCTCCCTCGGTGTCGAACCCGCATCATGCGGGTGAGGGGTCTGTCCATGTGATATCTTAAACCGAAACACTATGCATCCAAACTTTGACTTGGTACCACGGTCAAACACCTCAATTAATCCTCCTTCAAGACTTCTAGGCGCTACTCTCTCAAATTCAATGAAGAATCAACTTGGAGTTGGAGGATTCTCTTTAGTGGTGTTCTCAGGATTCTCAAATTCAATAAAAAATATTTTTTTCAAAAAAAATAAAAATTTAAAAATAAGGAAACGAGAAAAATACCCGTGAATCCAAAAGAATGTGAAAAATAGATTTTCGTCACTATTTAACGGCCAAAATTAACAAAATGATCTTAGATAAATTTTTTACTTAGTAAGGTGACATGTTATATAAATAAATTTGATTGATGACCTGTATTAGAATTACATAATAGTTCAATGACTCGTTTTGAGGTTCACTCTTTTTCGAAATTGCTTTTGATATCTTTGCGGGTTCTGTTTTTTCCCCTGATTTTTTTTTTTTTTTGGGATCAAGAATGACGATCAATAAGCTGCCAAGGAAGAGATTTCTTGGATTCTTCAAAGTTTACTTCCCTATACTTTCGTCGAAGAGAATCGTGAGCTTTTTCCACTTCAATTAATCTTATTTTTATCTGCTTAAATCTCTTTTGATGTTTTGGTATTCATCGTTTTGGTCAGCTTGAAACTTTGACAACTTTCTCTCTGTGGTTGGTAAATATACACTAGAGTCTAAATCTGACACAATATTGCTTAGAAATCTGGAGAATGAATGCACCCAACTGAATTTGGTATGAAAGTGGGTTTATAATTTCGTATTTTTAAAGGGTTAAGATATCAGTTAAATTGTCAATGAAATCTTGTTGGTCGACATTGTGTTTTTTTTTGTGAAGTCCTTACAGCCTTCGTTTTCATTACAATGTTAATGAGTACATGATTTTTATTTATTTATTTATTTGAAAGAAAATACCTGGAGCTTATGCATCATACATGAGAGAAAAGATACCAACAACAGCTTTCTTACGGCAAGATGAAAAAGTTTGGGAAGTTAAGGTGAAGAAAATTGGGAATGATTTCTTCTTCGCTGATGGTTGGGGGAAGTTCGTTGAAGAGAGTTGTTTAGAACCAGCAGATTTTCTGGTCTTTGAGTATGACGGGAATCTGCATTACGATGTAAAATTGTTTGGAGAGCATGGAGTTGAAAAGAATGTAGCAGGACTAACGCAAGTATATGACGAAGAAGATAGAAGAAGAAGAAATGGAAGATGTACAAGAGTCCACAACAGAGAAGCCTCCAGGTACATAATCAATTATTTTCTACACTAATTAGTCCATTTATTTTCTCCCTTCGTCCCAACAAAATAGACTAATAAAAAATGATATGTAAAGAGTATTTATTTAATTTTTGGTGAAATTGTACTATTCACTAACAAAATTAGAAGTCATTGCTCATGGATTTGTCTTTGGAATGCTAGAAGAAGAAGGTAAAACTAACAAGGGCAAACGTAAGGTTGCGAATGCTGGACCCAGTTATCAAAATGATGATATCTTCGAATCAAGATCTGTTTCAAGGCCAGAGAATCCTTATTTTCTCACCTTTGTTAGGCCAAAGAGAAGGGATGAATTGGTGAGTGAAATATTTCATAATTATACAGCTTTACAATGTAAGTTTTGTTGGCTCTTCTCGCACAGTTTCATTACTATACTAACTGTTTCTTTTCCCCATTCTGATTGTAGTTTATGCCGGTTGATTTCGTTCAAGATTACAACCTTCGCCTCCCACCTGAGATAGCGCTTCGCGATACATGTGGTCGAGAATGGAAATCAAAGCTTAAGGCTTGGAAGGATGGGAGACTTTGGTACTATGGAGGATGGAAAAGGCTCTGCACGGTAAACGGACTTTGGCGAGATGATATATGCAATAAAAACGTGGTTTTGATTATTTAGATTTGCACAAGAGACGTTCTCAAGTAGTATGAACTTGTTGATAATTATTTTGCTATGAACTTTGGATTTCAAGATTTTGGATGCTTGTTAAATAGATTGAATCTATGAAATAGTAATTCTAATGTCAACTGGAGTCCTTTTCTGATTGATAATCCCACAAATCCTCGTTTTTTTTAAGTATGTTTAATGTATCCACTTGACCAATAAATTGCGTGCCTTCATAGCTAATGACCAAACCTGTTTCAATAATGCTTCTAGTATCTATGATAATTAGTCCACCTATCTATTTCCTACAAATGAATTCATCCAGGAGGAATAATTTAATGCATATTGCTTTGATATATAGAGGTTACTTTTAAAATGCCAAGTTAGGCAAGTAAGTAAGCCGGCACATCTTAGGCCAACTTCATCAATTGTAATTCAATTTTTATTTGGAGCCCAAAGTCTCTATAAATTGGAACCTTATGTATTTATCCGTACGGGTTCCAAGGATAAACTTATTGTTTCATAAAATTCTCTGGGATGTCTTGCATATTCATACCTGGTAGTTAACTCCGGAGCAAGATGATACCTTTACTCAGTAGTTGCCTCATTTAGAAGATCCTCTGCATCGAAAGAGATATGTAAGTGGTATTTACAGTAACGATCTTTTCTGTTTTAGGTTTGTTCGACAACAATTCTGTTATTCATTACCTGCAGGCAAAGAGTGACGTTAGAGTACAAGGAATTATAGTAGTTACACCTTAGATAATGTAAATTGTGAAGCTCTTATTTCCCCTATTGCCATTTTAAAATTAATCTCATTTGAATAGATCCCGTCCTTTTTCAGGATGTCTCATCATACCATAAACTCTAAAGTTTGACCGTGAAATAACAGAGGAGGTGGTGATCCTGCAGAATAATGACTGGAAAAATCTTTCTTTAAAAAAAAAAAAAAAGGGCCACACACACACACAACAACAACAACTAATTAAGCAGCTTCGTCGAGGATTGTGATTTTTGTCAAATTAGTACTAATCAGAATTCCAGCCTTGTAAATCTGTTTCTGCCTTTCCCCCATCACATTCTTTATTCTAACCTTCCATGCTTTTTGTCTTACTAATAATATAATCACAAAAATGTCGGTAGAATATAAGAATCAATCTTAGTTGTTGTTGATTCCATCCTGCCAGGTTGTTAATTTGTTTGTTCATGATTCCCACTTACCCTCCACGATTCATGTTATATCTTAAACAGAAACACTATACATCCAAACTTCGACTTGGTACCACGGTCAAACACCTCAATTAATCCTCCTCAAAGACTTCTGGGCGCTACTCTCTCAAATTCAATGAAGAATCAACTTGGAGTTGGAGGATTCTCTTTAGTGGTGTTCTCAGGAGTTGTCATTTTCTTCGTCTTCGTTTTCTTCTTCAACGATCCAAGAGGTGTTATATATGGAAGTCTTCATTCAAATGATGATGATGATGATTCCGTAACAAGTCTCAAGCACCTTGCAATCGGGTTACAAGCATCCGAGAGAACGTACCATTTCCGAAGGCCATACACTGAATCATGGTGGAGGCCTAATGAATTCAGAGGGTACCTTTATCTTGACATACCTCCTGAAGGCGATCTTCTCCCGTGGTCCGAAAAATCTCCTCCTTACAGGATCAATGATAACATAAGCGACATTTTGGCCGAAGTCAAGCCGGGCAACCCAGTTATGCCCCGAATGGTCCATGGGATTATGGAACTGTTTCGTGAAGAGGAACATAATCCGGACCTGAGGTGGATACTCATGGGGGACGATGATTCGGTTTTCTTCGTGGATAACTTGGTCCAAGTACTTTCCAAGTATGATCATACCAAGTATTATTACATGGGGAATCCGTCCGAATTCGTGTTGTCGAATTATTGGTTCAGTTTTAATCAGGCTTTTGGTGGAAGCGGGATTGTTTTGAGTTATCCATTGGCAAAAGCACTTGCTAATGATATGGAACGTTGCCTAAGGAATTATGGCAAGCTTTCAGCTGATACGATGACAATGTCGTGTATAGTCGACCTTGGAGTAAATTTAACTCCCAATAAAGGCTTTCACCAGGTAATTAATTCATCAAATATATATATGTTACAGCTCATTTTTCTCTCTTGTCATTAGGCCACATTTATATTTATGTCATCCCCTGATTAATTTGGTTTTACAGATTGATTTACATGGCGATTTATCAGGTTTCTTATCATCTCACCCCAAAAATCTAGTGTTATCATTGCATCATGTTGACACGGTAGATCCATACTTCCCCAATATGAACCGTGCGGAATCATTGAACCATCTAATGAAGGCGGCGAATGTTGATCAATCGCGTTTGTTTCAGCAAACCATATGTTATGACAAGGAAAGGAATTGGTCGTTTTCAACGGCTTGGGGTTACTCGGCACAAATTTACGAGAAAATAATGCCTCGAAGTTGGCTAATGATGCCCATTGCAACGTTTGTAGGATGGAATCCTGCCGAAACTCAAGAGCCGCGTTTCATGTTCAATGTTCGAAATCCGCCTAAGGACGATCCTTGCGAAGTTCCTCATGTGTTTTTCTTCGAATCAATTCAGAAAACATCAGATGGTGAGATTCTTACAACGTATGCAAGGTCAGCTCCCAGGAACTTAAATGCTTGTCCGATGGGCGGGAACCATTCTGCTGAATATATCTCTAAGATTGATGTGCTCTCGCCCGCAGCTAAGCGCTACGAGGTTAGTTAACTACTACTAATCACCCCAAAATAATGAATTAACCTTTTGTTTTGGTATCTATCTGGTAAAAAAATTATAAACTTTTGTCACTTTGAAGAAGACAAAAACTATTGTCATAAGCGTCATTTGAAAGAGCCTTCTTTAAAATATGAGGTGGCGTGAAATCTTGATTCAGTGTTAAATCATTTTTAAAATTAGCAGATACTTTCTCCGTCCCATAGTTATTGTCCAGTTTGGGTTTTCATTTCTAATTCAAATTGTACTAAAAGTAAAATCTCAAACTGGACAATAATTTTTGGGATAGAGACATTAATAAATATTGTGATACATCTAACAAAATATGAAAAACTTATAAAATTATGATATACCTTAATGTATTGCTGATTTACTTGCTATGCGTAGAATTGAAATTTTATGAACTGATAACGAAAATGACATATACTTGAAACCAAATTGGGATTTCATTGAAAAGTAAAATTTTGTGGTCACTCATTTGGCTTATTCAAATATGACTGCGTATGAATATGAGATGATCTAATTCTCCAAAACTTTGACTTCATTGTTGAACTTCCATTTGTAACAGATCGATAGATCGGAGTGTTGTGATGTTGTTCGTGTTGACGATACGGGCAATGTGAAAGTTAAATTCAGGGAATGCAGGATCAATGAGGTTATTGCATAGGAGTAATGTTAGCTCAATGTTTCGAAACAAGTCATAGGAAAGGAAACAAGTATATTAGACTTTTTGGATAATATCTGTGCAAGGATTTCTCTTTTTCCAACAAAAGATTACAGCAGAAGAACTCTACGGAGAATGTATCACATGAATGGTTTTTTTTTTTTTTTTTGTGGAAGGATTAATTTTTATCCAAAAAGAATTTTTCCAAAAAATAGAGCCGCGAATACACATATTAATAAAGTTTTTGTATTAAGCTCATGAATTCAGCGAGGGGGAATATACGGGCGATTTTATTAGAGGTTTTGAATCTATCATTTTTGTTGAATTAGGCTTTCTAGGTTTTTTTTTTGGGGGGGGGGGATAGGGAAATATCTTATTTTAGATTAATTTAGGTAGATTATTTCGAATAACAAAAAATTATCTTATGGAATCTGGAATATTGAGGTGATAATTATGAACCCCGCTTAAAATATATCCAAAAAAAAAAAAAGAGAAGGAAAGATAAGAAACCTCTCATACCAGCGATGCTTCAAAATCTGAGCTGCGTTAAGAAATTGATGTGAATTTAATTATAAGCACCATCATTAAGGGATTAATGTGAATTAAATTCGTAAACTTCTGGGATAAAATAGTAACAAATCTCTATTCCATTACTGTGATGTCCGTCAGAGTTCCAACCTCGCAAGTCTCTTCGTTCCTGCATCAGTTTATTAGTAAGATATTCAATCCTTAATTGTTGATGATTCTGTGCTTTCTACAATAATTATCTCTCCAGAAAAAAATAATTCCCACTTACCTTCCACAAATTCATATGGTCCTGAACGAAAAACACCACCACGTACAATCAACCAATTTGAAACAACTCGAATCGCTCATCAAAATTTTTATGACCAAATTAACAACAACAATTTAATTGCCCATTCATACAATGAAAAACCAAGTTGGAGGATTCTCTGTGGTGTTGTTTTCGGGAGTTGTTATTTTCTTCATCTTCATTCTCTTCTTCAATGATTCCAGAGGTGTGATTTATGGTGGTCGACGTTCCTTTTCAAGGTCAAATTATAATGACGATGATTCTCCGACCACCGTCAATCATCTGGCATTCGGGCTACAAGGATCCGAGAAAACGTACCATTTTCGACGTTACTACGTTGAATCATGGTGGAAGCCTGATAAATTTAGAGGGTACGTTTATCTTGATAAACCTCCCCAAGGAAATCTTCTACCCTGGTCCAAAATCTCTCCTCCTTATAGAGTCAACGACAACATCAGCAAATTAATCAGTGAACTCAAACCAATCAACCCTCTTATGGCCCGAATGGTTCATGGGATCTCGGAGTTGTTTCGTGAAGAACACCAAGAGCTTAGGTGGCTAATCATGGGTGACGACGACACAGTATTTTTTGTGGATAATTTGGTTGAAGTTCTTTCCAAATATGATCATACTAAGTATTATTACATTGGGAATCCATCCGAATTCGTTTTGTCGAATTTTTGGTTCAGTTTCAATCAGGCATTTGGTGGCGGGGGGATTGTTTTGAGTTATCCATTGGCAAAAGCTCTTGTTGATGATATGGATCGTTGCCTGAGGAAGTATTCTAATCTTTCGGCGGATACCATGACAATGGCTTGTATAGCTGACCTTGGAGTTGATTTAACTGTCCATAAAGGCCTTCATCAGGTAAATTAATTGAGTAATTTTCTGTTACATTTCTATACGTAGATAATTTTATGATATTCTCAATCTTTATCTCTTCTGAAAATAAATTTCTTTGAGCTATCAGCATCATATAATTATCTAAATATTTTCAATGATGATATTGATGATTAGACATGAGGATATACACAGTACAAAGAATTTTTATCTGACTTACTTTTCTTTTCTTTTTTTTCCACCAATTAGATTAGAATATATTTTGCCCTGTTTGAAAAGTCCATCGTGTTTTTTGATACCGTATAACAAAGTAGACTAGTAAATAATAAAGATGGAGTAAAACACCTGTTTTGGGGATTTATTCGAAGAAAAAGAAAAGCCTAATTTGGAACGTTAATTATCATAGCATGAAATGGTGTATGTCTGTGTGTTTTGTTAAATAAAACTAATCATTCACCTGAAATCAACAGAGAGGAACACTGGAACAGCGGTAATTGTTTATTTTATCTCAAAGAATGTGATTATAGATTAGATAATTTGTCATTTGGAAGAACCAATTGATTGATTGTTGAATACATATCTGATGAAGTTGACTTTTAATGGAATTTCTAATGATCAATCAAAAGGTTTAGTTGTCAAGCGGACACCTGTTATACGGAAAAATGATTTAAAATTCTTTACAAATTTCATGAGTTTAATTGGTTTTGACTTTTGAGTTAGACGAGTTAATCATTCATAATCACACTTGTTAATTCCCTGTTGCGCAGATGGATTTAAGAGGTGATGTATCAGGTTTCTTGTCGGCTCACCCTAAAGCTCCGGTGTTGGCCTTCCATCATATTGACACTGTGAATCCATATTTCCCAAAAATGACCCGAGCAAATGCATTGAAACATCTAATGAAAGCCGGCGACGTTGATCAATCGCGTCTGTTTCAACAAACCATATGTCACGATCAGAAAAGGAATTGGTCATTTTCAACGGCTTGGGGTTACTCGGTAAATATTTACGAGCGAATAATGCCTCGCAGTTGGCTAACGATTCCCATCGAAACTTTTATCGGATGGCATCCTGACCAGAAGCAGCAGCCGCGTTACATGTTCAATACCAGAAACCCGCTCGGAGACCCTTGCGAAACTCCGCATGTGTTCTTCTTCGAGTCAATTAAGAAAACATCAAATGGCCAGATTCTTACGAGGTATTCTAGGTCGGCTCCTAGAAACCTAACTGCTTGCCCAATTGGCGGGAATCGTTCTGCTGAATATATCTCCAAGATCGAGGTGCTCTCACCTGCTACTAAGCGTTACGAGGTTAGTAATCAATTATTTTTTTTCCCGACGGGATTATTATTATTGCACGATAATATTATAAGCAACATTGAGAGTTTGCAAAAACCCTCTCATAGGCCGTTAATACTAAACAAACCCCCATAACATTCTAGATCGCACTTATCTGAATTCAATCTGAATGTGTCTTTTTTTCGGAAATAAAATTTTTAAGTTATCTTGTTGTTATAGGTTTATAATTTGGATGAGCCATAGAATGAACTTTTTTAGCAAAATTGAATTCGGGGTCAACTTTGTGTGCCTCTCCGACAAGCTAATAATACAGGGGAGTCGCAATCGGGATAGATACAACTTGAATAATATAATATATGCAAAAAAAATTAGGGGACCTTTCATTTAATTTTATTTGGACTTGTTAATAAAACTGAGATTATCGTGTAGGACTTTTGTCATAATTTTGGCCGGAATTTCCGCTTTGGATCGATAAGAACACATGTAAGACTTTTGTTTTTTATTTTGTTGAGTTTCCTGGTCGTGTTTTTTGAGGCTTACTGCGTCGAAACTCACTGTCGGTGGACTTAGATAATGAAATCGTAGAATAAATATTATACTCCTTTCTGTCCTTATTATAAGGTATTTTGATTTTGTCCTAAGTTTAATCTAGGATATCTTTTTAATTGAAAAAAAATCTTAAAAATATATTTCCACATTCATTGTGTTCTATTAATAATTATGAAATTTTTTTAAGATTTTTATTCTAATTAAAAAGATATTTTAAGTGAAATCTAAAACGAAATTAAAATACCTCAAAATACCTTATAATAAGGATCAGAAGGAATATTATGCATAACAAGTGATTACACATTTTTACTGTGTGATATTGGTTTTCGTTTTCGTTCTCGTTCGTCAGCATTCACATCACTCAAAATGAATTCGCGCTATATATTTCTACACATGTACGAGTACGACTAGAAGATTTTATATTGCAAGATTTTTTAACTTCATTATTTACTTTCCATTTGCAAAACAGATTGATAGGTCTGAGTGCTGTGATGTAGTTCGTATTGACAATACTGGCAACGTGAAGATTAAGATCAGAGAATGCAGGATCGGTGAAGTTATTGCATAGAAGTTTCGGCCTCTGTTTGAAGATCTTTAATTTTTTTTTTTTTGGAGGAATAGTGAAAACTATTTTTGGTGAACATAATTAGTACTCTTTTGGAGGAATAGTAATTAGTACTCTTTCTGTCCAAAAAAAATAAAGAGCAGTTATAGAGCCAATGACAAAATATAATAACATTTTATAGTAACTGATGTGAACATTGTAATTAAAGCACAAAAAATATAACTTTTGGGGGGAAGCAAAATTTTTTACGGAAAAGTGACTACAAAATAGAGAGTCATAATACTATTTTAACTAAAGAAGTTGATACATCTTACATACTATAACTTTTCAGTATATATTTTGGGAAAATTTGGTTAAAGGGCAGTAGAACAGATCAAATTAATATAAAAGGTATGATTTTAAAATATTTTTTATGAAGGGCACTAAATTAGTTGTCAAAAAATTATAAAATAAAAATACTTTAAAGTAACGGTAACACCCTTCTAATTTCTTACACAAACAAATAATAATAAAACAAGAACCAAATCCAATCCTCTACTCTTCATTCTTCCACGGAATTGAAAAACATGTCGCTTATACCAAAAAAATAAAACAAAAATCACCCTTATAATCAGTGGTTTTGATTTTCCGTTTAATCAATAATGAATCAAGAATAGATCATCACAGAACTCCAGGTCTCTTTTTTGCTTTGTCGACTGACTGAAACCTCTCACATCCATCCCCGTCGATTAGGCTATCCTGTGCTACTTTCCAGTTACTTAGGCATCATATGCCGACAAATTTCTCAAATCTCCTGGCTCAGTCATGAATTTGGAACAACCAGAACACTTATGACCAGGCATGTCCTTTGTCGCAAGCCGGCCAGAACAGTTCCAACCCTCACAGCCAACTATTAGTCCCGAGTTGAACTGATGCAACAATTGCATCAACCCAGTGTGAATTTGGCTCCCTACCAGTTCAGGTGTAGGGATTGGATCTCAAAATCAGACTGTCGAAGAAACAGAATTCAGGGGCATGTATATCCATGCATAAAGTTCCATGTAGTCTAAAGAATATGCGTGAGTAAACACGTCATTGCTGTCGCGTGTATCCTTGTATGTTTGATAACCATTTTTTTTTGCCACCGATTTTTTTGAAATAAAGGCCTGAAGAAAATTGAGCCTGCATCGAAGTGTCAACTGGTTATCTCCACAGTTTTGATGACTATTGGTATTGCAATTGTCTGTTGGATTGCTCTCCCATCCTCCACCATATTCAACTTTGGGGATGCTACTAAAACCAATTATTCAGACTAGTTTCGAACCAAATTAGAACTCTTTTAAAAACTTCCAAAAATCTGATTTTGAGATCAGGTTTCTATTTATGAGTAAGACCCTATGTCGCGAGACCTGATTTGCTATTTTGAATGGAGATATGATTTCGATCGGCGAGATGAGGAAGAATGAAGAGATGAAGGATCAGATTTTGGTTTTGATTTATTTTTGTTAAAAAATATTATAAGGGTGGTATTGTCTATTCAATTTTTTTATTTTATGATTTTTCACAAATATATTACCGCCCTTAATAAAAAATATTTTAAGGTCACACCTCTTTTATTAATTTGACTTGTTCTACCGCCCTTTAGCTAAATTTTCCCTACATATTTTTACTATTCTTATCATTTTCTAATAATAAAATAAAAATAATAATCTACATTAAATTTCAAGATTTGTATCCCTAGAAGTTTAAAACTCCATGTGGATTTTTTTTTTTTAATGGAGAGTAGCACTTAATGTGAAACATACAGAATTTACTAACCAATCAAAAAGAGAATTACTCTAATAATAATTCTGTCATGCAGTTTAAATACATTTTCATTCACCGAAAGGTCCAGTATTGAATTACAGTATAACATTATTTTTACATTTCTAAATTCTAATACACCTCCTCGCATATTATGTTCATTATATAATTATTTACAATTTCAATAAAGAAAACATACGCTAAAAAAACGCTTACAAGTTACAACCTTACAAATAGATTGTAGCTCATTCATCCAATTGACAACAAATTACAGTCACTCAACAGCCAGGCTCACGGCCTCTCCTGAAGTTAGGCTGACAATTTGGAAATCTTCAAATGGGCCGATTTTGTCTTGATGGACCAAAAGCACTTCGAATAGCATAAACCTTCTTGGGCCACTACATTGAATATGAATGACATAAGCGCTAGCAGAACATCCTTTCCCGTGAAAAATTCACTAAAATGTTACCGCGGTTCCTCCGAGCCTCGATTGCCGCCGTGCGGAACTTCTCGGCAGATGCAGCCGCCGTGAGGGCGAAGCCGGCGTCAACCTCCGATGGGTTAACCAGCGGCAAGAACGTCAACAACGGCGTCAGAGACACGCTTTGCCGCAGGATACTAGGTCTGGTGTATACGAAGCGTAGCGCCGTCATCGCCATCAACAAATGGAAAGAGGAAGGACGCAAGGTCCAAAAGTACCAGCTTAATCACGTAGTTCGAGAACTCCGCAAGTTTAAACGCTACAAGCATGCGCTTGAGGTTCGTTTACTTTTTTTGAATTAGTTTTGTCTTTGTGTGTTCTGTTCTCCATTTTGATATCTACCTTAATGAGCTATGCATTTGACTATTGGATGGATTTTAGTTTAATTGCAAGTTTTGAAGTTTGGTCCTATCGATTGGTCAATTCATATAAATTGCTGCTTCAATGCATTTCTGCAAGGAAGAGAGATTAAAAAAAAAGAAGGAAAAAATGGCTGTGGTATTGTGACTTTCTGTCAGGGTTTATCCTTTAGTTGTTAGGAATGACCTTTTTACATAGGATATGTACCTTTTGATGATATGTCTGAGTCTTTGGTAAATTTCGAAATGGAGGCAGTATAATAGCTCAATCTATTGACTCCTGTTAATGTTGTAGGTCTGCGAGTGGATGCAAATTCAAAAAGATTTGAAACTACTGCCAGGAGATTATGCCGTCCATTTGGACTTGATTGCCAAAATTAGAGGTGTCAACAGTGCAGAAAAGTTTTTTGAAGATCTTCCTGATAATAAGAAAGACTACACAACGTGCAGTGCCCTTCTACATACCTACACCCAGCACAAAGAATCGGTTAAGGCAGAGGCGTTGTTTGCTAAAATGTCGGAACTTGGGTTCTTGAAGCATCCTCTTCCTTACAATCATATGTTGAATTTGTACATCTCCACCGGCCAAATGGAAAAGGTTCCAGATGTCATCCAGGCATTAAAGAGGAATGCTTCACCAGATGTGGTCACCTACAACCTGTGGTTATCCGTGTGTGCATCGCGGAATGATGTAGAACTCGCTGAAAAAGTGTTCTTGGAGCTACAGAAGGAAAAAATAGATCCCGATTGGTTGACTTACAGCACATTAGCCAACTTGTATATTAAGAATTCACTTAGGAAGAAGGCAGCTTCCACTTTGGGGGAAATGGAGAAAAGGGTCTCCAAGAAAGTTCGGGGTGCTTATTCCTCCCTCATTAGCTTACACGCAAGCCTGGGAAATAAAGATGAGGTTTACTTTATCTGGAAGAAGATGAAGACCCTGTTCCGCAAGTTAAATGATTCCGAGTATATGTGCATGATTGCATCGTTAGTAAAGCTCGAGGAATTCAAGAAAGCAAAGGAGCTATATAAAGAATGGAGAACCGTTTCCCCTACTGGTGACACTAGGGTTCCTAATATAATTCTCGCTGCATATATAAATGGGAACCAGATGGAAAAGGCCGAGAAATTTCACAATCAGATGGTGGAAGATGGTTTCACTTCTAGCTATACCACTTGGGAGCTTCTAACTTGGGCTTACTTGAAACAAAAGCAGGTAGACAAGGTACTTCACTGTTTCACTAAAGCTATTGGCAGTGTGAAAAAATGGAATTTTGATGAAAAAATGGTTCGAAAAATATTTGAGGTTCTTGAAGAAAATGGCGATATTGAGGGAGCAGAAAAACTTTTAGTTACTGTTCGCCGTTCTGGAAACTTGAATACAGATATATATAACTCGGTCCTGCGAACTTATGCAAAGGCTGGAAAAATGCCACTTGTGATTGCTGAAAGGATGAAAACCGATGGTGTGGATTTGAACGAGGAAACTCAGCAGCTCCTAAAACTCACAAGCAAAATGTGCATCTCTGAAGTTCCCAGCTCTTTTACGTAACAAACACTGTTATGACAGATGTGGCCTGGAGTTTGAAATGCTGATATGTTTGGTGAATCCACTTCTATTAACATCTCCAATATGTATAAATCTGCTGTTAAAAGAGCTGTTGAGATTTTTGGCTGCGTTGACATAAGTAGCATGTAGTGTGCAAGGCAGTTGGCTATGAACACAAAACATGGTTCTAGTGTTCCAGCAGATGTTGTGGATGTTTAGACAGGAATTGCTCCTATGTAAGGGCGGCAAATGGCAAGGATATTTGATATTCAGTCGTGAATGGCCAAATAAAGTGGTGGTTAACTACGCCATGTAAGCCATGACAAATCCTGACATAGAGCCTGTTGAGGAATAATGATCACTTGATTGGGCCAGAAGAACGATGAGTTTGAGTCATATGCTTATGCAGATTTCGTTAGACTGAGCTATTTGCCGGGGAGCTTCTGCATAATGTGATAGGAGGATGACAGACAGGTTCACTGGCACTGCTGAATTAACTTGTTCCGTACACCCCATGATTGGTTTGATAAATTAATTTGTGCGTAGTTCACATGTACTCCCTGTCCCAAAATTATTGTCCAGTTTGAGATTTCACTTTTAGTACAATTTTTGAACTAAAAATGAAAACCCAAACTGGTCAATAATTATGAGACAGAAGGAGTATTATCGTAGGAATTGATATGGTTTTCTATGACTTCATAAGTTCTAGTCATTGTCGTTTTGCATTGGCTTATTACTATGCATATAGGTTCTATTCAGATCGTAGGAATTTTGCAGGAAAGGATATGTATTAAAAGGTTATGATGCATTAAGGATGAGATATTGTTAAGGGGCACTTAAATCTATTTCCTTCTCTGAAGCCTTGAGCTTATGTTATCATATTGTGCCATCTGCAATACTCTGCTAAATACTAGTGTTTATTATTTCTTCCAAAAATTGCAAAATAGCCAGATTACATTCTTGTTTCTTCCAATTATGCTTAACAACATCTGTCAGTGAGTCTGTAATATTAAAGATTGCCTTGTTAGTTGCGTCTGCAAAAGTAAGTCCTAGCAGGGTAATAATGCAGCAAACGCGATTTTATTTGTTTTATTAATCAAGTACGCAAACGCGATTTTATTTGTTTTATTAATCAAGTACGCAATCTCAAATCTTGATTTCATGTTCCACCGTCAAAAACAAAGACGATGAGAGAACTAGTTTTATTCTCTGTTTTCTGAAGATCCTCTTCTGAAATTTTAATCTCTGTGAAAGCCGGCACTTTGAACATGAATGATTAAGACTGGAAAAAGAAAGGAGATATATTAATGTGGATTTTCGCTTATCAGTTTTGGTTATTTACCATTACACAAGGAAAATTATAGTCTTGCTAAGGATCAACGGTTGCAGTCTTTCTTATATAAACGCGAATTACGATCTAACGATTTGGATTATTAACTGAATTATTTAGTCCACGAAATTATGATCACTCCCTATCACAAACCTTGTAGAGTACCCATTCAGTTATTCTAGGTTACCTGCAACAATAAAACACAATTATTCTACATATATGTCTCAAACTCAATCTGAATTTAGGTAATGTTCTTGACTTAATCAGCAGTGGAGAAGGGTCCCATCCCATTAACATAAACCTGAACTGGGTATTTTAAGAATGAAACTAGTTGTTCAGTTGCATCAGTTGGTTTGGATTCTGGTAGGCTGGTGCAGTGGTTAAGACTTATAGAACATATATAAGAAGTCAGCTTATATGTTGTTTTTAAAAAAAAAAATTTCCATCCAAAAGTACTTGCAACAAACAAGCGGAAAAAGTACTATTACGATGTGCCCAAAATGTAGAAAAAGGGCTAAGAAATAAATATTCCTCATATCCCCAAAAAAAAAGTCAATTTTATTACAGTTTTTTTTTTTTTTTTGGTTTAATAAAAGAACTATTGAACTGGGACAGATTTTATTGCTTTTTTTTTTTTTTTTACATAGACAGATGTGGATGATGGATTTGTTTATTTGTTTAGGAGGCAGCAGAAATTATAGCTTACGTGAGGAAGATTAACTGAAACTACCTAAGAGCAGTAGAGATTAGAGAAGTATAGGGGGAGAGGGTTTACCCAACCCTATTATTCACCCAACCCAACCTCTCCACGTTTCAACGACGTCGCATCCCCCTTCTTCCTTCCATCGCCCTTTTTGTTTTCTCTCTTTTATTTCGTTCCTTCAATTACTCAAATTGTCTCTCTATCTAACTTTCTTTTTATTCACAAATTTTCAGAATGAAAATGCCAAAAATCATCGGAAAATTCCTCAACCGAGTGATTGATTTTTAGTGATAAGAACTTCAATTCTTTTTTTAATATAATTATGTTTTGTATATGAATGGTTTTGCAATACCATTTTTTTAAAAAAAAAAAAAAAGAAGAAGAAGAAGAAAATATTGTAAAATTATAGTGAATCAGGCCAACAATGTCCAAGAGACATATACATAATTTGTGGAAGCACTTATCTTATTACAAAAGTGTGTTTTATGAGGAGGGAGATAATCAATCCAACAATAAGTACGATAACAACTTGCTAAAGAAGATTCGTGTCTTTTATTTGCATTTCCCGTGTATCATAAAATACATTCAATGAATTATATAGAAAAAAAGTTATAATATATGGATTAATATAGACAAGATTTTTCTCCAAATGTAAGGCAAATGACTGGGAAGATAATGATATATGTCGACAATAGTAAGTCAATTATTCATAAGATTTTGCTATAGATTTTACTAATGTGTATGAAATTACGCACCAATCTCGTCAGGAGTCGCACCGTTTCAGAAAAGAAAAAAATAATAGTAAGAACAAAAAAAGAGAAGAAATTTTTAGTTTGATACTATTTGAATTTGGTCTATAAATGAGGGGGGGAATGAACATTGCAATGAAAAGGAGGAGGGAGGAAATAGTAAATGAGGAAAAAATTACAAAATAAATCCAAAAAAACGAGTAAAGAATTTATTGTAATTTATTTATTTAATTAATTTTCATTTCCAAAAATAAAGGTCAACTAATTTCCACAACAGCGAGACATAAGTGCACGTTTTAGTGGTCAATCACTCTCATCAGTCGTATTATATAAACCCCTTTGGCATCACTTAGATTTCTCCACGTTATTTGCAACAGTTTAGATACATTTCAGGTTCATAGTTGGAACTCACGTTCCTACCACCCCTACCCCAATTTTCATTTTATTTATTTATTTTTAATTCATTAATTCATTCGATTCTTTAAGGTTGTTTTTTTTAATGGCGGATGAAAATGGAAATGTGGACAATCTTGCTGGTTTTCTTGAGGATGGAATGCCATGGCTTCTTCCCACAGATGTTCTCGATGAGCTTTTGCCTACGCCGTGTGATCAAAATAAGGTGCGTTTTATCTGTATCACTTTTCGTGTAATAATCATATGATTCGGTTTTCTTTTCGTCTATATGGCTTCATTTGTAATTCCCGGGGATCATGTACAATTCTAATCTTTCATCCATAAATTTTGTTGTAGACTTCGACTACCTCTTATTTAGTGTTAATTAGCTGCTTCCGAACTTATGGATTGATTAATCATACTCTTGGTGCATGATTTCAGTTGGCGGATAATCAGAAGCACCGCCAGCGCCAACCGAAACGCCTTCATTCAAGACCACCGTTGACAGCGGCAGTGGCAGCGGAGCCACCACATCCTCACCCGGTGAGTCTTTTCTTTTCTTTTCTTTTTCTGGTTCTTTCTTTCTATATCTTTACTAATTTGATATCATGTTACAAATTCTTTTGGGTTAATTTTTTTTTTTTTTTTTCCATATCGGGTGATGAGAATTTTCGGTTGGGATTTTCAAAGATTTTTCTAGTCAGTATATGTAGATACGGAAGTAAGTAAACGTGTGACCAAGCTAGAATTAAGGTATTTGGTCAAAATGGCGTCCGCGGAAACTTGTTGGCAAATCTTTAAAGTTGTGAATCTGCCTATGCTGCACTACCAAATACACTTCTGCAAGTATGGAAATAAACAAAATTATTTGGTTAATGAACGGAAAATGGGACGATTTTCAGTGAGGAATTATGATTCTACTTGTCACTTTCTTCTTTCAGGCATACTCTCTATCTCTCGTTTTTTTTAAAAAAAAATTATTTTTGGCGGTATATAACGCGGTTAAAAGCGTCATATGCATAACAGATAAGGAGAAACTTATGACACCAAAGAACAAAATAAAAATAAAAATAAAAATGAGAAGCTTATATGACATAATTAATCGGTTCGATATAATTTTGTTTCCGCTTACCATTTTTATACTTGGTTTTTTTTTTTTTCATACTTACATGGTAATTGTGACAAAAGTGTACCTTCTCCAAATAAAGATTAAGCAACAGATCTTTACAATTGCTGAAGAAACATGGTCAATGATTTTTTAAAGCAGGGGTGGGATTCTAGCCAACCAAGGCCTCAAAGAACAAGAAATGGGACGAATACGAAAGTGACAGTAGGTGGACCAGGAATGCAGGTTGTATTCTTAGATTCCGGCAAGCCACGGTCCGGCGGGACAGGTGTCTTTCTTCCCCGGCGAGCTGGAACAGAATTTCAGCCATCCAATAAGCCTGGTAATTAATTGACGAAATTCAATTAAAATTCAAATTTCATACTACTTTAATTATATTAGTAAAATGTGATTAACTCTTTCTCTGTCAAATATTGCTGGACGAATTTTATTCAAGTAATACAAATCCTTTTTTTTTTTTTGGTTTTTCAAAAAAAGGAACTTGTAATTAATTGCTGACTCATGTTGTTTATTTTGGCCAAAATTTTTCTTTGGAAATTAATTTGCAGCCTGTCCACCTGTTCTTCTTCCAGCTCGTGTTGTTCAAGCTCTCAATCTTAATGTCCACAAACTGTGTTCACAACCACAAAAGCCCCGACAAGGTTCCAATTCGATATCTTTATTATTTATTTATTCCCCCGATCTTAAAATGATTGTTCAGTTTGAATACTCATTTTTTAATAAGGTGTATGAAAAATAAATATTCAAAATGAACAATTTTATTTAGTAGGAATGTTTAATTTCTAATCTGGACAATTATTAATGTTTAATTTAATTTAATATTTTTTTTGCTGTATAAAAAAGAAACAATGAAAGCAAAATTGAGGGGATATTTGAGTAATCTCCTTCCTAAAAATTTACTAAAACGCAAGTTGTCTTTGATGAACAGAGTCCGTCGGCAAAAAATCCAAAGGTGGTGGCGGCGGCGGCAACGGTAACGCCGGCAACTTGCTGAAGGTTAAAAACAACGACAATAGTAATGATGAACCATTAAGGGAAGTAGAAAAACAATGGTCTTCGCCGGAGGCTTTCCTACCCAAGGAGTGGACTTACTAGCTACTCCCCCATTTTATACAGAAAAAGGACAATAAACTAATTTATGATGGTCAAATAAGAAGAGCCCCAGAAGCGTCGAAATCAGATTCGCTACATGATACTGCTTCCGTCCCAAAATTATTGTCCAGTTTGAGTTTTCATTTTTAGTACAAATTGAACTAAAAATGAAATTTCAAACTGGACAATAATTTTGGGACAGAGGGAGTACCATTTACTGCTGAACCCTCCTAGATTAATTTTTTGTAACTTTAAATAATAATAACTATATAGGGATTCAGCACTCAGAAGTTTAATAAATTGGTCTTTAGAAACATTTATTTGCTACTCTCTCTTTAGAAATGAGAAGAAAAAAGAACATTAGATTTATGTTTGTTACCCCAAATTATAAATTGGGGTTTGGGAAATACTGAAGAGACTCGTATGGTGTCCGCAAGGTAGTTGTCATTGGTTTGCCCAAATTTTTTTGTTGTTTTTTACAAAACTACATAGTGTAGTATTGTAGTGATTTATGAATGAAATTATGATATTGTATCCATACATTATTGTTATTCTGTTTAGAATAAAATCTGAAAAAATTCCTTTATATTAGGTCAAATACAAATTTTGGTCCTCTACATTAATATTTGGCAAAAATAAACCTTCTATATTTCTAATTTTTTTTTTTGTTTTTGACACTATTCATACACTTTGACAAGATTTAGGATCAAGTCAAAAGCGGTGTTTTCAGAATATATATATATTTTTTTGGTTTTTGGAAATCAATTTATAGTGAATAAAATATGAGTATAAATATTAACATAATTATGTTAAATACAAAATTAAAATTTAAAATAGATATTAAACTAATAAAAAATTCAAAACTTTAATTTTCAAAAAAAAAATGTAGTTTTCTTGCACAAATTTTATGTTATTTTTAATTTGGTAGGCTTGGGATAAAGTAAAAAAAATTAAATTAACTTAAAATTTAAGATTATCTTCAAATCGCATTTCTTATTTTGGATATTTTTTAACTTATGAGATTATACGGAATTAGATTTACGTACTAGACTCCTCAAAAAAAATCATCTTGAGTATTTTCAATTTTTTTACTCGTCCTAAGTACGAATCGGAAAAAAATACTATTTAATAGAAATTTTTATATATCAAATTAAAGTTATGGAAGTTTTGTCTCATCAAATATAGTAAATACAGTTTGTTAAAAAATCAAGATTTATTATCTTTTATAAAAATGCTAAAAATTATAAATTTAGTCATTTTAATATAATATTTTTTGAAAAAATAAATCTTATGCAATTGTAAACAATTTCAGGATTTAGTCCTTTTCTAAAAGATCATAATTAAAACGATGGTTTTTTTAGATTTAAAACTTATCCTAAATTTTAACTTTTTTTTATATATTAGAGATTGTCATAAGAGTAATATTTTTTTACTTTATCCCAAGTCTTCCATATTAAAAATAATATATAATCCATGCAAACAAAAAGTACAATTTTTTTTATTTTTCATTTTAATTTTAGATAATAAAATTTTTGAATTTTTTATTAATTTAATATCTAGCTTAAATTCTAAATTAATTTTAGTATGAACATTAATATTTTATTTGATGTAAATTTATTTCAAAAACAAAAAAAATTATTTCAAAAATACCCAGGTTGACTTTATTTTAAATACAGTCAAAGTGAAAGAATAGTGTCAAAGGACAAAAAAGTTATATTTTGAAGTATGGAGAATTATTTTAACCAATGTTAATGTAGATGGCCAAAACGTGTATTTGGCCTAATGTAAAAGGTCATTTTCAAATTTTAATATTCTTTTTGATCTCCCTATCTATATTTCACTTGTGATGATTCTAAGTATAACATTTTAATGTGGTGTTTGTTTGAAACAAATTATAAAAATGATATAAACTGATTATGATGGTATGAATATTTCATTTTAAAATTTTGATAATCTCACAATTTATGGTATATAAACAATGTTATTTTTTATTGGTTTTTTTCAATATAATTTCTATAAGAATAATGACACATACTCAAAATAATTTACAAATAAAATTGAAAATGAATGATGTCGATCAAATCACATCTTTTCATTGTGTGTACTTTCCATTTGGAGTTTGTGCATTCAAGGTTATGGGAAAATTTAGGTATTAAATGAGTCATTTCTTGTAAAGGAATTGATAAATTGAGAACTGTTTTTTATATTGAAAGCTAAATTTTATCAACTCCCGACATTGTCCTTACTTAAAATTTCTAGAGATAATAATCAGATTCATTTTCCCTTAATAGCTCCCTTCTTACTTTTTCGGCCATTCATTTTTCCTTATTTTCCCCTTCTTTTTTTCGGCCATTCTTGTTCACATCTGGTCGCTAGTCTTCTCACTTTTTTTTTTTTTGGTATAATCATTGCTCTTAGAGATTTTTTCCTTAATTATTTTTTGGTGCTTAAACAAAAGAAATTTTAATTTATTCAAAAATACAAGATGCTTGCCCCCGGCGAATACCGGGGTGTCGCCTGTATTTTTAAATTGATTAAATAAAAAATACGAATCATTTTTAAAAAAATAAAAAAAATCAGAAAAATAAAAAATCGATTGAAAGGACAGAAAGTGATTTATTACACATAAATTTATGCCCAGATTTACAATATTTAATTTATAAGAGTTATTTATGCTCGGGTTTATATAAATCATAAACCAATATCTACAACAGAAGAATAAAAAAAAATCATCCTTAAAAAATCAAATTTCTTTCATGACAGCTTATTTTTTCTCTGTTTCAGAAAGAGATAGATTGATAATTAATGTCAGATTTTAAGTAATTGATTTAAAGGCCCAGGTGTGAGAGAGGAGCGAAATGGAAGAGATTCTTTAAAATTTGGGATTAGGAAGACATTACTGGTGTTTCACTTGATTTAAGGGGATTTTCTTACATTTGATTTTATCAACTAATATTGTTGTTTTAAGGGATTAGTATATATATAAATTAAGATATTTTTATGTAGCTATAATTAATGGATTTATGTATTTATCTATTCTATCTTTTTTTTTCTGATTAGTTAGAGTGCCACGTGTCAAAAATGATTTTGTACTGAAAATAGCTTTTGGCGGAAAAATTTTCATTGTGGTGCTGACACATGTCCTTTTTGTTTGCTGCTTTAATTAAGTACTGTAGATATCTCTTGAGTTAAATTTTCATTCTTTGATTCATAGCGATATGCACCGATTTTTACGGTTATCATTCTTTGTGTTGGAACTTGTGAAGCAAATCTTCTATTAGTTCTCACTTAGTAGGTTTAATATTGCTTTTATGTCTAATTTCGTGTACTTATTTTTGTTAAAAAGACCGAGGATCTAAAATTCAAATTAATTGATGACAATTGAACTTTAGTGCTGCATAATTCTTATTAATATCGTTAAAATCTTGTTGACATTGAGATTTATTTTATCTAATGATCAATTTAGAGGTTATAGAGATAAAGTTTTTTGCTTAAAGAATAAGGATTAAGGATAGATTGTAGTGGTTTACCATTTTTGCATACCTAAAAATATTAAAACTTTGTCTTTTTTTTAGAAATGAAATTTTTATCACGAAATAAAGTTGACGTGTTTGAATAAGGAAACGAAGGGAAAATTAAGGGTTATAAATATACTAATTTCTTTAATATCTTAAGTATGGGTAATATTGAAAGTTGATAAAATTTTGCTCTCAATATAAAAAAAAAACAGATCTTAATATATCACTTCCCTTCTTGTAACTGTCACTTGTAATTTTTCCTTGCATGTATTGCTGCTCTTTTTATAATTATTTCCAACTCAAATGTTTATATTTCATAAATCACGAGATAATGAAATAAAGTTAAACTTCAAGTTCATATTATAAGTTATTTGACCATATCTCACTCAAAATCACTTTTTTACTTCATGCGAACAAAAACATATTCTCAATCGGATTTCTGAATAATATAAGTTATCAAATATCGATACCACATTATTGAGATATTCCATTGATCAAAATCAAGATAATAATTTCAAAAGGAAAATTATCAAAATTTACCCTCTAAGTAGATAATAAATGTTTATTCCATCCTACTTCGCAATAATCCGTTCTTTGACTATTTAAAAACCACACTAAAGCAGTGTAGTAGCTACACATATAAATATAGGGATCGTGGTAATTTTGAGAAGGAGAGAGTATTATACATGGTTACCAGGGGAGCTAAATGTACTGGTATTTAGCATCCACGTAGTTAGTGTCTGTACTAAAAAATTCGATCCCGTTATTGCATAAAATATTTTGTTTTCCAGAAATATGATATCTAAATTTGATTTCATAGTATTTATAATTGATATTTAAAATATGATATTTCAAAAATACCAGTATTTATAATTGATATTTAAAATATGGTATTTCAAAAATATCAGTATTTATCATTGTTGACTTGGAAGTACTTTTTGATTTTTTTTGGATTTTTTTAAAATACTAGTATTTATAATTCTTGACTTGAAAACATATTTTCAAAAGAAAAAAGATTTAGTTTTCAAATCTCTTGTTTCGATTGTTTCATAAGAAAAATCAATTTTCACTTTTTTATATTTCAAGTAAATCGAATTTATTGCTTGAAACCGATATAATAACGGGGAAAAAAATTAATATATGTCAAATTTCAGCGGTGTAGTGTTATGGAAAACAATTTCAAAAAAAAATTATGAGAAATAATGTCATTAAAATAGATATTCAACCAAAGTGAATTACAATAATTATTTAAAATATTGAGCTTGTCATTTATTTAACTCTATTTTGTTTGATTGTACATACAGTAGAATATTCGTGAATTAATAATTTATAAATTAAGAATTTCTAACTATTAATAACTTTCTCCGGTCCCAACTTTGGACCAGTACAAAAAGTGAAAAAAATTGACAAAATAATAAGATAATAATATTTCAGAAAATCTCCTAATATATTTATAGGTCCCAACTAATACTATAAATTGATTAATAACCTAAAATGAAAAAAATAAAAACTGTAAATATTTAATAAAATATGAACAATTGATACTCATTTTTTAATCCAGAAGATAATATGAATTGTGTATGAATTTTTAGTATTCAAAATAATTTTAATACTTGATTGATTCGGATGCAAAAACAATTGCTATTAAATAATTTAGTGACGGTTCTTTTTTTTTTTGTCATAGAAATTTTTTAAAATTAATAAATTTTGATAATAATACTATTAATAATTTATAGAAGTTCTACTGTACTTCATTTTTGTTTGATTATGTGTGCAGCTATTCAAAAACCATGACTACGATAGTAAATTGAACAATTTGAACGTAGTGATCCTATTTTGAACGTTGTTATAAAATTGAAGTTCTTTTATGAGTTTTCAGTTTTCTCATGTCAAAAGGGGTCCCGACAGTATTTATCAAAATTCATGGTCTTTTGATAATTTTGTCAAACATCAAGGCCTGTATACAGTAATTGATTTTACCCAATTAACAACAATATCATCGATTAAGCGTAGTCCGCAAAGCAGATTATGGCGTAGTTGTCTTCCTCCTCTGTACTTCTGTTCAAGCTTCGGCCATGGAAGCTACTCTATTGGGTTCTCATCCCCGACTCTTGTGCACCAAGCATATCCAGTTCTCAGGCATGCCTTTCTATCTTTTTTTCTCCTTTCTCTTTTTAAAATTTGAGTTCCCGTAATTTGGTTTAAGCCTTGCAAAATGTTAACAGCATTAAGGAGGTTCACTGCACTCATTGTGTATACTATGAACTTGTCGATGTGATAACCTCATGGTGCTGCTGGACTTTTAATTCTATGGTTATTTTTCATGCCAATTTTTCTTTAGCGGTTGAATGTATACTGCTATTGTTTTCTGGCGCAATTGTTTGGTTCCTTGTATGAGCTTTGTTTTTAGGACTTTGCAGCTCTTAACAAAACGAAGCTGGTAGGGTTTCTCTAGCCGAGTTTTAGGGGTTTTTGTAGGGTTTATGACGGTGTCCTGTAGCATTTGTTTTACTGACCTTTGGCAGACTAAGTTAACTTTAACTAAAATGCTAAAATTCTCTACTTATTTTGATTAGAAGCATTCCTTATTCTGTAAGAAATGTTATTTCATGTAGAAATTTCATTTCAGCTTTCCGTAGAGGTATCATTCCTTTTTCACGGTTCTTCTTTTCCGTTTATTAAGCTTTTTCTTGCAAATTGTTTATTCAAGCTACTAGTTTAGTAATAATTTTGTACTTTGGTTGGAGTAAACATATGTAGAAAGAGTAAATTTTCTTTTTCCATTTTGCCCCCCATGAGCTTTCAGTTAAAAGTGTTCTGCAGGTTATAATTTTCACATTCACGTCATAATATGATTTTATAAGAATGGCTACATGGATACCTTGGTAATTGATCTAATGTTTGATTTATATTCTGTATGCAGGCAAGGGAATTGTACATGGCAGGTCTTTTAGCTGTCGGTCAACTAGTAACCAGTTCTTGGCTAGGGCCAACTGTTCAAATACATGGAAGAAGCCATTTTTGCTGTTAGACAATGAAAATATGAGACTTTCTTATGACACAACTAGTAAGCTTAAAAATAGATGGAGATGTTTTGAAGTTAAAGCTGCATCTGCAGAGTCTTTGAGCTACGGGCAATTTGTGCCAGAACCAATTGACGAGACAGTGCTTGATTCATCTGAGACCACTGTTCGTGACTACAAAATGCCCAGGCCTAAGGCATTTAGAAATAGATTCTTGAACTTTGTTCGTTTCGGTTCAGTCTTGAATAAAGCTGCTGAATCTTTTTTTAAAAGTGAAATTCGCCGAAGGTTATTTATCACAGCACTTCTACTGTTGGTTAGCCGTGTTGGGTATTTTATCCCTCTGCCTGGGTTTGATCGGAGGTTAATACCAGAGGATTATCTTAGCTTTATATCTGGTTCTGTCGGTATGATATTGTCTCTTGTCCTCTACATGATCCCTTTTTTTTAGAAGTCAACAAATATTTATGTTTTCCCTCATTGTTGGAATCTGTATTTCCTATCAGCCTGAAATGTCAGTCAAGCAAAACGGCTCACTTTCTTGATTTTTTTTGGTTTTCTCTATGATAGTTTCTTTTACTTTTGCCTCATATTGGTTCTGCTTTCAAATTTTCTACCTACAATGGTTTATATGTTTCATTCTAGTGTCTTCATTCCTGTTGCAAGCTTTCATTTTCACGAAACCCCCGGGCCTTAATATGTTGGAATGACTCTTTATCTTTTGTTTGCAGATGAACTTGGTGATTGGTCACCAGAACTTAAGCTTTCACTCTTTCAGCTTGGTGTCAGTCCTCAAATTGCAGCATCAATTCTTATGCAGGTCTAGTTGCACAACTTTAGGATATTATTTTGGATCAATGTGTATGTGAAACTATATGTGCAATTTCCCACAAAAGCGAGGAACTTCTGTTTGAATGCCCAACATTTGCGAAATGATCAAATGCTATAGTTAGTGACCTCTTTAACTTTTCCTCTGAAACTTATCATGTAAGTTTGAAATATCGGCTTTTTTTTTCAGGTTCTTTGTCATTTGGTTCCTTCTCTAGTGAAGCTAAGGAAAGAAGGGTTAGATGGCCATGAGAAGATTAAGAGTTATATGTGGGTCTGGTTATTTATTTCAAGCAGTGAGAATATGATTTCTCAGTGAAAGTTGTTTGTTTTGTCAAATTCACTTATCACTGTTGTAATGTGTATGATGATCTTCATTCTTTCAGATGGTGGATTTCACTTGGCTTTGCAATAGTGGAGGGTCTGATTCTTTCATGTTATTCTCTTCCATATTCCATATATGCTGCCAGCTACAGGTATTTTCTATGTCTCTGTCTCTTTCTCCATCTCTTTCTCTCTGTACATCTGTGTGTATTCGTGTTTGACTTTGAAGACCAGAAATTGACTATTTATATTTCTTGCCTTAGTGTCTGCAATAGACCTACACGTTTCACTTGATTGGATGAGCATTTTGAAAGACATATTTTAGGTCCGTCAAGTAATTTTTTTTTCCAGTGGTGGGCCTGGGGGTTTCCATGGTAGGCGATGTGCTTAATGGCATATTTAAGTTGTCTTTGGACGACTATTAGTACAAGTGATCACTTTGTGGAACTAGTGCCTTTTGTTAATTAAAATTAAAATTATTTCTCTCGCCCAAAGATAATCTTCATCTTGTACTTTTCTGAATTAGATTTGAAATGAACTGGGGTTATTCTTCACTGCTGTTCTCTTAAGTTTTGTATGATACTCATTTCTTTGGCAGGTTAAAGCACATTCTTATGACTACTTGTCTACTTGTGTGCGGAGCAATGAGTATGACATGGATTTGTGACAAGATATCAGAGGATGGATTTGGTATAGCTGATTTCTATTTGTCTGCTTCATCTATATGAGTTTCTTCTGTAGTCTTTTGCAAATATTTTGGGATGGAAAATTTGAACATATGAACAGTATTTCTTTATCATCAAGAGAATGAAGATGGTCAATTATCGTAACGAGCCCTGAATTTTTCATAGGTCAAGGATCGTCGTTGATAATATGTGTGGGAATTTTGACTGGCTACATGGAGACATTATACAAAATGCTGATGCAACTCTCAGGTGGGTAACATATGAGGATTGTGGAACCAATTCTTGTTATGCGATGCTTTAATTGCATTAAACCTCTTGAACTTTGGAAATAACTTAAGGAATACAGGTTGTGGGTTTTATCCAAGAGAATTAGGTTTAAAACTCAATGGATTTTTCTGTCAAATTGTCATCATCGATCATTCTGTATCTTATAGCTCTGCTCCTACTTTAACTGTGTATACTTTTGTTTTTGCAGGAAGTTCGGTGAGTTGGTGGCCATATGTACTTGCAGTTTGTGGTGTTTTTCTTGTGGTAACCATGTGGGCAGTTGTTGTAACTGAGGGTTGCAGGAAAATCAAGTTGCAGTATTATGGTTTTAAACTTGCCTCTGCGACAAGGTTGTCACCTTTATGTTTTCAGAATCACCATATGTTTATTTCATCTATTTGTCGACTAATTTGTCCTGCTCTACCAGAAAATTTGGATTTTAGTTCTTTTACTGAATGGGAAAAAATAATGTTCCTCTCTTATCTCCCTTATTCTCTAATTATTTCCTACACCAGTCCACTTTCTCTGTGTGATGACACCAGTATTGATAATTTCAACCATCATTCTTTCACAGAGGAGATTCTCCAATCACTGAGGTGGAGCCTTACATCCCATTCAACATAAATCCTTCAGGGATGCAGCCTATTTTAACCACTTCCTATCTACTGGCACTTCCAAGCATTCTTGCAAGGTTTCTCCTTTGACAACTCTAAAACCCTCCCCATTTTTGGCCTTTCTTGCTCCTTCAACTGTCTAATATAATGCTTTTGCTACAGCATTCTCGGTTCACGTTTTTGGGGGACTGTGAAGGATATCCTGAATCCTCAGACCTCCCAGCCATGGGTTTACTACACGATATATGCATTCTTTGTGTTCCTCTTTAACATATTTGACATTGTAAGTTCTCTCGTAATTTGCCACGATTCTCATTTTGAATTCTCCATTTCGTTGTAACAATCATGTAACTTTGTGCTGACTTCTGTGTATCATTACTAAGGTTTGTCTGATTAGTGATTGATATGCTTGTCTGTAGGCTAACATGCCTAAAGAAATAGATGATTATTTGAATAAGATGGGAGCCAGAATTCCAGGTATAAAGCCTGGAAAGGCGACCGTCGAATATCTTACAAAGGTTCAGGCTTCAACACGTTTTTGGGGTATGCATGAGAATTGACTCTTTTAAGCTTGATCTGGTGATCTTACTTTTGCTACGACACCAAGTTGTTTCTGTTAGTTTGTTCCTTGGGTCTCGTTTCACCTTGTTCTATACTGAACACTTTGCAGGTGGTTTACTGTTGAGTATCTTAGCTACTACATCTTCAATGCTTGACCATTATTTGCGCCGCATTAATGAAGGATTTGCTATAGGTTTCACTTCCGTTTTGATAATTGTAAGCCTTCCATTGTCAACTATCAATTATGTTTATGAGGATAGATTAGCTTGTACATGATTTAGTTTAGGAGGAAGAGTTCTTGTTTGCCGAGGTAGATATCACTCACTTTCTCACCTGTTTGCTTTTTTTCTTGTACCGGTATTTAGGTGGGCTCTATCATTGAACTGAGAAGATCTTATCAAGCTTACAATGTAATGCCGACTCTAAGCAAGGCCTTGAAGAGATATGGGGTTTAACATCTAGTGGTTACTCACAACCATTAATACACAATTTTGGGTTCGTCAATCATATCTGATTTTCATTAGTTCGTGTTGTAGAGTAGCTTCTTCTCATAAGCAGTATGTTAGAGGTCTCATCCCATGTTCCCCTTGAAACAAGATGCGCCAAGTTATCATAGTGTTGTAGCAGTAGAGCAGTAGAGCTGTGAAATGAAATTTGGTGATCTTCTAGAACGTATTTGAATGCAATGTGTATATAGGCAGGCATTACACGTCGGTGGATTCTATAGGAGGCGATTTTTTTTTGGTTTTTTTTTTCCCAGTATTCAAACTGAAAGGCAATAAAGGATTGGATGGGGGTAACAGAAGGATAATTGATGTGAATTATTCCATCAAGTTTTATTAAATCTATCGTGAAACTTTTGGGAAAAAAAAAAATCGATCACTTATTAGTTAATTCATTACCGCTACCATAAAGAGCATATCATCATACCCTAAATTTCTAAATGCGTCAATCGTCATTCACTTATTTGATAAGGGGGTCGTGTTAGATTTTGTAAAGTACAGTGCTTCGTTCGAGAAATTCCTTGAAGTTCAAGGTATCAAAATAGAATTTACCACAAAAGAGAGGAGCAGCAAGAAAATAAACCCAGGCTTTCTCTCCCTCTTTTATCTTGACCGGCTGCCGGTCAAATACATTTGAGAGGGAAACGCAGACAGAGCGAGACGCTAGTTCAGTTTAAAAGAAGAAATTCCCGGCGAGAGCCGTTAGAATATACCACAGCAACAGAAGTCCCCGGAAGCTCAGAGATGGAGCGCAATAGCGTGATTGAAACTTCATCGGACTCCGTCAACAGCTCCGTAATCTTCCACGTCGTCTCCGACGTTGCCGGCTTCGTCCTTTACATGCACCACCAAATCCCCTCGTATGTCTACTTTATTCCGGCAACGATTTCAAATTGTCGTTGCTCTGACCGGCATTTTTTTTTTCCTTTAGAGAGAGTGAGGCCACTCTATTTTCATGGCTAACCTAATTAGACTGTCCAATTTGTTCTTTTCTTCAGGGTATTACAGGATATTAGCCTCGAGTTTGATCAAATGCGGGATGAGTACAAGGATTTGGTGTGTAAAAGCTCAAAATTGGACCTATTTTTTGATTGATCTTTCAGAAACATAATCATTCATTTCCATTTCGTGTTCCTTACGATGTAATTTTTAATTAGGAGGAGACACTTGCGGCTTCGCAAGGTGCCGTTGAAATGAAAGCATCCATGAGGAGGAAGCACGTTTCGAGGAAAAGAGAGTTAAAGCACGGCATAAGAAAGCTGGAAAAGCTAATGAGCATGGTTGCTAAGTTTAAAGAAGCTCTTCAGCTGCTGATCACTGAGGCACCTCACATTCAGCGCTTAGCCCTAGTATTAGGCGCAAGTCCCCTGAGGCCTTTGCATCTTTATGAGCTCTGTCTTTCCGATGGGGGAATTACTGCCACGGATTTTTCCAGAACAAAACTTGCTGATGGACTTTCCAGAAAGGTTCTCCTTTCCAACCCCCTTCTTTTCAGTTTCCATCTTTTGTTTCTAAGTTTGATATACGTTCTATTTACAATTGCATAAATTGATTTTGATGTGTTCTATCCACAATCGCTTAAATTAATAGGCAGATTACTTGCAAGTTTTATCAATGATGCCTTTTGGTAACTTAGTTTCCATTTTTGCTCCCTTTACTGACAAAGGACCTGGTAAACATTGTTAAAGAGATCAGTTTTGGCCATTCTGTTTATTTTAGGGGTAAGTTTAATAGGATAATAAAGATTACTACCTCATCTACTCCACATTGTACTGATTTCTTCAGGTTTTGTGTCTAAACTTAAAGGCTGGAATGTCCCAAAATGACCACTTTCAATGATCTGATCAGTAATTTGTTGAGAAAGGAGTTTAGTTGGCGAGAGTGATTGATTGAAAAAATAAAGTAGATTCTCAAATAATCTGCCCAAATTAAGAAAGTGTGACTAAATGTTCTGTTATTCTATGTTTTCTTAAAGGTCATTCGAACATTGATCTCAAAGGGTGCTGGATCTGCCAAAGACTCAGGTATTGACATATGAAATTTTGAGCTCCAAGACGTTTCTTGACGATATCAAGATTTTGCCGTTAGATGATATTCCTTGGCTGATGTAGGCCCATCAAAGCTATTTTTGATGGTTGAAGCTCCCTCTTCTCTGAATTTGCCTATGCATTTTCTTCCAAAGCGCGATTTCAAATACAACTACAAGGTGATGACCTATAATGATATTGGTATTTTGTGTTTGCTGATATTGAGTTTTAATAGCATCTTGGATGTGCATGAAGTGTTAATCTTCACTTATCTTTATGTATATTATCCTTTGAATGATATCCATTTTACCTAAAACCGAAGTCAGAGCTGCTTTACTAGCCAAGGTGGTTGAATATAGGAGTGGTGACTTCGTGTCAAGGTTTATCTATTCTCGGTTGTTGGTATAGTTCCAAAAAGTTTAGTGGAGGGAACTGAAAATCATAAATTATTGATAACATTTTCTTCTTTGGGTTTGGGGTGATACTTTCATCAAATTTGAGTGTTCTTTATTAGTTGACTGATTAGATTACAGGCATATATAACAAAAAATTCTTTGGTGGCATCTTTGCAGATAGTGCCATTTACGTTGCAGTTTAAGTGCAGAAGTAGTGCCCAGGTATCAAATGCTCCATGTGATGGCAGCCAAACTGGTAGCTCCATGTTGATGAATCCTGCTGCAGACACTAATATCTGGTAAGAATATCGCAACATTAACAATGCACTGGTGTCCATGATTTCTCTATATTTTGTTAGTTTTCTTGGGGAAGAGCGTCCGAATTACTTTTCAAGTTTGTCCTACCAGAGACCAGTAACCACTTCCTCCTATACTTTCAGTTTCCTGTGTACTCGATCTTTGCTTAGTTTTGGGCAAAACATTGCACTCTTCTATACCATGTCAGCTGATGTTTGGGACTTTTTTTGGATTTTTTAATTACTGCTCAATAATAGTACACACAATTTTCCTTATTTCATGTTGATGAGATGGTAACTTGTTTGCTTTAATATGTAGAGATTATTGCTATTGTTTCAGGTTTATGTGTCGGCACATAATTAAGGGACTACCTTCCAGAACATTGTCATCCGAAGAATGATATCCAGCCCCATGATCATGGCTCACTCGATTTTTGACAAATGCTGTGTAGTTTGGAGGCATTCCAAGACATTGTTATCAGAAGATTGCCTTTCAGCTTCAACGGTGAGACCTGTTTTGGCAAGTGCAGAAACTTTCCAAACCAATCGTCACGCAAAACATCGCCTGGACAACTTTCTTTTCTATGATGAATGCTGGAGATCCCCTAATGTTTGTAGTCCCTTTTTGTTCACTAGGTTGCAAGGCTGTCGAGCCTGGCCATGACCAGTAACTTTTTATGGTAATGTTAGCAAATGTAGAAGTATTTAGAAGTTCCATACTGATATGAAGGGACTTTAGAGTTAAGACCTTGAGCTACTAGCCTAAAATATTAATGTTGTTTATAAATAACTAGTTGACAGCTCCGTTCCTATTAAAATGGGACAAATGGAGTAATTTGTTATTTTGCCTGAAATATCTGAAAATACGAAATCTCCCTGGAATTCAAAAAAATCTAAAAATTAATGGCGAATTGAGAATGTTATCACTTTTCTTTGGAGGGTCTGTGACACTTTTGTATTGTACTTGATGTAAGACTAGTTAAATGATCGATATGTGTTTAGAGAAAGGTAGACACATGTTGACTATTTAACTAGAGTTACACTTACTGAAAAGTAGTGATGAATCATCGTTCCTAATCTGAAATAGGTCGTTTCAAATTCTCTGATGGCAACCTCAGTAGAACCACCAGCCTCCCTCTTGCTGTCTTCCTGGACAACGTTTGTTTTTAATTTTGTGTGTTTATTACACTCTTCAATGACCGGTTGCTTGAGCTTATTGTGGTTTGATATGAATTATAAGGATCAGAAACGTTAATGGATTCTCCCGATCACTTTAGTGACTTAATTCCCCTCTTTTGGGTCAGTTTGAGAAAGTGTTGATCTTGAGCGAATAATGTATTTACAGAAGGAGCTAATAAGGTATTGAAGGAGGAATCGATGCTTCTGCTTAGAGGGTTCGACTCTGTTGCTGAAGCTTTTGTTTCTATACAACTTGATTGCAGAATCTGGGAGATAAATATCCAATCTTTGGCACTAATCTGCACTGGTAGAGTTTCTCCGGTAACAAACGTTGGTGTAATAAGGCAAGCAGTGTAGGAATAATTGTTCTGGACTGACCGAAAGTGTTATTGCGCCACTTGAGTGGTTTCTCTTTCCCCTTTTTCAGGAGTAATACTTGAGCTCTCTTGATACCGAAATGGTGTTATTTTCAGTAACTTATGAGCTGAATGTAATGAAATTTTGATATTTGGCAGGGGGCTAGAAAAGATAAGCTGGAGCCAGAAAAGGGAAATCAAGATCACCACCTGAAGTTCAAAAGAGATGGGAGAAGTCAACAAACCAAAAAAAAAAATGTTGGCATCAGCGTAGGATTCATCTTCTGGTACACAAAATGATACCGATAAGCAACGTCGTGGTTTTCATTTAGATTGCAATTTCAATGGCTACAAAATCAGGTACAGTTGCGAGAAATGAAATAAAGACTTGGTGCAAGAGAGCTGAAATCTATTGTAGGAGCAGAATCGAATTGTTCGAGATTGGAATTCAGGCTAACCGTACAAGATCTCTCTACATCTTAGGAAAACTAACTACGGGAATGAGCGTTGATTTAACTTTCTCCAGGAGGAATGTGACAATTGAAATGTGATCAATTCTAAAGCCTAAGAAGCTTCCGAAACACCAAAAGTTACAGCACGGTGATCGCCAATGTAGGTAATGCCTGCCTGAGGCAAAACTCAGTTGCAAAAAGCGAAAAGGAGTACAGAAATACTGCTCCCTCTGTCCCAAAATTATTGTCCGATTTGAGATTTCACTTTTAGTACAATTTGAACTAAAAATGAAAATCCAAACTGGATAATAATTTTTGGACGGAGGGAGTACAAAATAATCATATCAGATAAAAAAAAAAAAAGAATTATCATCAATAAAAGTTGGGAGGGTCAACAATCCGATTGTTAGTTTATAGACATATCGTCAGCGTGGTTATCAAGAGAAGCAGCCCCCAAAAGCTTGCTCAAGTAGTCGTCGTCATACTCCCTGTCCGCGACTTCAAAAGCCTACAACACGATGGAAGAATCAAATTAAACATCCAATTAATCCAGCCCCTAAATTAAGCAGAATCCAAAATTGAAGGAGGGTAAGTAGTGAGTACCTCACCCAACAGTTTGTTCAACTCCTCGTCGTTTTTAATCGCACTCCTGATGTGACATGGCAAAATCGAAGCCTTTCCATCTTCCTTGGCTGCCTTTCCAGCAAGTTCTAGAACCTACACCCCACCACCACAACAAAAACAGAACCAATCAAATCAAACTTATCCATCCCAGTATAAACAATTTGTTAGTTAGTTTAGAAATTTATATAAGGGCTATTATTTTACACTAGTCTCTTTGATCACTATTTTTATATTATAACAATAAAAACCACTACTTGTAATTTATATTACTACTACTACTCATCGGATCATCAGAAAACCAAACGGTTTGAGGAATAATTAAAAGGGAAAAAGAAAACCTCAGCAGCCACGTATTGGAGAACGGCGGAGATGTGGATGGTGGCAGTGGCAGTAGTTTTTTTGGAGTAATTACCGGCAACCAAGAACCTAGCAAATCTATAAACCGGGAACAGAAGTCCAGCTCTCGATGATAAGTTGGCGTATTTGGCCGCTCTGGGATTCACCCCGTCCCCACTTTTTCCTTGAGAACTCATTGTCGATCACCGAAGCGGAGGCGATTTGTGACTATCTTATAAAGAGTCCGAGGGAGCAGGATTTACAGGGTGAATGAATGGATACATCCCAAGGTTTACACCAATTTACTAATTTATCCTAACGTTTTAATATTGATCAATTACGTCTAAAGGTTATTAAAATTAAGCAGATTCATCCCATGACTAGCAAAATAATAAAAATGACCTGATATAACAAGTAAAATTATTGGGTCTCATATTTATTCTTTTTTTTCTCATTCTTTTTATTTTTTTGTCATTTTTTAGTTCATTAAAAAACAAACAAAATTTCTAGATTAAAAAAACTCAAAAAAAACTTACTTAATTAATCAAAATAATTTATGCATCACAAATAAAATAATTTATAAATTTTAGATAAACGCAAAATTAATTAATTTTTGAATACAAGAGATATATATATATAATAAATTAGATTCATTACAAATAAATTAAAGTTTTTAGTTTCTCCATTTATAAATATTTTTTTGTTTTAATAAACTTAAAAAAATTTTAAAAATTCAAAAAAACAGAAGTAAAAATGTTAAATATAGGATCCAAATGATTGTAACTGTAATATCATGTCACTTTTGTTAGTTTGCAGGTCATGGGATGAATATGCTCAATTTTGATAACTTTTGAACGTAATTAACTAATTCTAAAACTATGAGATAAATTTGCTAATAGGGTATAAATGTTGAGATATATACACTAATATTCCCAGGTTTTATATATACGGGAAGAAGAAGAAGAAAAGAAGAGCAGAGGACGGACTTTGATAACAGAAGAACAGCGGGCCTTAAGGATTCTAGCGTTAAAATAGTTTTCTCTACTAGTACTTCTTGGAGCCCACGCCAAAGAAATGGCCCAGATTCCTTCCACACCCCATTATGATTATGAACCTCCCCCCCCCCCCTTTTTTTTCCTAAAAGAATTGCTAAAATGTTTCGGGATCAAAAAATTTTTACTGTATTAGTTTTGGCACTTTGAGTATGGAAGGTGTTTTTAAGATGATCTACTGGTCTTTGCTGAAATGATATAAGGAAGTCCGCTGTTACACACAACTGAGGAATGACCCCAAGTCATGGTCAAGAAGACATAAGACCATGACATCATAGGTTTGGGTTCGTACTTCATAGTGGTTAAGAAGACAGAAGATCATGGTCAACAAGACAGAAGACCATGACATCATCATAATTCATTATTATTCTTATTGCATTCAAAAAAAATTTAAAAAAAATTATTATTCTTCTTATTTTTTTCTACTGTCAAAAATAAAGAAGAAAAAAACATGAATTTTTGCACTTCGCATGACCATGCATGGAATCAAAGAAATTAAATTGGTCTTTCTCTTTTCTTTCTTCTTCTTTTGTTTTTTTTTTTTCTTTTTCTTTTCCTTGGCATTGCCCATCATTTGTTTTGTGACATATAGTCAACATGGTCCTGCTGCGATCAGGATTCAGGTCTCACCATGTCACCACCATCATGAGCTCTATATGAAACCATACTGTAGATTTCTAACGAAAAGGGTTCCATGATTTAGAAACAAATCCAGATAAACATGACAATTCTTTAGACCGATGAATGCTATATATATATATGAATAATTCCGGCAAGTAAACCAAAACTTCCGAGAAGACACCAACTCTTCCATAATTTGATAGTAAAGATACAAAGATTCAGAAAAAAAAAAAAAAACAAAAGATCGTGTTATTAATGATCATTTCCGCCTCAAATTTGTTGTTTCGTTAGCAGAAACCTTTTCTTCTCTGACCAAGTTTTTAGCTAAAAGACAATAAACTTTTTTTGGTAGACCTCCAATTTTTTTCCTAATCAAATCAAAACATGCTATGATCTCTCAACGATTTTACTGAAGGCTTGAACACGCGCGGTTACCCAATTCACCGTTGCAATCATTAACTATTTGTATGCTGCTTACTGGAATGATTCGATGCTCTTGTAACAGCAGGCCGGCCGGGAAATTAGTAAACTGTGATATTGCTTAATTTGCCGGACACTTTTAACCGTTTTCTGAAACGCAGTTCCGGCAGATGGCAAGTTAGGACTTCCGGTCAATCAAATTTCCATTGGTATTGCAAATTAATTTCCATGTGAACAATAATTGTTATTATATATAGTAGGGTGTAGGAATTAAGAGCTCAGAAAGGGTCGAGGAAATAGTAAGTACTAGTACTAAGGAGACGAGAATTTTAAAGCAACGCGCAACAATATTGGATGGAGACTGGAGAGGAGATCGAAGAAGAACATAAAAAGATTCATTCATATAACTAGTGGAGATAACACTGATAATAATACTTAAAACACCGATTTAATTAAATTAATTCTAATTCATTCCAGATTAACACATCAGTACCCCATGCACGCACCCTAATGAAATGATAATAATAATAATATTACTTAATTCATTATTACTGCTTAATCATCATGGATAACCTCCATGCTCAGCCTCCCCAACAACCGCCTTCTCTGCAGGATCACCACAACCACCAGCTTCTTCCTCCGCCGCAGCATCCCCTTGACCACCACCACCACCTGCAGCTTCCTCCGCGCCTGATCACGACCACCACCACCAGCCTTCTTTTGATCCTCACTATCAGCAGTCGTCTCTTCTTTGTCCTTTTCATCACCATCTTTACCATCCTAATTAGTATCTTGGGACGACTCTTCCTCACTCTCGGGGAACTCTGGGCCACCAACAACAAACGGCTTCGATTCATCGTCACTTTCTTCCTCTTCTTCTTCTTCTTCATCTGATGAGTAGTCATCCCAATCCCTCTCAGCCTTAGAATCGTAATCGTCCTCATTCGCTTCAGGCTGCTCATCATTTGGATCATTTTCCTCAACAAAGTCTGGCTTACTATCATCACCCGAATCACTCATTTTCTTTTCTGGAGCCTGGAGGAGGAGAGGTACTGTACTACAGGGCAAATAAATAAAGATGTGGAGGGAGATAGAATTCAGATGAGATAAGAGACTTCTCAATAAACTCGCTACAGCTGCGAACTAATTTACCCTGCAGCTAATTTATACACATGAGATGTACTATCATAGGGCATAAAGATGTAGTATCATCTCGTTTTGTTAGGCTCCAGGGTGGAATTTATACATGAGATGTGTGTGTCTGTGTTTTTTCTTTTTCTTACTTTTTGACGCGCTTTTCTTGCTTGCTTTGTGCATACATGAGTTAATTTGGTAATCTGATTGATGAAACTACGTACAATGCTCTTCATAGGTTTCTCATTTCAATTCTAGCTGTATTCAAAGGGAGTGCAAAGGAGGCGTCGTCGGCCTTGCATCTTTAACCGTAGGTTTTAGGGGATTTCATCCAACCATTTGGATCCCATATAGAGGGTAAAAATTTTGTGATTGTATTGGAATTGTGTTCACAAAAGAATCTTACACGTACTCCAAATTTCTTTCGATCAAACTTGGTGATTATTTTAGTAAAAATTTAGTAAAAAATTTAACACAAAAACACTTTTTTTTTAAAAAAAATTATGTACTGAAAAATAGTTCATATTGTTAAAGATAATTATGAAGAGTAGTTGAGAGGGACCAAATTTAGTGATAATTTTCTGATGAGTAATTATCGAGTGTGGTAATTTAATTTATTAGTTATCAAAAATAGTATTTATCATCAAAAGTAGTTTTTATCCAATAATGTACACATGCCTATAAAAATGACATATAGCTTTTATTTTGTATCACAATCAATACAATGTAGTCTTCAAATTTATTTTCGTCAAGTTTCTCTCTTGTATTTTATTTTTCTTTATATTTTAGTTTTTCTCTCATATTACATTTTGTGAATTGTACTGTTTCTTTTGCAATTCACAAATTATAATACTCCCTCCGTCCCATAATTATTGTCCAGTTTGAGTTTCATTTCTAGTTCAAATCGTACTAAGAGTGAAATCTCCAACTGGACAATAATTTTTGGACAGAGGGAGTATGAACTATGTTCAAGAAAGAAAAAGTACTTAATTTGCTGGAAAGCCTGGTAATGGTTGGATTATATTCGAAGTTTTTGAACATTTAGATACGCGGCTCATGAAAATAATGTTACCATTTTACCTCATATATATATATATATATATAGGCCCTAGAATGCATCGGGTGTATGAAGAACAAAATTATTTATTCGTGCGAGATGGCTCAAATTGAACTTGAACCAAGGAGTTTCATACATTTGAATATTATAATAACGACCTTTGCCCACCATTTTATAATAATTATTATTATGCATAAGTTGTAAGATACTATTTGAATATTATAGGGCTTGTTTGACCAACATTTTATTTTAGTTTTTGTTTTGGTTTTTGATTTGAGTTTGAGATGTGATTTAAAATGTGGTTTGAGATGAAATTTAAAAAGTTGTTTGGGTGATATTTTAAATAAACTAATAATAACTTTAGACCACCATCGGACCACCTCTACCATCGCCGTCACCACCGGACCGCCTCCTGCTGCCGTCGGCTGGCGACCGACCGACCAGATTCCGGCCAACTCGCTGGATAGCCGAAATTTGGCAGGAATTCGGTCGGCCAATCACTGACTGACGGACATCGCTGGATGGCCAAAATTTGGCAGGAATTCGGTCGGACAGTCACTGATTGACGGTGGTCCGGTGGCGGCGGTGGGCGTTCCGGTGGCTGTGAGTGGTGGTGGAGGTGGTCCAGTAGTGGTGGATAAAAATTGTATAAAAATAAGTTTTGGAATATTTTTTAAAAGGTAAATTAAAAAATTGTTTGGATAGTATTGGGATTGGTGTTTAAAAAATATTTTAAGAGATAAAATGAGACAAAAATGTAAAATAAGTTTTGGGCAAACAAGGCTGCTAGTCTCTTTGTCTAACACTGGAAATCTTTCATTTTGTTAAATTTGAGTGAATCTTCTTCATATTTAAAAATCCTTTAATGTTTTGTTTCTTAAATTCTCAAAAAATGATACCACATACAGATATACAATCACTATGCGATTGCCAAATGCATTATCAAGCTTTTTTCTGTAATACTAGTATTCCACAATCCACACCCAGCAAAGGAATATTTGTCCACACATATATGAGCCCCTATGCATCGTAGTCGAGTCAACATTCATGCTAAACTTTGCAATAGGATTTGGCCATTATGTATTTCTACGATCAACGTTGAAGTTTTTATGTGACTAGCAATGTAATCAAGACGAAAAATTCGTGGTCCGGAGAGCCACTGGGATTATTTTTACAAACAAATGTGTAACTTCAAAAAAAAGGGACTTGTTTATTGTTGAGATGGCTAATACAAATTGAGCATTTTTGTGGTGGAATCTGGAATCAGAGACATGATATTATCTGGAGACAATAACAAATGCGCAAGAATGGTATGTCTGAAAAGGGTAGTGAAGATGTTGATCACATGTGTAGAGAATCCAAGGAGGGCAAAATGACTTGGGATCCAAATCATTGGATGAAAGCCACACTGTTGATCATTCTAAGCCAAAGAAGCTTCCCAACTTCCAGACTGGTGATCATCAAACCAAAGAAACCTCAGTCGGAGATGTGAAAAGAGGGAAGAGTTTCAACTAATAGTAGTTGATTTTCACTTTTAATACAATTGTACCTAAAGATAAAAATCTAAACAGCAACCATTTTAGGACATAAGATTATATCAGAAAAAAAAAAAAAAGTATGAACAAGCATGAACAGTAAATTTAAATGGGGATCGCCAAAGTATGAAGTCATGATCGCGAGTTTGTAAACTATGGTATGAAGTCTAGAATTGCCATGATACAAAAACAGAGGGCATAAATAACTAAAGGGGAGAATTACACCCCCATAATTTACTTTGGAAATTCAAAGAAAGGCCTTCCATTATACTGAGAGGGAAACCTCTAAGAACTAGGGTTAAGATGCTGAGCCGACGACGCCTTTCCCTCGTTGTTACTCTGACATACACATGCTGTCATCGTCATCAATAGTAACAGCCGCCGCAAAAAGCTTGCCCAACCACTCTGCATTGTGGTTCCTAGAAGCAGGCTCATAAAGCTACAAAAGCAGAAGAACAAATCAGACATCCAAACCATATCAAAAAAAAATATATAAAAAAAAAGATCCCTAATTAAACAACCAACCAAGAAACGAACCGAGAATCCAATTCAAAGAAGTGGCATTTATATATAATAATATCACGGGTACGTACCTCACCCAAAAGCTTGTTCAAACCCTCATCGCTCCTAATGGCACGCTTGATGTGACTTGGCATAATAGTAGTCTTGTTGTCGGCCTTGGCTATGTTTCCAGCAACTTCCATAACCTACATAACACAACCGCCACAAAACAGAATCAAATCAAAAGTCCAGAACCATTTAATCAAGAAAAAAAAAAAACTTATTGGTTACAAAATTAAGCTAATAATAACCACACTGTTTAACAATCCTCAATCTTTATAACAGTCACAGAAGCAAAATACTAGTAAGAATTCATATAATAAATAAAACAGGAAAATCACCTCAGCCGCGATGTATTGGAGAACGGCGGAGAGGAAGACGGGAGCCGGGCGACTAACTTTTTCGCTGTATTCGCCGCCCACCAGTAAACTACAGAACATATGAACTGGGAACTGAAGATCAGCTTTCATTGCTGGTTCGTCCGGGTAGTCGGCAAGGCTCTTGCCACTGTCAGTATTCATTCTGGATCGCCGGAGAAAGGAGGGATCTTTTTGATCTGATGAGTGTACCGGAGAGGAAATTAAAGATGGGGTCTTTTTTTGATCCGTGAATGTGTATTTCGGTATGGAATAAAAACAGAGAGAGGGGTTTGATTTGGGAGTATTTATATAGACCACAGGCAAAAGAGGTGCGGATGAATTAGTTGGGGGTTTCCTCTTCTGATTGGTTCAGACTGGCAAAAGTAGGACAAAATTAGGAAAAGGACCAGCTCACGCAATACACCGACTAAAACGATTGCAAATTTTGCCACAAATATTACTATTTATTTATTTATTATTGTAGACCCCATCTTTCCATCTTTTTCACTTTTTAACTTCTGCTAGTATTTTTTTTTTTCCCCTTCCTGATTTGTTACCGTGAGTAATATCATACTTGAGTTTTAACCTTAGCACTGCAATGTTCAATTTTGGAGTATCAACTGCATCCCATAAACAGAGATGGCAAAGCTCCTTGAAACCAAGGTACATTAAGCAAAAAAAGTTTTTGGCAGAATTCACATACACTGTCGCAATCTTGCCACTATCAGCACTACCAAAAAGAAGTAATGAATCGAAAAAGTTTCAGATACACACATTTGAATCGAACATGTCACGGAATATGGCTATAAGTTGAGACCATAAACATCTTGCCTACTCATTTTAATCAGTGAACAAGACTGAAATGAGAAAATAGTAGTGACTAATAAAGAAACCACCTCCTGGATTTCAGAAGAGATTAAAGCAGACCGTAATCTCCAGTCAAAACTTCACCGTCCATGTAAAATCATACTTAAGTATCAATTATTATCCCATAAAGGGATCGTAAAAGCTCTCATTGAAACCAAGGTGGATAACAACGTTAAGCATAGAGTTTTTGGCAGAATTCACAAACACCATCGACACTAGCATAAAGTTTTTGTCACTCTCAGCACTAGCAAAAAAAACCCCTTTATTCTGAAAAATAGTTTATTTTATAACTTATGAATTATACTACTTCTATCTAAAAATAAATAAAATAGTCCAATTTTATAAATGTAAATCTAAATCGATAAATAGTCGTGAAACTTTATTCAGTTTTTTATACTAATTTTTTAAATTTACAAGCTTAAATCATCTAATTGGACTATTTTTCGGGACGGAAGTAGTGCATAAAAATATTACAATTATAACGTGAACTATTTGTATGAGAAAGAATAAAAAATAAATGATCAAAAAATTTGTACGGGGTAATAATACTGAGATTGAATCATTCAAATTTGTCAAATTTATTCACCAAGTTGTTGCAAAGTCAGCTTATATTAGGAAAAATAAAATAAATTTCTCTTAACTTTTATCACCCAGAAAAAACTAACACTCATCTTTAAAGTGAAATGGGTTAGTCTTTGGGCCATATACCACTCTCACTTGAAATTGGCTAAACTCACCCCAATTTGGCCCGCCAATTATATAAAGCCCAGTTCCGAAAAATAAAACTAATACTAATAAAAAAAAAAAAAAATCGCGAAGTTTTCCGACTGTATTGACGCTCGCATTGAATAAGCGCGCAGTGGAGTACTATTAATATCTCCGGTCATTAGCTCCGCCGCTGTTCGTCGGCGACGTTACCCTTCCACTTCAATTCCTCGACCGCAAGCAGAGTAGAACCCAGAGCCACGCAATGGTAAATTATTACCCTATCAATCAATATTTATGCTTTGTAATTTTGGGATACTCTTTCAGCCTTAGACGTTTTTCGCGATCTTCACGTATGTGGAGGTTTTTAATGGATGCCTCAAACTCAAAATCAGTGATATAACCCTTTGTGTTTTTTTTCTCTTGCAGTTGTTTTTCTCCTACTTCAAGGATTTGGTTGGCAGAGAAGTGACGGTGGAGTTGAAGAATGATTTAGCAATTCGAGGAACCCTCATATCTGTCGATCAATACCTCAACATTAAGCTCGAGAACACTAGGGCTGTTGATCAGGATAATTTTCCCCACATGGTACTTTCCCTCTTCCCCTTCCTCCTAGGGATTCGGCTCCTTTTTTGCGGTTTAGGGTTCTTGTCCTTGTCGTTTTATGGTCATTTAATACTCGTTTTTGAATAGGATTATCTCTTCTGGTAGTGAACTACGCTTAATATCTGCTGCTTTTGAAAATTCCCGGCTTCATTGTTCTTTTAGAAATAAGACACAATAATCATTTAATAATTCAGTACTATGGTTTTCTGGAGTGCCATTGCCTGATTCCGTCTACAAATGTTTCACTTGGTTGTCTTTACCTTGTATTTGACCTGTTTTTATAGTTTTCTTTTCTATTTTGATGTGATGCTTAACACATTACTTCTTTTGTAATCTTGTTTTGTTGATGGAATTCGGATTGTGATCTAAACCTGTTAGCTTCTTGTTTGTGCACAGTACTAGTTTCCATCTTAAGGTGGTACACATTTTCCCGAAACTTTGGATCCGTAGTATCATTCTGTTCGTGAATTTGCGTTATGTGATGTTATATCTTGAATGATAGAATGAAAGCATTCTTTTTCATGTCCGGTCTGGACTTGTGGTCTCTTCAAGAATTGTGGATATTATGGTTACATCTGATTATTTTGTTTGCCGGTTACTTAACTTAGCTCTTGTAGCTTTAGATCACCTTCACTAGTTCTCACCGCAACCATGTAGGAGAAACTGATCTGTCATGTCTTGTTTTTAAAAATTTTTCATTTATAGTATCAGAAATGGAAACTGTAGGATTTTGAAATACTAAGTGCTAGCCTCTGGGAAACAATATTTCTCAGGGAAAGGTTATAGATAATCCACAGTAGGGGTTTTAACATTAAATTCTGTTTGAAGTTACTGGTCAACATGCAAACTCGAATTTGAAGTGAGTATCCTTACGCTAACACTTCTCATATTCGGTCTTATGTTTCGATGTGTAATGTCTAATTGAGCATGAAGGTTACTTAACTAAACATGGCCATTTAGATTTCTTATAAGAGGGATTTCCTGACCTATTCACGCGCTTGGGAATGGGACAATTTAAGGTCATACTTCAGGACAAACCAGTCCGGTTAATGCATCCTTGCAAATTCAGTAATATGGTGGAAAATCGAAATTAGTTTAGAGAAAATGCTGGCAGAGCCACTAATCAATCCATATGACTGGTGATATGCTGGACTATAGAAGAATTGTGACCCTTGTATAGGCAATGTGGTTGTCCCTATCTTAGCATTTTCAGGTATTTATCCGTCATTCAAAGCCTGGGTTTCTTGTATCAATTGCCTTGTTTCCTTCTGTCAACGCATTTCTTGGAATCTAACTAGCAACCCAAATGTAAATAGTCAAAAGTCAACCAAATGTGAATGAGTCAAAAGCTTCTTGTTGCGAGTATTTCGTGTTCTAACAAAGGGAATATGGTAAAAACGATCTATGTGTAGTACCTGGTAGTGCACTCATGTTTTGGCTGGTCATTAGCACTTGCTAGGGGATAAGTCTGAACCCTAAAAGCTTTATGAAGAAGTGTTTAAAGTTGGCACACTCGATATTTTAAGTAAAGCTTGTATCTGAATTTCGTTTCAATGATCTTGTGTAGGACTTACCTCTGTAAAAGCTTTCTTTGCAATTTCACTTGCTATAAGATTGAAGGAGACATTTATTATGTATTTCTGCGCTGTGTTCTTTCAGTCCCTACTTCCTCTCTACCTTCATATAATATTTGACCATCATATAAGTGTTTCCTTCACTAACTGGCTCATGTCTACGTATTTTTGCAGCTTTCTGTGAGGAATTGCTTTATCAGGGGGTCGGTTGTGAGATATGTCCAGTTGCCACCTGAGGGGGTTGACGTTGATCTGCTTCATGATGCCACAAGAAGAGAAGCTCGGGGTGGCTAAAGACTTGTGATCTCAACTTCTGTGTACGGACCATCAGACATAATGGATTTTAATGTGTATCTGAAGCTTTCTATTCAGTACTTTTTGGTAGTGTTCCTAGTGACGAGTGTGATCGTGTTTTTGGATTCTGCCAAGACTTTATGCTTAACATATGTGCTCACCAATCTGCTGAATTGACTTGGTATATACCTTGATGGGTTTATTCTTGTCTTTTGTCCCTGCTTCCCTTTAGATTAATTACAGTTCTCTAGCAAAAGAAATGAAAGCACAAAGCTGTTATCCCGAATTCCCGATACATTGCTCCCGATACCTACAATTGACGAAGCTAGTGTTTAATTTAATTTGAATCCATCAGTATCTCCCAACCCTACTAGTCGGCTGCCCCAATCAGAGTAGGGATTGATAATATGGATGCAAATTGAATATTTGCAACGCATAAATATCGTAATTTCTTCGCCAAAAAATAAATAGACTTTACCATATACCGTATGTTGCTTGTCTAACTAATTTCATTTTTTATTTTTATTTTTTTGTTTCTCCTTCGTTTTATGAGAGAGAGCTATGTTTAGGAATTATTTGAGGGAATTGGGATAATCCAATTAAGGAATAGTGAATAGTGAAGATGTTCTCATTTATATTTCTCAACATTCCTATATTAGAAGATTTGCTTACCTCAATCTTCAATTAATTTTTTCCCAAATCAAATGCCACAGAATTTTTTGTTTTTTTTTTTTTAATCGTTGATATAGCATATCATCCGGTGCTAACCTTGACACTCTTAATATTGCATCACTTCTCCAAAGCTCCTCCTTACCGTAGCTAGAATTCTCTCACTTTTCTTTTTCGCATCTTCATCGGCAGAAATGGAAAATCATCACTCTGGTTATCCGGTAAGATTCTTTTTTGCATGCAGCAACGTTACATGGAGTTTTTCATATACTTATTTATACCCAAAAAAAAAACTTTTGTTTCTGGCAGAAAATTGTGCTCCGAGTGAACATCAATTGTTGTGAGAACTGCCCCAAAGTACTGAAGAAAGAGTTTGAAGAAATCAAAGGTAATTAACTGATTCATCATCAACGTTATTTAATTTGCATGTGTATTTTGGTTTTTGTTTTGATTAACAAATGGGTTTTGTGTGTATTGTTATATAGGTGTGAGATCAATAAGGGTAGAACCAGAAGAGAGGTTGGTGTACGTTATAGGAGAAGTAGACCCAAGTCTTCTGATCAAAGTGGCCAGCAAGAAAACGAACAAAAAAGCAGAGGTAGTGTCCTATGAAAAAGAGCCCTTGAGGAGTAATGACCATAAAGTTGAAGATTATGTGCCACCCCAGTTTGATGAAAGCGTGTGCAGTGATCCACATTGCAAAACCCACAGAAGCAGGCCATGGATTGGCCAGACCGTTCCTCCGATGAGTTCTGCCGATCATCCCCACCACAATGCTGCTGGTGGATTTTCCGGTGGCGGTTGGAATTATTTCCCTGGCTTTGCCAGGAGGCCTGGTTATGGTGGTCACCGTTATTATTAGGTTCAGATTAGCTTCTTAGTCAGATTGGCCAACGTAATTTTCCTTGTCTGAGTTCAGTTTTAAGCTCATATATACACCTCTAATGAATTACCTTTTGGTTGTTTTTTTCTTCTTCTTTTCTAAATGTTATATGGGTTGACATATTAAATTTTGGGATTAGTAATTGTTAATGTGGTTCGCGGGATTTTCATGTAACTAAGTGTCAATATTGTTTCAAGTTTCAACAAGACAAATCAGCCCTAATATCTAGTGTGACTGTGGATAATGTTGAATGTGATGGAAACTCTGATAATGAATAGAAAAAGTTTGTAACTTTACAAAAGACACATCGATCAAACTCTGACCAAACTCTGCACTTAATTCATGCACGAGATAAATATGAGACAAACAATAGATATAGTAAAAATGATATGCAATGTGTAATATCTCTGTTGCAGACTTGAGCAAACTAAACCAACACACAAATGATCTATATCAATGCTCTGGATTTCTTTTTACTTGACGTATTTGCCAAACCAGGCCAGCATATCCTGCTGAGCCTCTTCTGCACTTTCAACTTCCTTCTGATTTTCCTCGTTGTATCTGATTGTCCACCCGTGTGAAACACCGGGAAATATTTTAACAAAGCTATCCACCTACACCGATATTTTAACAGTCAGTATGTTTATTATTATCATGGGATTGCAATCAGAAACCTATGTCCACAGATTATAAACAATCAAAGAAGTTCTAGCTTAGTATTAAAAGGTTTACATTGTACCTCGGGTTTAGTAGCTAAAATCGCCTCGAATTGTTTAATCAGTTCAGGTGGTGTCAACTGGTCTAGCTCTGCTCCCAAGATGGCGATAGGTTTAGTAACCTCTGCACACGAACAATCAAAGCCAGCCATTGCATTTTATGTTACATTCTCACTTACAAAGTATCACATATAGAGTAAAAACAGCAGCAGAACTTTTTTATAACCAACAATTTCAGTGTACTTATCAAATACAATAACTACATACAGAAATGATTTAATGCCTGTTTCTATCAATATGTCCACTATCACAAGGAAGAAAATATAAGCGAGAACATGACGTGGAACTCCTGACTAGGCCTGATAGTGCTTTAACTGGCTGGAAAACCAAGGTGTATGACCAAAGTTCAGAAATAATACATATAAATTCGAACATACAATATCTGCCAAAAGAACACAATGATAATATTGATGCTACCTTTTATGTCATCAACGGTTACGAAGGAAGGGTGCAGTAATACAGCAGCTTGAACGTGATCAGATGCTAATAATTTCACCGCCACCTTGGCTGGTAAAATATCAAGCGATCAGTAAATATTTAGCAGTCATCTCCACAAGAAATGTAAACCTGCAGTAAAATTTCAGAAAGTAGTCATTGTGAGAAAGTAAACTCAGTTACCTCCCCAGCAAAATCCAGCAGCTCCAATAGCAGAAATGCCTTTACTTATAAGATCAGCAACAACTGGTTTTGCATCCTCAACTCCTTTGTCCTGATCAATCACAATTAACAAAACTGATCAACATAGAAGCACTTTAAATAAAGCAATCACTGAAGCATTCTTCATTCGGCAATATCATGCAAGCAGCTACTGAAACACAGGTCGAAATGTACCAAGAATGCGTCCAGGACAAACTCTTGAGACATTATTCAAAGTATAGGAAATTACGCAAATTGTTAGTGGACAAGAGCTGGAAATAGACCTGTCCATGGAATTTTAGCCAGACTGGCAGAGGCTTTTCAGTGTTTGAAGGATCGTATGGATCCCCAAAAAAGAAATCAGGTACAACCACATAAAATCCAGCAGCTCCAATTTTGTCAGCCAGCTTCCTTCAGGGAAACATTAGAAATCCGTTATTCTTTGCAACTAAAAATGATACAAAAACAGCATTGGAGAGACCAAATATAGAAAATCACGAGAAACTACACTTTCCAATTTTTCCCTTGCATATATGATATATGCGCAAAAAAAAAAAAAGAAAAGAAAACAGAATTTAAAATCAGATCTTTTCACAACTGAGAAAGATGGACTACTCAATTAGATGGGTTGAAATAACACAATCAATGGCAACGAAATTCTTAAATTAGTGAATACCTCAGCTTTGGTGCTTCATAACCTGCAAAACCATGTATGCACACTAGTCAGAGAGCAATCAAAATAAGATCTTTTTTTTCGTTTTCACTTTCTCCCCCTCACCATTTCCTTTAATATTAAAACTTCTATCGACAATCGCATGATCTCATTTGTCTTATTCGTAATCTTTCAGACACGACACAGAGAAATCATCATCCACATGCTGAACTAGCAACATCCCAGTTCAAAACTAAAACTTGAAACAACAGTTGAAACAAAAATGAAATTGAAGATAAACAATGAAAAAGGGTTCAATTAGTAATCACCAAAAATGTCAGAAGCAAGAAGAACAGCAAGCTTGGAGTCAGAAGGGCCAGAGACGTAGGAATTGAGGCCTCCCAGTTGTACAACGGCGCCATCTCCGCTGCTTGAGCTCAAGCTTGGTGGGTTCTCACAGCACTGGGGCCCCGACATTATCTTCCAAATTTCCCCTTTTCCACACAATCTGGTTCTTAACCTTTGTTTTTGAATGATTGCAGATTTCTTGTCTGCTTTTTTCACTTACTATATTACTCCTTTATTTTAACCCAACCCATTGGATTAATGGGCATCAGTTACTGGGCTTCTTGAGGTTGCCGAATTAGTTATTGGGCTAGCTTGCCCCGAATGATTTTCTTTGTTGACGGTTTTCCTTAATTTCTTTTTTTTTTTTTTAAGTATAATCTCCAATCAAATATTGTCGGCCAAATGTAATAATGGAAAGGAGGAGGGAAAAAGAAAATATTCCGTTTAAATACATTAAAAGAAGCAAATTAGCATATCTGTCCGCCAATTAAAATAAAGATTTCCTTTGATTCTAATTTTAAATTTGGACAAGAAAGTAAATGTTAAAAATTGCGGAAAATATGTAGAAGGAATCTCCACTTGGTTATATATTACCGATCCCAACTTCTAAATAATACTAGTGTATATCAATAATCATCATCATCATCTGCTCTCTTCCATTGGTTTCCCTACGAAGAATTCTTAGTTGTTGAACTGCTTTCTCTCTTTCGGTTCCATATTACACAAGTTTTAAGGTGCGTGTAATATATGCTTTTTCTTGTCTCTTCTATGACTTAATTATTTCTCGTCCTAGGCCTCTCTGTATTTCTGTGGATTGAGTTCTAGTTTTGGTTTGGATTTAAAAAAAAAAATTGTGTTGGAAGCGAACAAAATAATTTTCGTAAACATATATATATATATATATACATGTGTATGTATTAAAATTTGTGTCAAACGTGTCGTTGATGGTTTAAGATTTTGGTTTAGTAATACGGCATACCTAATGGGGTAGTTCGTTGATTTTAGGGTTTTAGTTCCCTTTGTTGTAAAACAAAAAAAAAAAAATTATACTGCTCTGTCCCAAAAAAAAAAAAAAGTTCACTTTGAGTTTTGAGTTTTGTACTATTTTTAATACAGATTTGAAAACTCAACATGGACTATGTTTTTAAGAACGAGGGAGTACATAATAATATGGAAACATGTTTTGAACATATCCTAGATTGCAAATATTATATTCCTTGTAATTCCAATTCCATTGTTCTATTCTGGTGACGTTTGAACTTCCAATTTTTGGTGGGTTCATGTAATTTTTTTTTTTATTAATATTGTGTTGTTGATGCTTTAATTATTTGGTTTGCATTTTTGCAGTAGCTAACCTTCAAACAAACCATTAAAGTTGTTTGTAGCAAATCAGTCTGCCGCCTGTCAAAATGAGCCAATTTGCTGACGTGGTAAACACATCAACCATGTTCATCATTGTCTACCTTACATTGCTTTAGGGTTTTACTGTTGATCGATATTTTAACTATTTGCAGACTTGTATATTGAAAGTCAATGTCAAGTGCCCGGCATGTAAGATGCAGTTGAACGAGGTACTAAGTTCGGTGATAGGTAATATATATATTTCACGTGACCTAGCTAATTTTCTTATTCCCATTAGTACTAGCTAGAAAAGGGCGCGTAACTCTTTTAGTTCGACAAATACGATTATTATTTGAGGCCAAAAATGGTTAATTATTTAACTTTTGTCTCAAAATTATTGTTCAATTTTTATTTTTAATTTTACAATTTGAACTAGAAATGAAAATTTAAATTGTACAATAATTTTGGGATAGAGGGAGTAAGATAATAATAACAACTGAATATTTGGAAATATCATGCAGGAGTGTATTCAGTTGAAATTTCAGCATCTGGATATGCTAGGGTTTGTGGGGAAGTGGATCCAAACATGCTTCTGAAAGCAGTAAACAGAACGGGAGCCCATGCAGAAGTGGAAGTCGTGAAACTTAACCATCCCATGTTGAGCCAGCGCCAAAATCCCTCTTGGTCTACCGGTGGATATCCGGACCCCTTTGTAGGACACGATTACGGCTTCGGAAACAGCTATAGTTACCCCGGAGGTGGCCGGGCCAGGTACAACAGTAGTTATGGCCATGGTGGATACAGTGGCCTATATCCCGAGCATTCATGTTTCGGGGGTTACGGTGGTGGTGGTGGAGCTTCTTACCACGGTTACGGCCCGTATCGACCCTCCTATCCCATGAGGAGGACAATGCCTTTTGGTATGGGTGGCGGTTATGGCGGCGGCGGTGGTTATGGCCGACCTTTTAATGGTTATGGTTCTGCTTACATGCCACCTTTTTAGAATTAATTTATGGTGGTGATGATGATCGAATGACTTTATATTAATGTCATTTGATCAAGCTATAAATATGATTAAACTTAGTTCGTGGTTTATTGAATTGTGTTTGTTTGTAGTTTGAAATGGACATGGTTATATATACCATTAATGAAACCAAATACTTCTTTTTTTCTAATTATAAAGTACAAATTTGAACTAGATTTAGTATCAATTTATGTTTTATAAATATGATAAGAGGGACTACTACTTTTTCGTGGGGTATGATGTTCAAAAGGCAAAGCGACAGTCTGAGCAAGTGTCATTTGTCATTGATCGAGTTTTATCCATAATGCTTTCGAAAATCAGCTCTTAGTTAATAGCAATCCAAAGTTCCAAACTAGAGCAGTGCCTCCTTAACATGGTTTCATTCACAAGATACGATGAATGTCATGCTTGAACCAAAGAATCAGACAATTTGGCATCATATGAACTCCTAAAAATGTTACATTTGAATCCTGATGTTTACGAATAACACTCCTTTCGTCTCGATATAATTGTCTGGTTTGAATTTTTATTTAAAGTTCAAATTATATTAAAAGTGTAGCTTAAATTATATTAAAAGTAAAATTTCAAACTAGACAACAATTTCATGTCAGATGGAGTATAAAATGTATTTTTCGGTCGCTGACTAAGTCAATGACCGGAATATACTAATTGAATGGCAGAAGGATGAAATTGGTTAAATTACGATACATCAGGATAAAATTAGTAATTTTACAATATATTAGGATGAAATTGAAATCGAATAGAAAATTAAGGACTAATTTTGAAATTTCCCCCCTCCAAACTGATGTTTTCAATTACTCCGGTCAAAACCAAAACCCGGTCCAATTCAGTTGGCAAAGACGGTGGTAGAACCCTTAATTAAACCCCTGGTCTGTCAACGGCTTACCGGAGTAAAAGAAAAGAAGAAGCTCACTACCTTCATGGAGACTGACGAAGATGCTTTTAGGGTCTCACTCTCACCAACGCCGCCCCTGCCGACGGCAGTGAGGTTCGAGTGTCCTTTTCTGACTGCCATTTCCAATTTTCTCCGTTCCTTGCGGTGCAATTTGGCAATTCAATTCAAATCATTTTCATATTTTTCCCTTGAATTTTGAGAAATGATGGCGACAAACAATTTCGGCCACATTTCAATTTATGTTTTTTTTTTTTTTTGCGGGAATATGGTTGTTTTTGTTGTAGCTGATTTGATTTGGTTCATTGCTTGTGGTGTTTGCAAATTGCAGTCTATGCAAGCTGAGTATCTTTTAATCAGCTTTTTTTGTTGTTTGTAGTGATAGATTATTAGTTTGAACATTTCTAAATAATTTTGCATACAATTCTGATATCTTCATGTGATGATTGGCGTCCTGCCTTTCTGGAATTGGAAGAAGAGTGAAGTAGTATCTGGTGCTTTTTCCCTAGTCAATTTGTTATAAACTAGAATCTTTGACCCAATTTGCTCAAAACATGTATGGCTGTCTTGATATGAGAAAAATGATTCTGAACTTGTACTTTTTTAATTATTGGAGATCATTTCCAGGCATAGATGCGCGGCATGTTTTAAGCAGTATAAAAAGAAGGATCACCTCATAGAACATATGAAAACCTCCTACCACTCAGTTCATCAGCCTAAATGTGGGGTATGCCAGAAGTACTGCAGATCCTTTCAATCACTACGAGAACACATCCATGGTGATTCACACGTTATGAGTTTACTCTGAGATTCTTTGGTTGTAGTTTGAAGATCAATCCCTTTTATCATATTTTCTCAAGTTCCTACTTTTAACTTGTAGGTCCATTGTCAAAATCGTATTGTTCAAGTATATTTGCTGAAAAAGGTTGCATCCTCTGTTTAAAAGTCTTTGACAGTGTTGATTCTCTCGCTCATCACAACGATTCTTGTCAATTACTCGCCCCCTTTCCACTTGTGAGTTGATTTGAATATTTTGGTTCATATGCATGATATAGCTCTCATTCCGTCTCGTTGTACCTATGACACTGTTGCATACAGGATATGATTAAGACAACTTGTGTATTATCTGAAATTGCTGGTGAAAGTGATGGAGGTCACAAAGCTGTTGCTATTGCTTGTGAAATGGTTGGTGGTGGAAGCAATGGGTCACTTGATCTATGTGCGAGGGTCTGCCTGGTTGATGAGGCTGAGAAGCTACTTTTTCATACTTATGTGCTACCTCAAATTCCCGTAACGGATTATAGGTTTGTGGTCACTGTAGCTTGTTTTTGTTTCTGAATTTAAGGATTGAGGTTGAATATAGGGCTTGATATTAAATATGTGTGCCTCAGGTTTGAAGTCACTGGTATTAAAGAGGAACTTCTCAGAGATGCCATGCCCCTTGTGGAAGTGCAAGAGAAAATTTTGCGGATTCTTTATAATGGAGACTCAATGGAGAGCATACGTTGGGGAAGTGTGCTGGCTAAAGTTCTTGTGGGTCATAACCTTGAACATGACTTAGATTGCTTGCGAGTAAATTATCCAGATCATCTTCTGAGGTAATTGAACATGCCTTTGTCTTTGCCTGGAAACAGGAGTCCTGAATTTAAATTTTAGTCACTATTTATCCTGTCGGACAAATACACTCATCAAATGTATATTTATAGTTTTATTATTTGAAGTATGATTTGTTGAGCAACTAGAACCCAGGAATGCAGTGTTTATAGTTTTTGTACACATGCATCAAACTTGTTGTGGCTATTACCTCCTTGGGGGAAAAATGAAAAAGAACACTCGTTTGCTTTTCTTCAACTGTTCACTTCCTTTTGTCTTCAACATGCTTATTCCTCGTCTCTCCTTGCTTTCAGGGATACAGCGAAATATCAGCCGTTAATGAAGACTAATCTTGTCAGCTACTCTCTTAAATATCTTACAAAGACATATCTAGGGCAAGTTACTCAGCCTTATGTTTCATTTTTTTTTTCTTCTTTAAGTTCTCCCCCAATTCGCATGTTACTCAACCTTATATTATCCATGTTACTCACAACTCTTCTAAACAGATGCTTGGTCCAATTTAAATTTGCTTTACGTTTGGTTTACAGTTATGAGATCCAGAATGGGGCACACGATCCATATGAAGATTGTGTGTCTGCGATGAGGTTGTATAAGCAAATGCGGTCTCAAGATCACCAGATGAACAAAACTGGATGGTCGTTGCTACCTATTGAAGACAGTCAGAGCTCGTCAAGAGCCTTCGATTCATTCGCATCCGTGGAACTTGATCAAATGACCCCAGATGAGCTTTTCAGGATATCCACATCAAATTATAGGTGCTGGTGTTTGGATTCTCTAGGCCAGGTTTTGTAAATGACTGACTGGAAGAAAGGAGTAAATGATGTTTAGGTTCCTCATTATCAACATAATTAACTTGAACACAACCAATTCCTCTGATTTGACAACATTGGTCATTGTAAATGATATGTATTATTGAAGAAATGGAGAACATTTGTCAAGATGTGTCTCAGTCACTTGACCAATTGGACATAGTATTCATTGGTCTTGGTCTACTTCTTTTACATCCTGACTTTGTTTAGTTTAGTTGAGAGTACTCCCTCTGTCCCAAAATTATTGTACAGTTTGGGTTTTCATTTCTAGTTCAAATTATACTAAAAGTGAAATCTCAAACTGAACAATAATTTTGGGACAGAGGGAGTACTCCTCAACTAAACTAAACAAAGTCAGGATGTAAAAGAAGTAGACCAAGACCAATGAATACTATGTCCAATTGGTCAAGTGACTGAAGAAATGAAAACCCAAACTGTACAATAATTATGGGACGGAAGGAGTATAATTTTTAGGCCTTTTGCAATACTCTACCTTACAATTTTGATTGAGATTCGCTTACATTTGACACATTCAACCTCCACACTTTTTTTTCTAAATCTCTTTTTATTCGGACTATTTTATTTCTCTAGTAAATATAATTCATAATTTGTTTGAAATAATGTGAGTGAATGTTATATTACAACAAATACAGGTCAAATTCTGCTCGAAATTATCTAATTTTGTGAATTTTTTTTTCCTAGTAAAATTAAAAGATGAGATAAAAGGAGCATAAAAGTCTTAAAGAAAACGAACACACAGTCACGCACCAGTGTGCATAAATTTGGAAGAAAAGGAGTCATCAGTGTCTCACGGGCGGCCACATCATTTCAATTACTATTCGTTAGACATGTCAAGAGTTCCAAACAATCTCCTCTAACCTCGGAATCACGACGGAATCAAATATTTACAAACTCCGGCCTATCGGTGGTGGCGATATGATGGCGGTGGCGTCGTCCGGCGGAGGAGGGCAACAACACCAGCAGGGGAGCCTGTCGTCGTCGTCCTCCTCCTTGTGGGATGGAGTAATTGAGTTGACCAAGTCAGCGCAGGAGAGGAACGCCGACCCTTTAATGTGGGCGATGCAGATTACTTCCGCTCTCAGTTCTGCCGGCTCGCGTATGCCCTCGCCGGAGTTGGCTAACCTTCTCGTCAATCACATTTGTTGGTCTAACAACGTTCCCATCGCCTGGAAGTTTCTCGAAGAGGCTTTGATACTCCGGCTTGTTCCTCCTATGCTCGTCATAGCTCTTCTTTCTGTCAGGTTTTAGTTTTTTCTTTTTTTTTTTTTTTTTTTTGAAATTCCTTTTTTCAATCCTTTTGCCCAATATTCAGTAGTTTTCAATTGCATGTCGAATTCAGCTCATATGGTTGTGCTTTGGTTTCTTGAAACAGGGTAGTACCATGCAGGAAAAAGTACCCTGCTGGATATAGGTTGTACATGGAACTAATTAAAAGATACGCATTCTATTTGCCTTGTCTTATTCAGGGACCCAATTATCCAAAGTAAGATTTCTGCTCCCTCTCAAATTTTTTCGTATAGTAAATGTTCTTTGAATTGATCTCTTGATTTAGGAAAGGAAATATTGGTTGCTATTTATTTTAAATGGAATGAAGAATAATGATTCAGTGAGCCTGGTTTTGTGTCTTAGTCCTACTATCTATGCCTTGCCATTCACTCTGATGGTGCCATATGATCCATGTGGCTGACTTCACTAGTAGGAGAAAAGCTAATATAGAAGAAATAGAAGTAGTATCTGTTGTTATTCTTATCTCAGACTATCCGTTTTCAGTATAATATAGCTTTGCCTTCTATAAGTTTGTTATGTATATTATGTCTATGATTCCGGCATCCATGAGTGCAGCCATTTTTAGTTGTGCCGCTGAGGCTGCTAAATTGCTAATCAATGTCTTATGGAAGAACTGTATTTGAACTATTTTTGGGACTTACACCGTGCTCCCGGTTTTTTCAGGATTATGGAGTCTATTGATAATATTCTTCATCTTTCGCAAATGTTTGGACTTCGGGCAGGTGATCCTGGGATTGTTGTTGTTGAATTCATCTTCTCGATTGTGTGGGAGTTGCTCGATGCATCACTTGAAGATGAAGGTTTAATGGAATTAACGCCAGAGAAAACGTCTAGATGGGCAACTAGGAACCAAGATATGGACATCGACAACTATGATAGTGGTGAGGGGAAGGTAACAGAGACTCAGGAAGTTATGCAGAAACTAAATACTGTAATGGCCGTTGAAATAATTGGGGAGTTCTTGAGAAATAAAGCGTGTTGTAGGATCCTCTTTTTGGCACGCCGTAACTTGTAAGAATCTCTTTTTGGGCAATGTTTAGAGATCTGTCTTCTCTTTCTTCTTCCTCCTTTTTTTCCCCCTTAGTAAAGGTAAATCATTTCTGTAATACTCCTAAAGAAAAATCATTTCGTGTGTCTTCCTTTCGTTTTAGGCCGACGCACTGGGAATCCTTCATGCAGCATTTGAGATTGCTGGCTGGCCAGTCATTTGCTTTGAGAAATTCGAAAAATATTTCTCCAGAAGCTCTCTTGGAATTGACATCCAGAGATCGTAAAGTACTTTCAAGGGACCGCAAGACCAGCTCAGAGAAAAGGTTCCATGCTGTAATGGCCGCTGGATCCATGGCGCCTTGTGCTGGTCAGCGTCACAACAGTAGTCATTCTTCACTATGGATTCCCATTGACTTGTTTTTGGAAGATGCCATGGACGGATCACGAGTGACGGCCACAAGTGCTGCAGAAACACTTACTGGTATGTTATGTTTCAACCCAGATTTTTCCATCTATTGACACGCCGAGAACCTTCACAATCGTTGCGTTTTACATTCTCTGGGATGGATATTTGTTTCAGGTATAGTGAAGGCTCTTCAGGCACTTAATCGAACTAGTTGGCAGGACACATTTCTTGGTTTGTGGATTGCAGCTCTAAGGCTTGTACAAAGGGTAAGGGGTTCGAAAATTATTCTTAAATTACTTGTCTGGCTGGATATATTGGGAGTTTGGTTCACTTGATCTGGTGGTACTTAAGCTGGTTTTTTTTTTGCTGACGTAATTTCGCTTTTGTTGTTTGGTGTCTTAAATTTTTTTTATCGAAAATGCTTCTATTGTAGCCCCCTCAATTACTTCACAATAGTGTTTTCAGCTTCTTTTTTCTGCCCTAAAATTGTTAATATATAATATATATGTTTGTGGAGTGGATTGTGTCTTTCCTTTAGCAAGGAAGGTTTCTAACTCTATGCTATTCTTTTCAATGGGTCCCTATTTATAAGTAAAAGAAAATACTATATCTATCTGCACTTATTCGTGAAGACATCGTGTAGATTGTTTTTGGATTCAATGATAATGACTTTTCCCAGTGGGCTATGTTTAGGAGATGGATTCAAGTGAGGGTCCTGTGCCACGCATTGACACATGCTTGTGCATGTTGCTGTCTATTACACCACTTGCGATTGTGAACATCATCGAGGAAGAAAATTTTTGTGAATCTGATAATTTGTTCTCCGGTCTAAGAAAAGATAAACAGCCAAATGGAAAACGGCGCCAGGATTTAGTAGCAAGCTTGCAGCAATTAAGTGATTACGAAAGTTTGCTGACTCCACCTTCATCTGCAAGTTCATTGGCCAATCAAGCAGCTGCCAAAGCAATGATGTTCCTTTCAGGTCTATCAGTTGGCAGTGGATATTTTGATGGCATAAGTCTAAATGATATGCCAATGGGTTGCTGTAAGTACTTCCTTACCTTTCTACACTGTTGAAGTTAACTTATTTTTTGGTCTACTTGTTGCACCAAAGGTGAAGCTGCCTTCATTTGGTTTGGGGATTTTATGAATTTCTGTGATATTTTAGGAATGATTTTCCTTGATTGCCATAATTACATAACTTTTTGCTGAAATCAAGTGGTTATAATAAGTTATTAATGTCTTAAACTTTTTCCATTTATTGGAAAACCATAACTGATAACCTGAACCCTGCCCAAGTTGTTCACTCCAGTTTGTTGTTTGTTTGCGAATTCCTTTTTTTCAGTCTTAATTACTTGAGTCTCTCGATCTTAATTGTGTTTCCCACTACTTTTCCGCCTGCATCTGAAAATTCCCAACCGTTTGCAGCTGGAAACTTGCAGCATTTAATTGTTGAGGCTTGCATTGCTAGAGATATTTTGGACACTTCAGCATATTTATGGCCTGGCTATGTGAAAGGCCGAACCAACCAAGTGCCTCGTAACATATCAGGCCAAATGCCCGGGTGGTCATCCTTAATTAAAGGATCCCCACTAACTCCTGCAATGGTCAGTGCATTGGTTTCAATTCCAGCTTCAAGGTATGATACATGTTGGACGATGTCTCCTCTTTTATTGTATTTAGTTTTGTTACTTTCCAGGTGCTTCGTTGCTTTTATTGTCCCCTCTTTGTCGTCCTTGGTACCCTTCGTAGAAACCTGTAATAGGTAAATAGTAATACCAAGCTGATGTGCAGTCCGTGCCTACATGATGAATGTTGATATGAGGATATCTTTTGCCATTTCCGTCCAGGAATAGCCAACAAAAAAAGAAAGTTTCTGTGGCGAATTGGTTATTTTGTTAAACATGAGGGATTTAGTTTAAATTTCTTAGAATATCCTCCTGACTGTCAACTCTGGAATAAGTCAATAGGGACATTTAATTACAATTTATTGCTGCTTCTATTATGGTCCTTTCGTTGATGAAGACCTCACCATTTATCAATTTTTATTTTATTTATTTAATGTTCCGCTTTTGGGGATGATATGCCCTAATGATTAGGCTACTGACTTTAAGCTCCTGAATTTGATGGAAGCTTAGCAGAAATAGAGAAAATATATGAGATAGCAACCAATGGATCAGATGAAGAGAAGATTTCTGCTGCAACAGTTCTATGTGGGGCTTCTCTTAATCGTGGTTGGAATATTCAGGTATTCCTTTTTCTCTTAACGCTGTATCAATGAAGTGCTGATATTGTTCATGTTCTCCAGAGGCATGTTGAATCTTTCTATTATGTCTTGTTCTTGTTGTTCTTATGAATAGGGCCCTGATTACAATTTTTTGTTTGGTATTATATGCAGGAACATTCAGTTCTTTTCATCACAAGATTGCTTTCACCTCCTGTTCCTGCAGACTATTCAGGGACCGAGTCTCATTTGATTGGATTAGCCCCATTTTTTAATGTTCTTCTTCTGGGAATATCACCAATTGATGCTGTTCAGATTTTTTCTTTACATGGTTTGGTAGGTGACAATGAACTTTTCTAGCTTTTACTTGTAGGTTGCAGAAATGACTAGCCTCTGGCTGTTTATGCTTGTTAGTTGAGTTCTGGGCAATTCTTGTGCACTATCTTGCAACTTTTAAGATTCTTACATAGAAGTGCCATGCTTAAAGCAAACGTTTGTTAGCCCATTCAATTTGTGAAACTCCTTATCAACTTGAAATGGCTACCCAGGTCCCACAGCTTGCTGGTGCTTTGATGCCGATTTGTGAGGCCTTTGGTTCCTGTGCTCCCAATGTTACTTGGACTGTGACAACAGGGGAAGAAATTTCTACCCACACTGTATTTTCAAATGCATTCACCGTTCTGTTGAAGTTGTGGAAATTCGATCAACCACCGCTTGAAAATGTATTTGGTGATGTGGCACCCGTGGGCTCTCATCTAACCCCAGAATACCTCTTACTACTACGGAATCTTCAATTGGCAACATCTGAGGATTCACCAAGAGAGCATTCCAGAAACAAAAGACTTTCAAGAGTTGCTAGTCCATCTGCTAGAGAACCCATAGTTATGGAGGGATTTCCAAAATTAAAACAGTGGTATCGACAGCATCAAGCATGCATTGCGTCACCCCTGACTGGTCTTGTTCCTGGAACCCCCGTTCATCAGATTGTTGATAGTCTCTTAGCCATGATGTATAGGAGAATAAACAAAGGTGTTCAACCTATGACTCCGACGACATCTGGAAGCAGTAATTCATCTGGAACTGGAGTTGATGATTTTCTTTTACGGCTTAAAATACCTGCTTGGGATATCTTGGAAGCTGTTCCTTTTGTGCTTGATGCTTCCCTTACAGCTTGTGGGCATGGCATTCTATCACCACGTGAACTGGCTACAGGTTCGTTAACTGTCTTATTAATTAGTGATAGGAAGAATTTTCTTTTGTTTTGTTGCTTGTCAAAAAATATTATGACTATATTTGAGACGCATTATGTTTTCCTTGGACCTTGGGTGAATCCAAGGAAGTAAATGCAACTTCTTGGTATTTCCCTTTTCTTATTATGGCATGAGAAGTGAAGACTCTCCAGGATAACATTATGCCATCACAATGATGCTTAAAGACTACATTACTGTTGATCAAGTTTTCATTCATCTCTCTCTAGAATTTGCTAGCTATATTGTCTATTTCTAAAATATTTGTGCTGGAATGGGAACCTAAATATCTCAACCATCATCTGTTGCATGGTAACTTTGTAACATCAATTATAATCTTCTGGCGCTCTACCAAGATTAATAAGAACCGTATCGTTAGTATACTGTCTGAGTGGTTTCTGTGGTGCGTCGTAACATTGTAACACCAATTAGAATCTTCTGGCGCCCTATCACGTGTAATAAGAACCATATCTTTAGTATACTGTCTGAAGGGGTTTCTATGGCTAGTGGGCTGATCGTCCCTCTCTTTTACATCAAAAATACCTAGAATAATATAATTTTTTTTGGTAAAAGGTAAATAATTTCATTGATAGCTCAACCAGGTACATACTAACTTGCAACTATTACAAAAATTTACAACTGGATACCAAGTGTGCTAAAAAATCTAACTGTAGCAGGCTTCCTTTTACAGCAACAAAATTGTACTCTAGTAGTTAAAATGGTTCTGATTTCCTGAAATTTTTGCCCTGGATCCTTGCTTTGCTTTCTGAACTTCCTGTAATTCCTTCCTTTCATAATCTGATAGGGAATGATTGCACTTGAAATCCCATAATCTGCTGCAGCTGGTCTTGCAATTCATTCGTAACACCACCAAAGTAGAGGCTAGACTTTCCCACATTGACAGTCAGCCCAGTTGTTGCTTCAAATTGCTCCAACACACTCTTAACTAACTTAACTGCGGTTAAATCAGCCTCACACAGAATGATAAGGTCATCCCCAAAACTAAGATTAGTAATCTCAAGCTTCCCGCAGAACTGATGAAATTTAAAAACCCTTCTTTACTGCATTTCTAAAAAGCCGATTCAAGTATTCCATCACAAGCGTAAATAACAGGGGAGAGATGGGATCTCCTTGTCTCAGTCTCGGTTTTCCTTTGAAAAAACCTGTACTGCTACCATTTAGGTTAAGAGAAAAACTGCTGGAACGAATACACTCCATAATCCAGCTGGTGAACTTGGGAGGAAAATGAAACTGATGAAGCATTTCTTCCACAAATTCCCAATGGATGGAGTCAAAGGCTTTTTTAAGGTCAACTTTCATTAAACAGCTAGGTTTAACTGTTTTTCTACGATACAACCTAATCAACTCCTGGGTGAGCAAAATGTTATGTAGAATGGAACGGTTTTTAACAAAGGCTCCCTGATTCAGGCTAACTAACTCAGACAAGACCAAACTGAGCCTTTTGCTTAGCATTTTCGAGATGATGTTATACATGGTGTTACAGCAGGCTATAGGCCGAAATTCTGTGGCATCTCTAGGCACTGAAGTTTTTAAAATAAGCGAAATTAGGGTTGTATTAAACTGTTTGAGCATTTCCCCAGAGTTAAAGAACTCTAAAACAGCAAGACTCACATCCTTCCCTATGATTTCCCAAGTATTTCGGTAAAACCCACTGCTAAACCCATCTGGCCCCGGACATTTGTTAGGGTTTATACTATAAACTGCCTCTTTAACATCATGAAAAGTAAAGTTAAACTAGGAGAATCTGCTGGTATATAGACAGTTTAATCCCTGTGATAAAACTTCACTTTTTGATGGTGTTCTAGCCATTTCAGTGCCTAAAAGTTGTTCATAATAAGAAATAAAGTGCTGTTGTACCTGATTCCATTCTTCAATAACTTCTCCTTCCTGGTTGATAAAGTGCGAGATCCTTTTTTTCATTCTCCGCTGCTTAAGGCTAGCATGGAAGAATTTGGTGTTGTGATCACCCTCATTCGTCCATCGGTCCTTGAGCTTCTGCTACCAATAGCTCATTAGTGACTTGTTTGTCGCCACATATTCAACCATACAATCTTTCTCTCTGTTCTGCAAATCAACATTCATAGGGTCCATATCCAGTGTTGTTTGAATCTCCTCTAACGACTGCTGCTTCTTGAATATCTGAAATTGATAAGTGCCATTAACTTTTTGATCCCAAACTCTTTGAACCAGCTGCTTATAATCCGGGTGCATTGTCCACATGTTATAAAATCTGAATTGCTGCTTAATCTTCGATACTTCTGGCTTCCTTCTGACCAGGAGAGGGCTGTGATCAGAGATTCCACGGGGCATCACAAGTGCTGTTGCCTCCCCAAAGTCATCCAACCATTGAGCATTAATGAGTGCTCTATCAAGTTTGCAAGCAATTCGGCTGCTTCCCAGTTCCCTATTACTCCACGTGAAGGCATTTCCAATAGCTTTCATATCTAACAATTCACACTGTTCCAGCACCATTATAAACACCCCTGTATCATTACTCAGTTGTGCCGTGCCCCCAATCTTTTCTTCTAGGTCAATAATACAGTTGAAATCACCAATAACAATCCAGGGCATGTCAATTTTTCCCACTTGCCTCATGAAAAAATCCCATAAAGGTGCCCTTCCCTGAGGTTGATGGGCTGCGTATACCACAGATAACATGAACTCCATCCCACTACTAACTATTTGCACTCTACATTGAATATATTGCTGTTCTGTCTGAATGATGCTCACCTTAAACTCCTCTTCTATCCAGATCAATAATATTCTCCCTTTCTCTGCTGGTCTATGATTACTTACATAACTATAATTACTCCATTTCTTCGTCATAATCTCCTTAACTGTATCCTCCAGTAATTTTGTTTCTAAAAGCCCAGCCAATCTCTCTATGTTTTGTTGCCTATCTCTCTATGTTTCAGGGGACTATTCAGTCCCCTAACATTCCAACTAAGTAAGTTCGCCATGATTGCTAGGCCCTATGATAGGGTACCAGCTATATGGCTTGTTAGTTTACCTCCTTGCCTTTGTCTAGTACCTCTGCCGTCCAATCCTTTTGTTTCCTTTCTGAACTGGCCTTGATGAGTGTCTTTCTGAGCACTGCTTGAAGCTATTGATTGACTGCCTTCCCCTTTATTAGCTCCTGCCTTGACTTGAACTGAGTTGCTTGAGACAACTGGTAGAACAGCGCCTGGTGTAGTCCTCCTTTTTCTTCCCAGAATTATCATCTACTTTCTCAACTTCCTGTGGTTTTTCCTTCCAGACCTTGATTGCTGGTTTCCTGCAAACTGATGCTTCATGTCCATACCCAGAACAGTTTCCACATTTCAATGGAAGCCATTCGTATTTAATCTTTTGCTCCTGCAGTAACCCATTCTCATCTTCAAAGAAAACTTCCCCAGGCATTTTCTCAGTGATCTTCATTTCAACCAAAACTCTTGCAAATCCAGCCCCATTTCGCAGAGTGGTCATCTCATCCATTTCTAATGGTTTCCCCAGTACACTAGTGATTCTGCTCAACGTTTTAGCTGTCCAATACCTGAGTTGCAGTTTGGGGAGCTGCGCCCATACAGGCACCTATTTAACATCCTCCAATTTGAAACCATTCTCCACAGACCAGTCTTTAACAATGAGAGGCCTGTTGTCAAAGTGATACACATTGTGTTGCAGAACCTCCTCCTTTGCAGCCAAGGATTTAAACCGAACAATATAAACTCCATTATCCATTAACCATACTTTATCAACCCCGAATTTACCCCATATGCGTCTCAAATAACCATTAACCACAAAGAAAGGGGGGTTTGCACCCAAAATGTAACAAATCAAGGAGGGCTTCCAATACTCAAGAGCTTCTTGGATTTCGTCCTTTTGAATTTTAGCTACCGTTTTATCATGCATCAATTCAGGCTCAACGAATTCAAGCTTCCTATTTAATCCCTGAAACAAGCAAGGGTTTGAGTTCCCCCAAACCTTAGTTTCTGCCGAAGCCCTAATTTCATCACTTCCCTTTGCAATCGAATCATTTCCAGCACCCGAACTTTCTCCTATTTGAACAATTTTATGATGACAGAGCTTTTCTAACATGTTTCCACACAGATCGACCTTTAATTTCCCAGAATCAATCGAAGAGTTACTGACCTTAATATAATTGGAACCATGGTTTATTGGTGCTCCTCTCTGGGTATTATATTCTGAACTCTAGTCAAGTTTTAAGTTATTGTCATCTTTCACCACTTTTCAATGGAACTGAATTTCTCTCTCCCTCTTGTTCCCCCTTCCATTCCTCATTTTCTGTGCGTGTTACATTTACTAATAGATATTTGTTTTTGATGTTCAACACATTAACTGTTTGTGTGCTTCTGTCTTAGGGCTGAAAGATCTTGCTGATTTTCTTCCTGCATCACTGGGTGCGATAGTAAGTTATTTTTCAGCTGAAGTGACACGAGGTGTATGGAAGCCTGCTTTTATGAATGGTTCTGATTGGCCAAGTCCAGCTGTAAATTTAGCTAATGTTGAACAACAGATAAAGAAGATCTTAGCTGCCACTGGTGTCGATGTCCCCAGTCTACCTGTAGGTGCGTCATTGCTTATACTGTTCCTGTAATAATTTGACCCCAGTTAGTGATGGCATAAGCTGGTACTCTGTACATTAGTTTTTTTCTGCTAATCATGTCGCTGTTGTTGTAGTATAGAACTTTTCTGATATTTCTTTCGTATTCTGCATCTACTGAATAACTTCATTGAGTAGGTTTGATGACTTTTGCAAGATTTTGTCGATTGCTTGGCTGAGAATTTGGTCTTAATTGCAGGTGGGACGTCTCCTGCTACTCTGCCGCTTCCCCTTGCTGCCTTTGTAAGCCTCACAATTACCTATAAACTTGAGCGAAGTACTGACCGTTACTTGAACTTGATTGGCCCTTGTTTAAGTAACCTTGCAACTGGTTGTCCCTGGCCATGCATGGCCATTGTAGCGTCTCTATGGGCCCAGAAAGTAAAGAGGTGGAGCGACTTTCTTGTTTTCTCTGCATCACGGACTGTCTTCCATCACGATACTGATGCCTTGATCCGACTCCTCAGAGTATGCTTCTCTGCCACATTGGGACTAAATTCCTCCTCTATATCAAGCAATGGTGGTGTGGGAGCCCTACTGGGTCATGGGTTCGGCTCTCATTTTTATGGTGGTATAGGTGCAGTTGCTCCTGGGATACTCTACTTACGAGTGCATCGAGCTGTTAGAAACATCATGTTTATGACCGAGGAAATTGTTTCGCTCTTGATGCAATCTGTGAAGGATATTGTAAGTAGTGGGTTACCTTCAGAAAGGATGGAGAAGCTAAAGAAAACCAAATATGGGACGAAATACGGTCAGGTTTCTCTTGCTGCATCTATGACGCGTGTCAAGCTTGCAGCGTCATTAGGGGCAACGATAATTTGGATTACTGGTGGACCAATTTCAGTCCAATCCTTGATCAAGGAAACATTACCGTCATGGTTCATATCAGGCCAAGCATCACAAGCAAATGGAGTAGAATCAGGAGGGATGGTTGCAATGCTGGGGGGCTATGCCCTTGCATATTTTGCCGTGCTTTGTGGAACTTTTGCATGGGGCATAGATTCAACATCTACAGTGTCTAAGCAACGACCGAAAATCCTCACAGCACATTTGGAATTCCTGGCTAGTGCAGTTGATGGCAAGATATCCCTCGGGTGTAACAAGGCAACCTGGAAAGCTTACGTGACTGGGTTTGTGAGTTTGATGGTGGGTAGTACGCCAAACTGGATGCGGGAGGTTGATATAGAAGTTCTAAAGAGTTTGAGCAAGGCATTGAAGCAATGGAATGAAGAAGAGTTGGGTCTGGCGTTGTTGGGAATTAGTGGTGTTGGTGCAATGGGTGCGGCTGCAGAAATGATCATAGAAACAGGGTATTAAAAATTTTCCCTTTTTTGCTCTGTTTAGCACATTCTCACCAGTGTAGTTAGCTTAATCCAACCCCTTTTTCTACTCATGTAGACGATGTAAACATTGTAAATGATCTTTTATCACAGTTTCACTCTGGCTTTAGAAGTTTCAAAGAATCGGGTTTTCTTTTGGTGCACCTACCCGTAATATTAGCATTATCAATGTACCCAATTTTGATCATTCTTTGCTGAGCAGTAAAGTTACACGAGATCGACCCAATTCTTCCAGACAAGTTTAAGATGGAAAGTTTTACATAGGATAACATATGTTGTACTCAACTCTAGCTGAACCATTTAAACAGGAACGGGCTAAAACAAAATTTAGCTCAAATTCGTGCCTGGTAAATATGACGAGAAGGTGGGTATATATATATATACTGTAAATGAAATTGGCCTTAAAACTCATTTTAAATCTCATTTTATCATATTTTAAAAAGCTCGGGTACAAGAGGGGTTTTAGAACAGGAGACCTCAGTTTCTTCAATCCAAATGGAATCTATGCTTTCGCGGCTAACTTCCGGTTCCATCTGTTCGTCCTTGCCATTATTAACTCCAACTGCAGTTTGGTCAATTCCAATCACTCCTCCAAGCCCAACAACATCCAAACTCCTCTTTCCTTCCCCCGGTTAGTTATGCATCTATATTTCCTCTGTTTATATTGCTTTGCGTTTGACAGTTCAACATGATTCTCTTCTCTTCTCTTCTCTTTGATTTTTTTTTTTTTCTTTCATCAAAACCAGCAGTATGTAGATGCAAGAACTTAGAACAGCCGGAGCTTCTCCCAGGACTTCCGAAAGAGTATTATGACGATGTATGCTAAAAATGGCTCATTTTTTACTTCTTGGGTTATTGCAATTCTGGGCTCTGATTCGGTGTTTGAGAAAAGTTCAAATTTTGGAGTGATTATATGTTGGAAAAAGATGCCATCTTTGTTATTTCTTGGGGGGCTAACTCTTTTCAGGTGATTAGGAATGGCAAGCACGACAAAGGGAGAAAACCAAGGAGTTTCATCGGATGCGGCAAGAGGAAGAGGATGAAGAAGAAAGGATAGTGGATGAATACAGAGAAATTGCATTACGGCTTAGAAATTATCCTCAAGAAGACCTCGTCAAGGCCAGGTTGTTGGTTGCCGACTTCATTAAATCAGCTGAAGAAGTTGAAGAGGTAATAATCACGCCTTCTACTAATCTGAGACTGAGAGGCTAAAAATTGTCATTTTCTGCTAATTTCATGAAATCGGGATTAAGCTAGCTTGGTTGTTACTGTCAAATTATTCAAGTATTGAAGATGGTTTCTTATGAGAAGTTTGTAAACTTGCCCAAATTTATGTCATGTTCTTGTACTTAGCTGTTTTTGTGTATATGTAGAAAATCGAGGAAGCTGCTGAAAAGGGAGAGCTCAATGAACTTGTTCTGCTGGTCATATGGAATCGCCTTGATCTTGCTCGGCGTGATGTATGTGTCCATTTGATCCACTATTCCTGGTCTTTATGTCGGTTTTTCATTATACCCGATGCTCCTTTAGAGTCCTCCAATCATATAAATGCACTTAAATGTTTTTTTCCGGTTTATACATAAGGGTAAAACAAAAGAAAATTGCAGTGCTGATAATCTTGCAACTTCAAAACTGGTTTTACACTCTCCTAAGTAGTTGCAACTTATGGCGCACTGAATCCAGAATACTTGGAGTGTCATAATTCCAACTATGGATTACATTGAATCAGTTTGATTATTTCAGTCGATTTGACTATGTGAGACAATGTAGCTGTACTGCTCCTGTGCTTTCCTATTTGGAACTGATTCTACAATATTCCTGCAGGATGAAAAAGATGCTATTCGAAGTCTTGATCTTTTGTATAGGAGGGTTGAGGTAAGTGAAGTAGTTCAGTCTGTCGGATATTGATGGATGAAACTTGTATTCTGGAAAGAAAAAAAAAGGGAATTAGTTTCAGTTAATCTGTGTCCTTCCAGTTAAATGATGCATTTGCAACAAACATCAAGCATCTAAACATTACTATGTGTTCAATACAGATGTCTGTTTCCCTTTTGCTTTATCTACTTTTTAATATTTGATTGCCTTCAATATTACTCTTCGATATCAAAATGACTTTTAGTTATCTGATATCTCAGACTGAGATCTTGAAACGGGAGGCAACACCTGCCATGAGGCTGCTTAATGACCTATTAAATTTGCATGATGGATTTGATGATCAAAGTTGGCTGAAGGAGTGTAAAAAGCGCATGATTGACACATTCCCACGAGAGGATCCGTTTAGCATCCTTGTTCCACCTGGATTCGACATTGACAAGGTAAATCCTGGATAATTTTGCATTACTATTGGATTGTTTATTGATTCTGGAGTTAGTGGCGCAATAAAAGTGTGCTAAATGGTATGTTTGCTATTGTAGCATGAAGGGCCATTGGCTCCAGCCCTTGCCTTGGAAGCCAATGATGTTCTTTTAAGAGTAGATTTTGTGCGGGAGGTTGACGAATTGTTGCGAGAAGTTCGTGTGGAGCAGGACGAAATGCAAAATTCGCAAGGCCTTGATCCTGAATCTGTTGCATTTAGATTGAAGCATCAGGAGAAGCAGAGAGCCATTCACCAAGTGGAAGCTTTGTTGGATCTGGCTGTTAACTTGAATTGGTAGTTCTTAGACAAGATTTTCGTCTCATTATGTCCATTCATGTCCTTTTGTGGACTACTGGTATAAGCATAGTAATTCTCATTAATGTACATATGTGTTTTATAATTTAAGGTCGAAGTCTTGGGTCGTAGAATTCTTGGCCTCTGGGTATTTACTGAACGGTCGGAACCTTAATTTGTTACTGTTGCCCACTTTTCCTTGATCTTCTGTCATTTTTTACTAGATTTCCTATCTTATTGGGTTTTCTTGGCATTAACAGAGAGGATACGATCTTAAGACATTTTATTTTACTTTTTCTCTCAATGGAAACAGTATTGTGAGATCAATTATCTAAAGGTAACACAATACTGGAAATAAATCGTTGAGTATGTACATTTGTGATCAAAATTTTCATGTTATTACACAAGTTAGCCCCAGATAACATCAGTATTGTATGGGGGAGTTGCGAGTGCAAAACTGTAGTCGCCACCACCAATGATACCATCACAAATATGATACAGGCGATACCTACCCATGATGCAATGAACACGAATTATGATCACAGATTATGCGGCCATTTAAACTCTTGATTCGGAGATGCCATCAGAACCAGGGAGGCTATCCCGCTGGGAAGTCCTCTGGGAAGTTCTCTTGGTGGCAACAAGCGGGTTATTTTCCTCATCATCAACGGCTCTTGGTCTGTCGAGCTCAACACATTTGAAAACTGGATGTACATATGCATCCTGGAGATATGCCTTCAAGTTGAGGTTTGGCTCTGTGGCTTTTTCCAAAGTATCTTTCACCATTGCATCCTACAATTAATCAGCAGAAATCAGCTGCAGTTAACTGAAGAAGACTTGTACCCACACACAGAAGGCTAAAAGGCACTAAGAATACAAATGTAACCTGTAATGGGAATTTTACGAATGCCGACTCAAATCTTCCCTTGCAGAAGTAATGAAACCATACTGTCAATACTGGGAGAACAATCAAAAACGGTGTTGAATTGGCAGCATCCTTGGTGCTCAATAATCCCATCAGTAGAAGCTGAGATATTATCAAACCAATAATTATACGGAGATGCACGTCTGGCCAAAACGCTGCCCCACTCTCGTACTTTTGGTCGTACACATTGATGATCTTGCAGAAACAAACATAGTTATAACACAGTTAATAAGCAACATTTGTGTTCCTCATATTGGTGCCCAAAAGAAAATAAAATAAAATATAAAAAATAAATAAATATCTAAAACACACCTGATGGCGGAAAACCAAGTATGCAAAAGCAAAGAATATGATGATGAAAGGGAGAAGTATCGGCGTGATTGTTGAGTACACAAGTCCCAGCAAAAAATACAACTGGATTCTGGGCTCTGAGACAGCAAAGGTTATTGATCCAGGATCCATTGCCTGGTCTCTGTCCTGTTCTGTTTTCACCAGGAAAGTATTCTTGATATGAAACATAATTAGTGGAACCAATCTTAGGATCTCCGCTGCAATACCAGCCCAACCATCCACCATTATGTAAGTGATAAAGAAAGTGGCTTTCATGGGGATAGTCACGCCAATAGTTTTTGGTATCCTGCAAGGAAAAATGCCGTGAAGGTTTGTGTATTCTAAACCAGTAAAGAATTCGTAGCTAACAAGACCTCAAAGGTTTTGTGCAACGAGATGAACAATATTTTGTCCTTCAAACAGAGCAAGCGATCAGAAATTACATTTCCACTGATATGTATAGCAGTTTGGCGGATGCTAAGAAACATTTATCCGCAATAGGGTTCGATCATTTAGCTCAATCTACATGCATAGAACTGGATGAAAGTGAAGAATAATGCAACTGCAACCAAGACTCAATGGGGTGCATAAATTTTCTTAAAATTGTAAGCTACTAAATAGGTTTTAAAAATTAGGATGATAGACTGAATAGAAATGAAAAATGAGATGAGAGATTTGACATCACAGATTCGGTTAATCCAACATTCGGTGAAGTTACATGGCAGACGAGATCTTTTCAGGAGCTATGGCTATGACATCAAAGGAATTAAACAAAGATTATAGTCGTCCTCTGAATGGTTTTGAAAAAAAATGACCATCTTATGTCAATAAGGAGTATTAATAATAACATGTTACTGGTATCCCTTAATGCAAGTAAGAAGGAACATACTCTGTGGGAGCCTGATTCAGAAACTTCTTGAGCTGCTCAAATGCTGCTCCTGCAACGATACTTCCAAAGAACACATTAACCAGCACAAAGATATGGTACTTTCTAGCAGCAGTTCTGTCTAGAGAAGAAAGGGAAGTGAAGCCTTCTATTTTGGACATGGCCATGAGAATCATTGGAAGGACAATCAGAAAAATCTTGAGAGCAATCCCTGGAAGAAAACCTTGGATTACAGACTTCACACCCTTTCTGAGAAAGAAATTCCACAAATTAGATTAGGTCAAGACATATTCCCTTATTAAAATGAAATTGCATGAAACTCATAAGTTGAAGATTTTTCGGAATTAGCTGCCTCGCATCAAATTGCATTAACTTTAACTTCAACACGAACAGTAGGGGAAGAATTGTACATCCTCCTGCTGGTTTCTCGCAATCACTATTACTATGCTCCATAACATATTTAATTTTTTGTTACTTAAGATGGAAAATAAAATGGAAACTATATTATCACCTTTCGAAAACAGAATTAACCAGAAATCCAGAGGATGACTCTATGTTAACAACGACAATGAGTAGACCATTTAACATATAAGAACTAAAATAAAGGGACTCACGCTTCCATAAGTGGCTTTAAGAAAGAAAGAACATTTACAATGCCCTCAAGATTTGCCATTTAACATGTAAAAACTAATAAAGGGACTTACGCTTCTATAAGTGGCTTTAAGAAAGGAAGAACTTTCTCAATGCCCTCTAGATTTGCCAGGGATTGCACAAATGCAATAGGGATCATAAAGAAGAAAGTCAGGAAAAATAGTGCCACTGCCATTAACAGTCTCCGAATAGCGAGTGAAACAAAAGGTATTGCAAGATTATCCCAATAAACATCACGCGGTTCTGGAGCCCATTCTGTCAGCCAAATTGTAGGATTACTTGACTGTTGAGTTTGAGCACAAACAGCAGCGCCCCATCGAGATTTGAATGAAACAAAAGCAGCAGGAACAATGGACTTCGGATCGCTTATGACTTTCTCTCTTTCAGCTATTTCCTAATTTAACATTGAAGGAATCTCGTATATTCAACCCAGGGGATTTTTATACTGAGATGATGAAAATGCAAAACTGAAAGAAACTCACTTCTTCACTCAACTTCTCAATTTCTGCCGTGTAGTAATCAATAGCATCAACAGTCTTTCCCCAGAGTCCCCAAAAACCTGTCTATATGATCTTTTGGTATGAGAAAACAAATGTATCCTTAGATACAGAAACTACAGTCAGAAAAACTACATGAATAAAAGTACCTTTGTAGTCGGCCTCTTTTTGGGGTTTCTTTCGTACTTGGTTTGGTAGTAAGTGTGCCAATTTTGATAACTTTTCTTCTGGTCAACCAATTTTGCAAGTTTATTTGCATTGTATACCACCTACAATTCCAGCATTAAAACACCTCAGTTGGGAACGGTTTAAGCGAAAGGAAACCAGAAAAAACAAGGGCAATTGTATGATTGATTTTTTTTTCCCCCAAAAATAGAAACATGGAGGTCGTATGGAAGGTTCAGATGAAAAACAATTGTGGCCTATGACATTTTAAACAAAGTAAAATGGTAAAGTGGAGACCTGGTGAGAAAGATAATGATCGGGATGATTTACACAAAAGAAATGTTCAACATGCTCGCTAACAGATTCATCAGGATCCGGAGGCACATTTCTCACTAGAACCTGCATCAATGTTTGAAATGAATAAGCAAATACAAAAAGTAACGACCTCAAAAGAAATGCAAAATGAAAGTCTGATTTAACTCGATGTGACTACTTTGCTAGTGCACAAAAGTTTTTTTCTCATCTGAGTACAAGAACAGTTAATTTCAGTATCAGAATGCTCCGAGATACTCACAGTAAACTGATCTGGACGACGTTCTTCAGAAGCAAGAAATTGTAGCCTCATTGCCATCACAATTTTATATTCATTGTAAAGAGCATAGCACGTCCAGAATGTGAACGCGTAAGCCATTATTAAGTGTGCCCAAAACCTGAAGATATTTACAGCTTTTATCTTTAATGGAAATTCGAATTACAGACACACAATTTTTCTCCAGAAGAAGGGTCAGAATAAGTGCAGGAGAAATTATCATGATGGCTGAAATTCCAAAAACAGATGAAACTCCAAGACTCGAGACTCGAGGGAGGAAGAAGCAAATTAGACTCTGACCTTTCTGATCCGGCTGGAACATTTGATATTGAAAGCTTATCCACATCACTGAATGTTAAATCCTTAATATGATCCAATGTTCTCCCAGTAAAGTTTACAGGGATCAGGACAGCAAAAGCAAGAATAGCAATCGGGACAAAGATTTTCAATCTGCAAAAGGTCAAGAATACGTAATAAGTAGTTAAGTACATTACCTAAATCTTTCTACTATACTGATTCATTTAGTTCACAACATAAGAAAGCCCAAAATTTTCAAAAATCTTGATTATAATCGACACGCTTAGGATTCTGTCAACTGTGATCATTCTCTTAGTACTCTTTGCTTGATTATGAATGCTAGAAACTTACTCACCCAAGTAGATATATTCGGATATACACTGCTGAGTCAAGCCCGGCATGGTTTATGAGCTCAGGTTGAGGCATTCTTAATGCTGCAGGCATCCATGTCCAGAATTTCAGATACATTCTAACATCCAAGTTGACAAACTTTTTTACGAGGGGTCCTGAACTTCTTGGGCTAGCCCTTATTCCTTTCAGATACCATTTTGGGAAGTAAACCCGATCATTAAACGGTTGCAGGCGTAGAAAAGCAAAGGCCATGAGGAATGCCAATGCAGATAGGAGATTGATTGCAGCAGAGACACTAATATCTGATACACTGGCCATCTTGTTGTTGCAAACCTATTTACCAAACTGCAATTTCCCTAAAAAAAAGATAAGAAGAAGAAGAATAAGAAAGAAACAGGTGAGAAACTTTTACAGGGAATACACAATGCACATCTATTCCATTTATGCAGCAATTTTTCTAATCGAAAACGCCTGTTCTCACAAAATTGAACAACATTATCTCAAACAGATGGCCCCCACATTTTCATGAGAAAAATGGTGAATTTAATCTCTCGTCAACTCAATCAGGGAAAAAATAATGGATGTTATAGCAAACGTAGATTGGAGGAGACCCAAATTTTGAAGGGAAAAGAAAAGGTAAAATCAAAACCCAACGATTAACTTCTTTCTTCCAGCAAAACTGTTGAAAGCTCTGTTTTCCATGAAATATTTTCTTATTGAATAAGAACTACAGCGAATCAATTCGTCTAGCTTTACAAACAGGACGAACAAATGCAACACGATTCCGACTGAAAAACCCAAAAAGAAAAAATAACACAACAATCTAACAAAACTAAACAGAAAACCCCTGGGGAACAAGGAAAAAAAAAAACACACCTGAATAAAACAGCAGGCAACCGTTGAGAGTTCAAATTCTGGAATCCTGGGCACTAATCGGACGAATCATCAACCAACACTAAACCCGTATATGATGAACTCTTTCACTAACCAACGAGAGTCTGAACAAAACCTCCCCACCCAAAAATAAAAATAAAAAACAAAAAGAATTATGGGAAAATGGACAATTGAAAAAAAAAAAAAAGAGATAATTACAATAGGGAAAAAAGGGTTGGCGAAAATGGGGAGAAGGGATGAACAATGTGCGTGAATAACAAGGAGATGATGGGTATAATTAGGGTTTTTTTTTTCCTGGGAATAACGATAGAGATTTTGCGAGGAAAGGGTGGTTTTCTTTTGTTTTTGTGGCTTTGGTTTTGGCGTAAAACTGAAACAGAGAGAACCGAATAAAGAGGGAAAGGCGGCAGGAGAAGAACCCCCAGCTTGACACACACAGTCACACACCACTCTGGCGCGCGACCCAACGACTTAATAGTACTACTACGGACTTACATTTTTTTCATTAATTAATTCCTTCATTAAATTTCGATTTGGACGTTAATTACAGTTACGAAAAGCTTGACAAATTTGAAATTTTGAATCATTCCATCTCAATATTGTTCCTCCCTATGTGTTCTTTTTGTGCTTAATTGTTGTTTCTTTTGTACTCCCTACCCTATGATTTAAAAAATGTGTAAAGTTTAAAACGATTTTTCAGTATTAATTTTTACGTTGATTCTATATTTATGATGTCGTTTTTATCATCACATTAGTTTTACGTCTTTACAATTCTACCATAACGATGCTTTTATATCCTTACTTATAGACATTGCCATGACTTCATGCTTATTGGTTCAGTAGTTCGTATCTTTCATTAACCCTTTTTTTTTTTTGGATATTTCTTGTCCTGTGTCCGATGATTAACAATAATGTATTATTAGTGTCCCCCATGTATTATGTTCTAGGTCATCCTCATTTCTTTTTCTTTTATGTGTCGCTTATCCAATATGCTTGATTTTTTGAAAAAAAAATATCTATACTTGATTATTGAAAAGTACGTAACTTTTATTCATTGATGCCTTGGTAGCTCTTTTTCCATTATTTCTTTTTCTTCTAACATTAAAAGAAAAGATAAGAAAATGATAGCTGTCAATTGCTAAAACACTGTCACTAAATAATTTGATTAATAAAATACATATTAAACTGTTACTACTAGGTATACACTTATAACGAAGGCATCATAGTTATCGATTTCTTGATAAACATTAATGTACTTTCATGGAGTGGACGGTAGGATAGCAGGAAAAGGACAATCAGTGCTAGGAAGATCCTAGATGTGCTTAGTTGTTAATTAGTTGCTTTCTCATAATCCTGAATATCTTCGTTCAAGTTAGAAAAGCGTGAACTCAAAATATTGTTAATTCGTGTTAGTATAAAACTGCACCTATTTTGTGGTATGTGATAAATCGTCAAGATTCTCTATATTTGTAAACTTATTATGTATTTATACTAGATAGATATTGTGTAATCACGAACTCCCCATTAATTTTTCGTGTGTATTATTGGCGTTATTGATAAAAAAGTAAATTTAAATTTAAAAAAAACTACGAAAATAAATAATTTGTACTTAATGAACAATGTTTATGAATATATATAAATACAACCGTTATTTGTTATTTACTATTACTAATTAACACAAAGGAGAAAATGCGGGAAAGAAATTAGGATTAGAATAGAAAGGATAAAAGCCAAAAAAATTATCTAAACATGTATTTGTTTATTACAAAGTATGGAAATCGATGCAGTACACAAAAAACAATGTTGCATGTGGTATTAAACTAAGGAAAAGGAATTTTAAAAAACTAAGGAAAAAGGAAAAAATTTTGCACATCAATTATCCAAACTAAGGAGGTAAAATAGAATAAATAAAATTAATTTTAAATTATCAGAAAATGACACATCAATTGAGGTGGGTAAAATAGGCGTGAAAAGAGAATAATGGACTTTTAGAGGGGGTTCTATTTTACTATATAGAATGATAAAAATATCCCGTCATTAGGAATGAAATTAAACGTTTCTTTCCAAATAGAAAATTACATTGTCAAGCGTTTGAGACTGTAGAAGTCGACAAAAGCATGAATCTAAATCCAAAGTTTAATTGAGTAATTAATGTGATATATAAATGCACGTCAATCTTGATAAAACAACAAATGGAAAGTACATATTGGCACTTAGATTTGATTGATGGTCACCTGAAAAAGACGACAGGTTAAACAAGTGGACAAATGTCAGCTGTTTGCAGCTGCTAATGCAAATCTATAGACTATTCAGAACCGTGAGAGTTTTATGAATATATTGATCAAGAAAGAGGCCAACATTAAGGTTATTGATTTTCGTTAACGTGTTGATGAAAGAATTTAGCATAACTAAAGGCCAATCAAATCTTAAAATTAAGGCTCTGTTTGTTTTTTTTTCATAGTTTTTTTAGAATTATATAATAATATCTGTTTTATTCCAATTTTTTTATATTTTTGATACATTTTTTTATATTTTTAATATAAAAAGTATCTAAAAATAAACACTAAAAAGACAAAACAAACATACCCTAAGTTGTTGAAGTAAAAGAAAATTTTTGGGCGTTAAAAAGAAAAGTTGAATGAGAAGTAAACAAAACACATCTATTATGGGGTAGGCCCCGGAACAAAATGATGCCATTTGGCAAACAAAGAAAAAAGTTGCCGTGAAAGAGAAATCTCTGGAAAGCACGGCAAAACTCTCTTTTTAAATTAGCACAACAACAAAGGCGCTGAAGCTGCATGCAGGCCTTGGGAGACGGGCTTTTCATTGGGAGTTGAGATATTTGACTCCAAGTCGGTGGTGGTGCCACGGCCACCCCTTCATTTTGTTTGAAAAAGCTTATTAGCGGACTTAAAAGGCCAAGCACACCCTGGCCCTGTCCAAATCTCTATGGAATTTTTTGCTTATTGTGGAAGGTAACTTTTATTAGTCATTTCACACTTGATTCTTTTCTAATTATATATCTACATTCTAACCTACTTATACTATTTGTCTTAAATCTTCTGTCCACAACCAAAAAAATGGTTGATGAAGTTCTTTCATCAAACTCTATGAAAGAACTTCCTAGTAGCTCTCGGCTGACAGAATATAAAAGCGAGCTTATATCAATTACCACCAACCATATTGGATAAATTATCATTGGTGAACTGTGAATTCTTTAAAAAATAACGACTCAAAAGTTAAACACTAACGGATCCTTGCATTAATACCGCAAAAGTGTATGGAAAGGATTGCATCATAAGGCCCAACAAGGGAGTGGACGTGGAATCCGAAAACCCAGCCCAACATTTGGTTTGCAAGTTACATTTTCATTTCCCTTTTTTTCATTAATTAAATTGTCGTTTTAAAGTGAGAAAACGTGTAAAAATAGCAACAAAAATACGTAGTATTAAGCGGTGAAAGATTAAAAGCATGCAGAACCACCACGTAGCAGAAGAACCCTTCAAACAAAAACTCTCATCACACAACATACTACTACTACTAGGCATTATCATTATGCCGACAGCTAAATTCCAAGTAAAAAAAGAACATGCATCTAATCGCATTATTTGGAACATAATAATGATTAATCTGAGTGGTGTAACCAGTGAAATCACATGCCATTCAAGAACTTCCCATCCCATGTACTAGTGGTAATACATAATCAAAGATTTAATTAGTGCCCAAAATTCTTCAAGTTAATTAGCCCACAAAAATCCTCCCTCAAATCTGTGGGTCAAATCTTCTTCTACACCTCCCCATATCATTCACTCCACATTCCACAACTCAAAATCACAAAAACGTTCGGCCCATTGGAAAAACAAAATAATGTGAATCAACAAAGAACGGCCATCAGTTGATATTCGCTAGCTGGCCCAGCTAACAATCATTTCTCCGACGAACTTATGGGCCAACTTGGCTCAGTCCAAAAGAGCTCACTCAGCTCGAAGCTCGGCTGACTGGGACGGTCAAAGCTAATCAACCAGGAATATAATACTATATAATGATTTCAGTGTGGAAACTCACCGTTCATCGTCCCGTTCTCCTCCGGCTCGTCGTCGTCGCCGGTCTGGTCGTCATACTCAGAATCCAAACCGTTTTCATCGTCGTCGTCGTCCGACAACGGCACGAGCCAACAACTCCCGTGCAAGTGGCCGTTGACGCAGACGAAGAACTCGATTCCCTTGTCACGGGCGCCAAGCCGTCTCTCCGCGCTTTTAGGAATGAGCCGAGCCGTGGTCATGCTCCAGACCCGAGCCCCACAGTAAGGACACCGAACCAGCTCCTCCAGCGCGACTCGGCGCCCAATCAAACAAGCTCGCGTCTTCGACTTCATAAACCCACCAAAAACTCCTCTATAAATCCCCAAATCGTCCCTATCTGCCGCCGTCGTATGCTCGCAAGGATCGCTCACGTACAACACGTCGTTCCGGCACTTCTTCACCAGAAAGCTCCGACCGGAGGTCTTCGAAAACCGCGACTCCTTAACGAAATGTCCGGACAGATTCTCCTTCACCTTAAAATGCGGCGTGGAATGGCACCCGCAGCAAAAGAATAGCAGCTTAGCCATCGAGTGCCAGCCGCCGCCTCCGACCCGGGTGCTACCCGGCGCGCCGTCGATCAATGCGGTCATCATGCGCGGCGCCCGGTAAACACAGAGCTCCCGCCAGAGCAGCCGTTTGGCCACGGCTCGGAGCTTCCTACAAACGGAAGCCATTTGACAGAGAACATGGATATCCCACTTAATACAGTGGAGAACAAGAACAAGGATCCGTTCGTTAAGTATCCCGGAGTCGTCCGACCCGGAAGAATCATGGATCCTGCAAAGCTTCTGTTTCCGATTCGGGCTGACACTCATTTTCCGACAGCGTATCTTTTCTTGTAATAAAGTGTCATATCAAAACGGCGTAAAAACAGCGCCTACAAGGGGGAGGAGGAAAGCTCGTCTACGGAGCTCCTTATATAGCAGATCTAGGACCCAGGACACGTGTAGGGCCGAGAATCCTCCAAAAAATATCAATTGCCTCCCATCATTGTGTAGAATCAGAGACGTGGAAGGCTGGAATTGGTTGGTGGACGCGTGGGAGAGCTTTATTGATGGATTTTGATTCTGCGTTGTGGAGTACGGACGTCAGCCGCTGGGGGGATGCAAGTGCGATCTCTGGAAGCCACGTGCCCCTTCAAACTCCCGAAAATATCTTTTTCGTGGCTCAAAAAAAATATCTGGGGAGTACGTGGCAGCTGGTGGGTTTTTGGTGTTGCCAATATCTGGAATTGGATTATCTTATGTTTTTTGGAAGTGGCGTCTGCAAATAGTGGGTGTACACGTGTTGCTGGTGGTGAGCTCCCACGTAGAGAATCTTTTACTTTCCTTCACTGTATAGTCCACGCTCCTGGCTCATTTGTCCTCTTTACATTTTTTTGGTCATATGAGACTGTCCGGTTAGTGATTTTTTTAAAAAAAATTTGTTATAGGAGCAGTGGATTTGTGAATCTTTTTTAGGTCTTGGATCTTATGAGTGTTTGTTTACAAATTCTACGACATAAGTTTGAAATGGTTGAAATCAATACATGAATGAAGTGTGTAGTTGTTATGCGTGAATGAGTTGCTTGATTACCATCATTGGTCATGTAATTTTGAAGATAAATCACTTTTTATTATGAACGTGACTTTAGGTTAGTGGTTAGATGTATATGTGCATAACCTATTAATCTATCATAAGTGATAATATTCACGATGCATTAATTAATGTCAAATACACTTGTTGGAAGTGAAGAATTTAATTTTGTACAAATCGTAAAGATAATATGTTGTGTATCATTCAAACTTTATTAGATATGTTTCATGTTCTAAAATAATTGTGCGGGTTGAATATTTAATTTAGTATAATTTATATTAAAAATGATAATACAAACTAGAGAATGGATAATGATGTTCTTGGACGTTTTTGGGATATAGGTAGAGAGGAAGAAGCCTTCATTATTAAGGACAATTGACGCGGTTGGGGGACGATGATGGCTGTTGGGGATATGTAGGAGGCGAATTGAAGGTATAGCTGACACTTTGCAAGTTTGTTTTTTTTTTAAAAAAAAAAAAAAACATCATCCGACTAAGACATGATTTTAAGGTTTGGAGGAATTTGAGATATTGACTCATTATTTGCGGGGTGAAAAGATGAGAGAATTGACAAGTGTTGACGAGGAATTGGACATTGGAGAAAGATTATCAACCGAGTTCGATAACTATCAGTTTTGTATGTTTCTGGGTGCATACAGTAACTATCATGTTTTCTGATGCAGGGGAAGTAGTAGATGATAAAGATTTGAAGCGGTCAAGTAGGACAAATGGAGCGCGAGCTTAATGACATTTGTTGGATGCAGGAAATTGCCGTGGCTTTGTCAGACACCCTTTTTGGTTGTGCTCTAGATCAGTGTGACCTTTGACCCTAACAGTTGGTTTTGAGCTAGCTTTTCACCACGAGGATCTATGCAAATTATGGTGTCTTCTTGTGGAAACTGGAATTTTAGGTGATTGAATAGTTAGTTATTCGGTATTCGTGAGTGCAATCCGAACTTTATATATAGCGTGCTAAATTTTCTATTTAGTCGTCCTCCTACTCCTATTTCATAATTCGACTAAAAATTGCTAAAATAATTCTAAAAAAATCTAACAATTAAATTTTCTAACATTTACTGAAAAAAAAGTTTGAAATAACAGTATTGCTTGATTTATCGGCGTCCCAGTCAAGATCACAGATTTTTTTTTCCCTTAAATATGGATTCATTAAAACAAAACTTCATTTTCCTTATTTTTTCATTCATTCTTTGAACAATATGTATTTTGACATGTGTCGAATTTGATTTCATGTATTCCATTTACAACTCGGCTGTCGACTTTTTGAAACACGGGTAGAAATTAGAAGCAATCTAAAAATTCATTGTAAATATAATCCTAAAACTTTTTTCGTAAAAAATAATTATATCGACTTATCCACTTCCTATAAATGTAAGTTTATTATTTTGATAAGACAATACTTCAAATAAACTGCGTTACATTAACAGGTTAAAAATAAATAAAAAGTTAGAGGTTGAAACTTGGAAGACAACGTATTTATGGTCTTTCAAACATGTAGATATCTTGCATAACTGACATGGAAATTAGTCAAGGTAATGATTAGGTTGCGCGTGCTACTTCTCGGTGGATTTTGACCTCCGTCACTTTTTTCGTCGGCTTTTCTAACTCGACGGAGATGTCGACGCGTATAATTCCTATAAATAAACAAATACAATATTCTGCAACATACACACCAATGAAATAAAAACTATTAAACCACCAAAAAATTGTGAAAATACTTCTAAATATTGGAATTTGAACAAGACGAGGGAAACAATTCCTACAAGTAGCAATTATTTTGTTCCTTTACACGGATTCCCATATATTAGTTACTCCTTATGTCTCAAAATTATTGTCTAATTTTTATTTTCAATTTTAGTACAATTTAAAACAAAAATAAAAATTCAAACCGAAAAATAATTATGGGATAGAGTACTTGTTACCAAATAATAAAACCATTAGCAAAAACTAAAAATAATAGAAAGAAACGCATTTTATAATTCGTCGACTTTATCATCGGTTTTTCTAAGTAGACGATAAAGTCGAAGCTGAAAATTTTCTTAAAAGAAAAAGAAACAAGTTTTTGTGAGTCTTGTTTTTATATACATTATTTAACTACCAACCCACGTTACTATAAAAATTTCTAAACATGATATTTCGTCCGTTTCATTATTATTGTTTAGTTTAGATTTTTACTTTTAGTTCACTTTGTATAAAAAATAAAAATTTAAACTGGACAATAATTCGTGACGAAGATAGTAATAAAAGATGAAATGATACTAAATTTTGATGGTGCGATGTTTGATACTACCGTAAAAACTAATGGAATCAGAAAATCACACTTCTTTTGAGGGAAAGTTTAAAAATATACTCAAATATTCTTAACCAACCAAATTAAAATAAATATATGCCAATAATACTATTTCTCTTGAGAGCAAATTTAAAAATTTTAGACAAAACATTCATTGGAATCGGAAAATGACAATTATTTTAGATTTTCTTTATTTTGCTAGTACGACAATTATTTTGGAATAAAGAAAGTGCAATATAAAAAGTAAATTTTTTATTTCTGTATTAAAAAGGTACAGAACTTGTGATGATGTTGATATATATTAAGAGAGTTGATGAAAGGACACGTATCGGGCAATTAGACGATCAATATTGTTGATTGACACAATCATTTATTACTGATTTCATCGTTAAACCGCATTTTCTTTTGTTTAATTGTTAACTAGATGTTAAACTTGCGGGGTGTATATTTTACATTATCAAAAATCATAACAAATATAAAAGGTGTAGAATATATTTTAAGTTCATAGTATTATATATATATATATATATATATTATATAAAGATGAAATATTACATTTGATATGAAATGCAAGTATTGAGTTAATGGAAAGAGAATATATGAACAATAAAATGAAAATCATAAGCATTGTATGACTAAAATTAAATAAAAGATGACATAAAAGTAAATCATAAGTGCAATTTGAATTATTTTTTGGAATTATACCGTAAAGGAAAGACAAACCTTTATTCATCCTTGTAATCATCACCTATAACTTTTTTGTTTTTTTAATTTTTTCACACATCTGCATAATTGAATTAAAAGAAAAATGATTCAAACATGTTAAGATATAAATAAATACAAAAAAGAATTATACCTTTCTTCTTCATATGAACACACAGGCAGCCATGATTTCGAGTGGAATATCAATAACCGATTGAGTTATATAGGTAGTATAGAGATATGAGTGCTCAAGTGTGTTTGATTTAGATAAGATTTCTTTTTTAAAATTTAAGTGTGATAAGTAATAATTATTTCAAATTCAAATTTGATAAAATAACGTAATTCATGGAACCGGATAAAGAACAATTATAATTAAGTTATTTATGATCGTTATATACAATCATCTTTATTATTTTTGAATATGTAGTTGGGAAATTGGAGTAGTTTTAGGGATTAATTTCATTTATAATTAAAAGCAACAAAATATGACTTCTAGCATATTAATTACTTTTGAATTCCAAAATAAATTACAACCAGATATATGATAAGGAAATAATTTCTTAATCTATTAGGAATAATTTTCGGATGACAATAAAATTTATAAATTTTTTAAAATAATGCGGAAATTTGGTTTACGGCATTAGTTTTTCCTATTTTTTAATACTTTATCATTTGTGAACTCATTTCTAAGTTTACTAACTATTTTTTTAGAAGAGTTTTTATAAAATGACACCCAGAATTTGTAATTAAAGAATAATTGATGATTTTGTATTAATTATTTTTGAATTTCAAAAAATATTAATATTATTTAATGATCAAGTCAATATGTAATGGCATTATTCAAGCAATTGGAAAATCTTTCCAAATCAATCAGTTTAATATTGAATCAAATAAATGTTTACCTTTTTTATATGACACATAATGAAAAAAAAAACCATTAATGTTGGTTTTTTAAAAAAATTTCGTTTCCTTTTTCATTTCACCGAATACAAAATAGAAAGTTTACCACATAATTAATTGATATATTTTAATCGCGAATCAATAACAATTGCTTAACCGGAAATTCAAAGGACTGTTAGTGTAATTGTTATAAATATTATTTATGTTAACCAATAAGAAAATGACACATAAGATTTTGTTCTATGTGTCAATGCGAGAAAAAGTTTGATTTTCTCTCTCTGATTTCTCTCTTAGTATATTACCATAGATATTTTTTAATACTTTATCATTTGTGAACTCATTTCTAAGTTTACTAAGTATTTTTTTAGAAGAGTTTTTATAACATGACACCTAGAATTTGCAATTAAAGAATAGCTGATAATTTTGTATTAATTATTTTTGAATTTCAAAAAATTATTAATATTATTTAATGATCAAGTCAATATATAGTGACATTATTCAAGCCAATCGGAAAATCTTTTCAAATCAATCAGTATTAATATTGAATCAAATAAATGTTTACCTTTTTTATATGACACATAATGAAAAAAAAAACCATTAATGTTGGTTTTTTAAAAAATTTTTGTTTCCTTTTTTATTTCACCGGATACAAAATAGAAAGTTTACCACATAATTAATTGATATATTTTAATCGTGAATCAATAACAATTGCTTAACCGGAAATTCAAAGGACTGTTAGTGTAATTGTTGTAAATATTCTTTATGTTAACCAATAAGAAAATGACACATAAATTTTGTCCTATGTGTCAATGTGAGAAAAAAGTTTGATTTCCTCTCTCTGGTTTCTCTCTTAGTATAATATAGTATAGATTTTTAATACTTTATCATTTGTGAACTCATTTCTAAGTTTACTAAGTATTTTTTAAGAAGAGTTTTTATATAATGACACCC